TTCAACCTCTGGGAGTTTCTTCTGCTCTAGGTATCGTCTGTCTATATCACTGTTTCAATGTGATATCTATGGAGGAGGAACCACTCGGCAATGTCAATCAATACTCTGAGATTAGACCCGAGATGTAACTGCTCCCAGTAAACACACACCAATATCCCTCAGAGTCTTCTCACCTCGGAGGAATCAGGGCTCCAGGAGTTTTGGTTCCAGAAGTGTAACCTCGGCTCAAGGAGTTATTTTGTCTCTATAAAACTATATGGAGGAGGAACAACTCAGGAATGTCAATCAATAATCTGAGATTAGACCCGAGTCATAAATGCTCCAACTAATACGCACCACAATGTCCCTCAGAGTCGTCTCGCCTCGGAGGAATTGGGGCTCCAGGAGTATCGCGGTTCTGGAAGTGTAACCTCGTCTCTGGGAGTTCTCTTATCTCTATTAAACTGTCTCGTGGAAGGGGTCCAGGCTCCGGGAGTATCTTCTGCTCGGGGAGTCGCCACTTCACAGGAGAAACCTCTTCTTTTGTACGAGACCCTAGCTATTGGAGTACCTTCCACTCCAGGAGTTGTCTCGTCTCAGGAGAAACCTCTGCTCCTGAACGCAACCCTGGCTATTGGGAGTACCTTCCGCACCGGAAGTCTTCTCGTCTCTATAATAACTTCTGCTCATTCAATCAAATGGTGAGATTAGACCAGAGCTGCCACTTCTCGATCGTGGAGTACCTCAGTTCCGGGAGTGTAACCTTGGCTCCAATGAGAGTAAACCTTGCAACACAGAAATACCTTGGTTCTGGTAGTGTAACCTCAGTATCTAACTTCTGGAGGAGTCAAATCACCTCGGAGGGTACGTCAAGTTCAGCAACTTGTATCAATTTCGGATCATCAATAACTCGGAGGAGGAGGAGCAACTCACGAATATCGATCAATAAACTGAGATTAGACGGAGCTGTATCCTCAACCCTCGGAGCAAATTCCACTCTAGAATCGATGGAGGAGTAAGCACTCGGAGCTAACAATCCTCGGAGCAGATATGGCTCTCGAATATCAATCACAGCTGAGATTAGACAAGAGCTATAACTACTTGGAGCTAGCTATCCTCGGGCAGATGGGGCTCTTAACTAGATGGAGGAGTAATCACTCGGAGCTGGCAATCCTCGGAGCAGATACAACTCTCGAATATCAATCACAACTGAGATTAGACAGAGCTGTAACTACTCGGACCAAATATAACTCGGAGGAGATATAACACTTAAATAATTGGAGGAGTAATCACTCGGAGCAGTGAGTCCTCGGAGCAGATATGGCTCTCGAATATCAATCAAACTGAGATTAGACAAGAGCCTTAATTACTCGGAGGATAATTACTTCTTAAAATGACGTCACTTCCGTAAAAATAAAGATGGCCGACCGCTAGGAATTCTGGGAAGAAGAAATCAAAATGGCGGACAGCAATATGGCGTCAAACTCAATAATCAAATTGCCAACTCACCCAAAACTGGCTGTTATCTTCTTGTATCTCGCACAGTCACAACGGACGCAAAAACTGCAGCAAATAATGTCAGCAAATAATCCAAATATCATGTAATATAGTCTAATATAGTTCTCAATTCACATCGAACACGCTCCCACATAAAATGATACAAACTGACGAGGTGTTTCCTCTGCAAAGTCTTTGTTTACTCTGATTTACAGGTCACGATCTCACGCTGAAGTCCAGACATCTCAAGTTGCATCATGGGAAAACTACAACTTAAGTTGGCGGTAAATTCAAATGAAGCCATCTGATTGGTTGAGTTCTGTTGCTGAGTGCCTAATTATTCTAATTTATTCCACTCAGCTTGCTGATCAAGTAAACATCCAAATTACAGGGACGGAACATTGAATAAACATGAAATAACATAAAATCCTGTAAAATAAACGTTTATATGCCCTAGTACTAATCAGGGGGAATTAAAAATTCCCACAATATTCACTGGGGGGTATCGTGATGCAACAACACCGTGTTGTTGCATCAAGATGGCCAGACTTCCGGTGATAGATTTTCGTACGATGTTTTGTTTTCCCAATTTACACCCATTTCTAGGACGAGTTGCTCAATAATCATACACATGCAGTTAGCACATGATCTATATTTTAAAAAACTGTCATTGGTATACATGTAGCATCATCAAGAAGCGATAAATTCGTGGTTTTAATTCCTCACTATTGATGCAACAACACCACTCTGTTTCTTATCGATGATGCAACAACACCAATGTGCTGATGCAAAAACGCCAATATAATGTATCATTGAACAACAAGAGAAACTGTTTTATGTTCTGTTTACAGGTGAAGGTCGGGACATGAATAAAACGCGTGAGTCAGTGGACCATGAACGAAACGTATTTTGTTTGGTTTCTTTGTCTATATCAAAGTTAAAAGGATATACAAGGCAAACTAAATAAAGTACAGAATCCCCGGGAGGCAATCTCATTGATATTGTATCTGAAAAATAAAGATTATACATTTTCTAGATTAAATGCCCTTGATTTATCGTATGGAAATTGCTTACAAATAACTAATATAATTTTGGAAAGACAACAGATATCAGTCATTTTGTGTTGTTAGTACCTCAATTGAAATACTCAATTCTGATTGGTTGATGAGCGGGCAACAAAATGTATTGTTAGTACCTCAACTGAAATACTCGATTCTGATTGGGTAATTAGCGGTCAAAATTATGTACTGTTGACCGCTACTAGGTACTGTTGACCGCTACTTCTGAAAAAAAGTTTCATGACGTCACAAAAAAACATGGAAGACGGACATTTTGTAAATGTTGATGAAAATGACTTTACTAGGCGACAAGTATAGCAAAGATACAAATAGAAACTTAAGATTAACATTAATTCACTAACGAGTACGCCGTGATGTGCCAAATACAGAGTTAAGCTTCTTGCAATGTCTCCATATTTTCTAAAAAAAAATATTGCTAACGTGGTTCGGAGAAAAGGTTGTGAAATGAAGCCATGCCGATTGATGATCGTCGTCTATATGTGTATTATTAGTTTACTCGGACTAACAAAACAATTGTAGACCTCTCCATTCGATCAACCGTCAAAATCATATACCTCGACTGTAAACCTTGAAACTACTGTTGACCTCGACCTTCGGTCTCTGTCAACAGTATTTTTCGGTTTACAGTCTCGGTATACAATTTTGCCGGTTGGCCTCTGGGGAGGTCAACAATTGTAAACTGTTGACCACTACTAAGTACTGTTGACCCCTATTTTTGAAAAATTGTTTTTTTAATGTTGAAATTTTTTTAATTTTGAAAAAATAAGTTGTATAAAAAATTACAAGTATTCGACGGTTTGGGGATTTTTTGCTAAAAAATGATACCTTTACTTATCAAATATTCCTAAAATGTCCCCTATACGAACACCAACGGGTCATCCTACTCGAAGGAATCGATAGAATAATTGAACAATACCCTCCTAAAACCAGACATAACCTCAAATCTATTGCATCTAAGGTTCAATTGCTCATTCATGGTAGCCCCTTGTTAACCCCAACATCAAACCAAAATATCCTAATGCTTTGTCAAAACTACATAAAAAACACTGGACGTTTTCCATGATAATCGTCAAACACACTTACTAATTTAAACTTCAATTATTATAGTATATCCCAACATCTCTAATTATAATGTAAATAATAAAGAGAGGAGAGCCCCTCGATAAGCGAAATGCTTCTGGGCAATCCTCTTAAAATAAATACATTTAAAAAAAAAAAAAAAAAAATATGAACGTGATATTCGATTATATATTCGTCCAATTATTATATTATTTGGACTAACAGAACAATTGTTAACCTCTCTTTTCGGTCAACTGGCAAAAGTGTCCTCGACCTCTGGTCTTGATCAACAGTACTTTCAAGGTTTACAGTATCGGTATACAATTTTGCCAGTTGACCTCAAGAGGGGTTTACAATTGTATATTGTATATCCTTTGTTATCCCACCCAAAGTATGATGTCATATAACAAGTTGAAGAGTTGTATACGCTGCTCAGGAGTTTACGCTATCCAGGAGTTGTACATCGTTCTCAAGAGTTGTATAGGATGAGTGTTGGTTTAATGATATTGCAGTTATACAATGCTATTATATAAAAGTTATTTACTGAGAGGGATTCAATATTGGTTTTATTTCGAGAGACAATATGATATTTCCCGAGGGCCCGGGATATCTGGGATAACTGTACCCCTATCAATTTACCTTTTTGGGCCCTAAATCTTATCACTTTTGTTTACCTTTTTACTCAGTCGGAGAGAAGGAATCCAAAGAGAGCAATAATTCTACATGTGCGTCGTGTAACTAAACGGCCTCTCTAATAAAGTCAATTAGACGTTTTTACACGTTGGCTCTCCAAATTGTAGGAAATAAAGAATCATGTCATATTATATCATAGATGAAGCAATCATCCCATCAACATAAGCTCACGAATGTCACAGTTAAACTGTTTTAGTTATAATTTGATAAACAGTGGTAACGTACATCTACTAGTTTATCACTGTTCCACAGATGGATGACAGATAATATCATGATAATATCTAATAGCTCATCATGTTTACCGAGAACGAAATATGTTTGTCCACCATTTTGAATGATACTAACTGGAGTCAGGGTCATCAAGCTATGGAACAGTGGTTTATGAAAATAGATTGGGTTACTAAAGCTTGCCATGTTAAAGGCGATTGAACTATGTTATAGAATAACGTCCAGTACATTATAATATGTAAAAGTATAAATTTTTGAAAACACATATAAAGGATCTTCGCCCGCAGGACGTGTATTTTGAATGCCTTGAGAAGAACGCAAATATGGGTAGGCTAATTGGTAACGGTATTGCAATAGTAGCATTTAAAAATCGGTTCCTCTCGAGATTTATGGTCTTCTGAAATTATACTATTAATTGGTGTTGCTGCATCATTGCTCAAATCTAGAGGGGTGTTGTTGCATCTTCGGTTTGGTGTTGTTGCATCAATAGTGAGGAACTAAAACCGTGAACTTATTGCTTCTTGGTGATGGTACATGTATACTAATGACAGTTTCTTTAAATATAGATCGTGCGCTAACTGCACGTGTATGGTTATTGAGCAACTCGTCCTAGAAATGGGTTTAATTGGGGAAACAAAATATCGTACGAAAATCTATCACCGGAAGTCTGGCCATCTTGATGCAACAACACGGTGTTGTTGCATCACGATACTCCCCAGTGATATTTATTAAGATATTTGATCGTAATGGAAACTCAATTCAATCTCGCCGGCTGTTATGATTTTCATTCCATTTTCCACTAGATAGAATAACTTGTTATAACGATCTAATGTCACTGTATTTTGATAGTTTATTGTGATTTTTATTATCTGTGTAATTAACCCGCATTATTTAATTACATTTGGGGGGTGATTCTGACGTTTGTAGGCCTAGAATTGTAACGTGAAGTTGGTTTACATAAATTTTCATTTCTATGTGAGTGACGTCATTGCACCGCTGCTTGGTATATAAGAAGCGATCTGTGAACACCAGAGGAGATTACAGCTAAATTTTGACCAGAGCAGAGCTCCGTTCAATTTCACAATTTATTTGAAGTTGGACTTAGTCGTTTTTAGGGAGAAATATTTCTGGACTTTGTCAATTTTCAGAAGAAAATTGTCGAGACTTAGAATAATTCTATAGGATACAAGGCCGCACATCGTTACTGTGGATGATAACTTGGACATCTACCTGAAGTGAAGGATACCCACAAAGGAAGACTGCTACACCCGGCGTTAATAGATAATAACTTGGCATCTATATGTGTAGAGGAGACCTAAGCGGGAATTTTCAACACTGTTCGGAGGCAGCGTGCATCAAGCCTTTACCACATCTCTGAGCTCTGCCAGTTACAATTTCATGTATACATGAAGTTGGACTTTGGTGATTTTTGAAGTAGGAATTCGTGGACTTTGTCGATATTTGGAGAATAATTATTTCGACTTTGTTTATTTTTGGAGAAAGACATATTGAACTTTGAAGATTTCAACAGTAGCATTAGAGGGCAAATATTTTTACTTATATATTTTGCCTATGCCTTTGTGTACATGCTATATTCTGCCCTGTCAACCCTCACGCATTAGGCGTGATTGTCACGCATTTGCTGGAAAAATAGAAATCACGCATCAATTTAGCGTGTATGATTAAATATCACGCATATCACGCATTTTGTTGATATTTTTAAAAAACGTTTTAAAAATCGTTTTCTGTGAAATGCCGATACGGTAAAATACCGAACGGCGGTCTTTGCACGCGATTGCCGTTTATGTCACGGATTTTGTACAAAATATGTGTATATATCACGCATTTGTTTCGAAAAAGTTTACACCTACCCCCCCCCCCCCCCCCCCCCCCCCCCCCCGTTGACGGACTTGAACAGCTAGCGTTAGGGAGCTGGAAAAAATTTAGGTGTCCAAAATCTGAGTGTTCACTGAAGCTGTCCAAAGTTTGAAGGAAGGTGTTCAACATTTGGAAGTCACTCATGTCAGACGGTCCCAAGTTGACAGCCCTGTATCTTGTAGGTAGCTAGATTCATTGTGAAGGGAGTTTTTGGACTTAGCAGTTTATCCAGCGAGGTATTTTGACTTTGATGATTTCGCGTCATTGAAGTTAGAATATACATCTACAGAGAGGAAGTTCCAGGACTAAGCAATTCATTCAGCGAGATATTTTGACTTTGATGATTTCGCGTCATTGAAGTTAGAATATACATCTACAGAAGAAGAAGTTCCAGGACTGAGCAGATTATTCAGCGAGATATTTTGACTTTGGTGATTTCGCATCATTAGAGTTAGAATATACATCTACAGAAGAGGACGTTCCAGGACTTAGCAGTTTATTCAGCGAGATATTTTGACTTTGATGATTTCGTGTCATTGAAGTTAGAATATACATCTACAGAAGAGGACGTTCCAGGACTTAGTAGATTATTCAGCGAGATATTTTGACTTTGATGATTTCGCGTCATTGAAGTTAGAACATACATCTACAGAAGAGGACGTTCCAGGACTTAGCAGATTATCCAGCGAGATATTTTGACTTTGATGATTTCGCGTCATTGAAGTTGGAATATACATCTACAGAGAGGACGTTCCAAGACTTAGCAGATTATCCAGCTAGATATTTTGGCTTTGATGATTTCGCGTCATTGAAGTTAGAATATACATCTACAGAAGAGGACGTTCCAGGACTTAGCAGATTATCCAGCGAGATATTTTGACTTTGACGATTTTGCATCATTGAAGTTAGAATATACATCTACAGAGAGGAGACGATAAAGGAGCTCGCAGTCTACAGACAGAATTATTCTGACTTTGATGATTCCGCATCATTGAAGAAAGAATATACCCCACCCAGAGGAGACGATATAGGAGATTGCAGATTACAGAGAATTATTCTGACTTTGGTGACTTATCATTGAAGTTAGAATATACCACAACACAGTGAGAGAAGACGATCCAGGAGATTGCAGATTACAGACAGAATTATTTTGACTTTGGTGATTTCGTATCATCAAGGTTGGAATTTTCAACTACACAGAGATCCAGGAGACAACACAAAGAAGAGGTCCAGGAGATAACAGCGTAATATTTGGACTCTGAAGATTTTGCATCCTTGAAGATTGAATATACATCTGCCCAAGATTGGTGAACTGGGACTTAGTTATTTTTGGAAGAACAAATAATTTGACTTTGTCATTTTGATGTGAATGATAACTGGGGCTTAGAATATTCTTACTTTTATCCGAGATTGAGAGTAGCAGGACTTAGTCATTTTTAAGGAAGAAATAATTTGACTTTGACACTTTGTTGTGAAGTATAACTGACTTAGAATATTCTTACACACTTGCATATAATGTTTTGAGTTTTGAGTTTTGTAGAACATTTATCTGGAGAAGACATCTGAAGTTGGGGACTTGGCTGATTTGCAGTTTGAGCTGACAGTGACAACTACCAGAGAAGAAGATTACAGAGCGTGTTGTTTTGATTTTGGTGATTTCACATCACTGAAGTTAGAACATACACCCAGTTGGAGAACCAGAGCAGAGGATATAGGACTTAGGAGTTCACAGAGCCTGTTGTTTTGACTTTGGTGATTTTACATCACTGAAGTTAGAACATACACCCAGTTGGAGAACCAGAGCAGAGGATACAGGACTTAGGAGTTTACAGAGCCTGTTGTTTTGACTTTGGTGATTTCCCATCACTGAAGTTTAAACATACACCCAGTTGGAGAACCAGAGCAGAGGATACAGGACTTAGGAGTTTACAGAGCCTGTTGTTTTGACTTTGGTGATTTCACATCACTGAAGTTTAAACATACACCCCGTTGGAGAACCAGAGCAGAGGATACAGGACTTAGGAGTTTACAGAGCCCGTTGTTTTGACTTTGGTGCTTTCACGCCACTTGATAGTGTGAACAAGTTTCAACAGTGATCGTCAATAATACATGGACTTTTGAGGTATAAGATGACAAGTGATAATGCAGAGAATTATTCTTTGATTATATGAACTCTGGATATTATTATATACAGCATTAGTGATACAGTGATAATTCATTTCGTTATATGGACTCTGGGAGTTTTAGAATAGAATCAACAAAATAACTTCATTACATACTTGAAATATAATGTAGTTTTATTTTGGCTTATAAACGCCACAATATATTGTTTTATATTATAGTAGCCGAGACAACACAAGTCCCAAGTCTGTATTTTTACTTGAGAGTAAAAATACAGACTTGGGACTTGTGTTGTCTCGGCTACTACATATAAAATTATATATTCTTTAGGGACAAAGCACATTTAACGTGTGCCGTGCAATCCACAAGTAAACACCATTTACTAAACAGTGGTCTTTTTATTAGCCACACTACCACATATCCACAAAAAAGGCCAAACTGTTACAATATAATAATTTCGATTCATTGATAATCATTGATATGCAATTACATAATTTAGTATATACAAGTAGCATATTTAAGTGCTTATAGTCACAAGGAAATTATAAGCACTAGTAGTGTAAAAATGATTGGAAAGCCAGACTGAAGGTAGGCACCATACCAGATTTATTTTAAATAAGATTAATAAACTAACGTTTTGCCTTTCCAAGATATTTTTCCTTGGCTTCTAGTAATGCTCTGATATTTAATGCTACATACAAAACTATATCAGTATTGGAGGTGCTGTTTATGATGGCTGAAATTATTTGTTCATTGCTATACCTCATCTGTGAGACCTGAAAATAAGTAATAGTTTGAAATGAATGTATAAAAAGGGGAAATTCAGTGATCTACATTTTTTTACTTTTAAAATGCAGATCACTGACAATTTCAGAAAATCATTAATCCAAAATCATGAAATACTGAAGTAACCATGAATGGAATAAGATAAATGTACCTAAACATAACATGGCAGTTCACTAGAAAACCAAATTCATGGACGGGTACATTAAACTATATACAGAGAAATTCTTAAATTTCACGTACACTTTGCATGTGAATAGAGGATATGCATCGCCCCTGTTCTTCCCTTTCAAATGTTTCTTTGAACGTATTTGCCAAGTCTCTGGTATATCCTACACCATCTAAAATGATAACATGGACATTGGGCCAACCAAGACTCATGAATAGTGTGGCTAAAGCAGGCCCCTGAAAATACATAAATAGATGATTATGTTAAGGACCCTTTTAATAAAAAGGCACTAATTTACATTTTTCATGATATTCTATTCAAGATATATCCTGAAATTTGCACTATTTATTTTTATCTTAAAATCTGCAGCTTGGTTTCAAAGAAAATGAAAGCCTATGCTTCCAAAGATCATTTTCCCCATAATAACGTTATAGCTTTACATGAAGGCTCGTAATACATGTCCATGACAGTATACATACCAAAAACTCTATTAGTTTTCACATCCATGCAACTCTGCTTCGTTATATTCAAAAGATATTATACAAATATTTCATTCTATTTAGGTGAATACCTGTATATCTTTCACAGGCAATATTCGCATAAGTCTTGATAGCTCAGGAAATATTGAACTTGTGAAAGATGTAGAATGAGATTTTTGTTTTATTATATATTCGCTGTTATTATTCCTTTTTCTTTCGATCTTCAGTGATGTTACATTGCTATCTGACTTAATATTGCCATGCGTTATCGAGAATCCAGAAGCCAGAGTGAATGGTATAAGAGTATGCTGGATGAATGCTAGTCAGGTTATATGGTTCAGATTACACTGGACGGTCTCAAATCCGAGGAATATAAATAAGTTATTCACCAGGAGGGTATTTAAATGTGAGGAATATCACAATATTTCCCGATGGAAAAAATGTTCGACTCTCAGTTACATATTATCCCGCCCTAACGTGCATTGAGAATTTAGGAAAAAATGAAATTTTGAAAATTGTAACATTTTTACACGGGATGATATCAATATCACCCCTGATATCATGCCTCTAATCCTGATATCATCCCCCTAATCCTGATAACTCCCCTGCCCCAAATATGTGATATCGCTTGCTATTATTTATTCCATTCTTAGTAGTGTTATAGGTAAATAACATGCAGGAATAAAATTGATATGTGACGTGAGCGGGTGATATATAGAGGATATCCTATGATTTATGAGTGATCCACGAATTGATATGACATCTGCACGAGCGAGCGTAGCGATAGAGTGCAGATATCAATATCCATGAGTGGATCAAAATCATATCACGAGTAAATCATAGGATGTTTATAACATGGAAATAACATGCGGGAATATAATCGATATCTGAGGTGAGCGGGTGATATATACAGGGTGGGCCAAAAAACGCCACTTTTTTCAAAATGCTATAACTTGTTTAATTTTTGATACAAAATCATAATTTGCATACCAAATGAAACCTGAGGTTGTTATCTAGCCATGGATTATGCATTATACACTTTTACATGAAAAAACATGTCACCAGCGTCTCACTTAAACATATGGTGTGCCATGAGAAATAAGCATAATTTGCAAAATGTTCCTGAACTGATACGGCCTGAGGATCGCCAAGCTAATAGCCCTAATGCAAACCACAGTGAATATAGGGTATGGAAAGGTCTCCAGGAGATTGTATGAAGGCATCCAATCTAGAAAATTGCTCAACAAAAGCTCGCAATTAAGACAGCATAAAAAAACTTAGCTAACATTTCATTGATACTGCTATATCAGCAAGGCGACTAAAACTAAAATATATCATCAAATAGGGTGGCGGACCAGTTGAACTCATCTTTTGGATGAAATATAATCCAAGTTGAAGGACTTGTTACATTATATTATTACTAAGAACCCCTGCACGGGGTAAAGCAGACCCGATGATGCAATGAGCTTGCTCGGCGGTATCATGACTGTGTAACGGGTCTTAATGTATAAGTGTGCTCGGCGGAAGGTTCAAACAACGCGGATCCTCAAAGCATGTGCTCATGGTATATTCGTGTTTTAACACCCGTGCCCTGGTACTATATAACTGACTGCAGAATTTGGGGTATGTAGGTTGGAAAATGAAAAAGTTGTAGTGTCTTGAAAAAAAGAGGCGTTTTTTGGCCCAGCCTGTATATATCCCGCTGAAGTGAGCGGGAGATATATATATCACCCACTCATCAGCAATCCCCGGGAATTTCTTTCAGTGCTTTTTTGAATTCCCGGGATATACTTTGGCTCTATTTGATAAATATTAATTTCATACACTGTTAAATGTTAAAAGCTGTTGAGTTTTAAAAAACAAAGATTGTTCATGAGGACTTTAAATTGGGATTATCCCGAGGCCAATATAATATATCTGCCCGAGGATACAGATTTATTTACTTTATTGGAATTTCTTTTGTTCCCCGCTTAGAAAATAGTCGTTCGAACAAATATGGGGCTTAACATGTAAACCTATGAGGAAAACCACTGGTCCTTAACTTTTTTGAGGAGTATATATATAAGGGTTATGTACTGGGAGGTTTTGGATATAGGGTTTATCCCAAGGGAAATATGTGTATCTCACGAGGGACCGCAGGGACCTCGTGAGATACACATATTTCCCTTGGGATAATTACTGTATCCAAAACCGACCGTACATAACTGGTGTATCTCATACTTGAGTGGGTTTGGGGTAGATATAATCTTTACCACCTTTTTCATATGACAAGATAGGCCTATACTGTAAAAGCACAATTTATATTTAACATTTTCATAATATTCCTTCAGTTCAATACAATAGAATTGTAACATTTAAACTTTTTGAAAATTTTTAAACTTCTGAAATTTAAATTGTTAAAATTCTTAAACTTTTTCAAAACTTTTGAAAAAATTCCCGGGAGCGGGATGGATATGTTATATCTGCCCGCATTTGGCCTAGAGCGGGACATATACAATATATCCTGCCCGCTCCTCAGATATGATATATATTCCCGAGTGATATCTACCCCAAACCCACTCAAGTATGAAATACATATATTTATCCCATACTTGGACGTGTTACGGGTACATAAAGCCGGTTTGTAAAAACTTTTATCCCATACTTGGACGTGTTACAGGTACGAAAAGCCGGTTTGTAAAAACTTATATTTTCATCAGCGGGCAGATATAGCTTTACGTCCCGCTCCGAGCGGGCAGATATAGTATATCTGCCCGCTACGTCATATTCGCCGCTCGCATATTTGTTCATAATTTGTAACGTTCGCGTAATGACTGTAAACGACAATGGAGAAAACACAGACAATCGGGATCTGTTTGATGGTTTAAAAAAGGGAAGCAGCATCCACTTAATCCATCAAAAAATTCGAGAAAAAAAATGTGGGAATATTTGAGAGAACAGGAAAATCCGCCCACGGCCAAGAAAACAAAACTGGACATGAATATTCTGAAATATTTCCACGATTGAACAATGTGAACCAGATGACCAAGATTGGTATGGGATAAACATATTATCCTATAGTCGGTTCAGGATATTGGGATTATCCCTTGGCCAATATAATATATTTTCCCTCGGGACCTGCGGCCCTCGGGCAAATTCATTATATTGGCCTCGGGATAATCCCAATATTCTGAACCTCATATAGGATAATCTCTATATATTTTCATCATCGGGCAGATATAGCTTTACGTCCCGCTCCGAGCGGGGAGATATAGTATATCTGCCCGCTACGTCATAATCGCTGTTCCCGTATTGGTTCTTTTTTGTAACGTTCGCATACTGTAATGGAGGAAAACGCAGACAATCGCGATCTGTTTGATGCTTTCAATAAGGGAAGGACAGTATGCGCCGTTAATAATTAAAGATTTGAACAGGAAAATCCGGCTACGGACAAGAATACAAAACTGGACATGAATATTTTAAAATAATTCCACGGTTGGTTGCAAAGTTTCTGAACTTTGGCCAATTAAACAATGTGATTGGTATGGGATAAACAGATCATCCTATAGTCGGTTCGGGATATTGGGATTATCCCTTGGCCAATATGAAATATCTACCCTCGGGACCTACGGCCCTCGGGCAGATACAGTATATTGGCCTCGGGATAATCCCAATCTCCTGAACCTCATATAGGATAATCTATATATAGAGGTTATTTAATGTGAGGTTTTTGATACAGGGTATATCTGAGGGAAATACAATATATCTACCTGAGGGAACATAGTGGCCCTAATGTAGTAATTACAAACGTTAATTACATCAAAACATGAATTGAAAAAACAGGCACTATTGAAAAAAGCAGATCATTGAATGAATATCTAACCAGGATCGAGTAAACTCTCACCTGCTTACTGTCTGATGGTACAGTTCTTACAACATACGGGAACCTAGTTCTGTCACTTAACTGAGGGCTTGTAGCAAATGGAGTTACTAAAGCTGTCTGTGTAGTCTTCAAATACTCTGCAACTTTCATAGTGCTGTCACTGCCTTGAGATCCAACAAATCCAACAACCCGATCAGGGCCAATACGGGCACCAATTGAATCATGGACCAACAGATCACCTTCGTAAAATTTTCTAATTACTTTCGGTCCATGTTCTGCTGATGAACAGTCATCCATAAAAATTGCACCAATTTTGATACCCAGGTCTTCAAACTGACCTTCATGCCTGTTTATTTGTTTAAGAGCAAGTTCAACAGCTTCCATATATTGGAAAGGAAATAGTGAAATGTCTTTGCACCCATTCTTTGTAAGACCAAACATTACCATGATGTACAAATCACCATCTATGACAACATGGGAAGGGTACGGTAAAGATGTGTCCGCAATCACGGCCAATGACAAAATAGCCAATACTTTAGTGAGAACGTATCTCATCATAATTATCCTATTAGAGAAATGAAAATATGATTTATATTAACATGTGGTATATAAAAGGTGAAATCTGATTCATTCAGGATACATTTTGGATGTTTTAATCGGCCATAAAAATAGCGCATTTGGAAATGTAATGATCATGTTTTGCATTCAAATGTTTATTTCCTTATTTTCTTAATTGTAGGCTACTCAACTTACATGCAATTAAACAAAACCAATTTTAATCTGTTGTTTAAAGTACATTCCCCTCCATAAGTTTGGCAACCTTAGCTCCCCCATTGAACTACGTGTTATAGCCTCTTTACGTTTGAATTTTTATTTATTTAACTTTCGATGTAATAACTTATAATATTGATGGAAACATAACTTGACTTTATTCCAATATATACCTCCAAATTTTGCCAATTTTTTACTAAATTACAATGGGTCGGAAGTTGATGATAAATTTGATGAATTTTTGAAAATCGTCATTCCCTTGTTAACCAATGGGAAATGGTGGGTTCGGGGCAAATCAGAAATCAGAATATCTATTCGGTGAACGATTCAGCAAAAAATATTTTTATATAGAAAATTGAATTGTCTAACTTTTTTGTTCACTAAGTGTTTAATATACTTGATGAATACTAAAGTTACAGCGCTTCAAAGTCATTTTTGAAAATAATTTTTCGCATCCTGTGTTCTTTCAATGGGAGAGGTTTTTTAACTATATCAACTTTTTGTTAAATAAAGTTAGCAAATTCAATTGCCTACCTCGTATTTTTTGCAGGGACTCAGATGGATGGATATTCTGTCATATGACTTGCTGCAAACCTACCATTTCCCATTGGTTAACATGGGAATGTCGATTTTCGAAAACAGCCAGCTATCCTTTTTTGATACTGCATATATTTTCGATGGAGTTGTTACAAGACTGGCTCATTTTTGCAATAGACTATTTGCTCTATAGACGAATAAACATATGGCAACACGTGTGTTGGTAAAATGGTAGAGCCAGAATACATGAATACATTTGAAAATTGAATAAAGGTAAATGACTTTGCAAATCAAAAGTGTTTTGATAGAAAATTACACACAGAATTCAATTACGCCACCAAATAGGAGAAATTGGCTTTATGATAAAAACTGTAAATCTAAAACGGGACTTCAACGAGATTTCAAAGCTATTTAATAAACCATTTATTGTTCCTGAAATGGGATAAATAAATCTTTAGGGGTTTCTGTAAGAAGGGTAGCAGAATATACAAATGTCAGGATTAGATAACAAATATATTTTGGGCAAATATTAATAAAAATCACTAATATTAGTCCTCAAACAACAGCACAAGGTCGGTCAATTGGTCAGTCGGTCGATCATTCTGTCGGTCGATCAGTTCAATTACATTTGTAGTTAGTCAGTACTCTCATATGGAATTTATTTTGTATCAAAATTGGACATTACATAATGTATGGGAAAAATCGAACTATGTGGTGCGATACTCGAACTATATGATTCGAAACTCGCATCATACTATGCGAAATACGCATCATTATATGCGAAACTCGCATCATCGTATGCCATTTTCAATCCTTGTTAACCAACAGTTAATTTTCTTACATCACTTATTTTCATTCACACACGCACTGGTTGTATCAAGCGTCACACAAAGAGTTAGCACTAACTCCGATTACTTTCCCAAAATCCCAAAAAATGTTGAAATGTCACACGGATTGTGTTATAAGTTGCATAGAATACTGAAAGAATTACACATGGATCAAAGTAAATTTCGAACGAACGTGTCGATTTTACACACGCATTGAGTGCAAACTCGCATAGGATGGTTCCCGTTCGCATGGGCTGTCACAAACAAGTTGCACTTCACATAGGGTGCGAGATTTGAAGTCACGTGATATTTACATCCTGGTTTCTACAATATGGCGCCCTCCGTTGAAATGTTATAAAATGTAAATTTTAAATTAAAAATATATAATAGGATACCCTAGGCTAGGGAGACGTACAGTGACCATTTATTGAGAAACTACAAACTAGATCTTTTTATCTTTTTGCCGCGCTGATGTGTTATTTCGTTCAGTGCAAAAGTAACGCGAGATTTAGAACAAAATCTCGAACATCTATAGAAAGCAATTTATGTTACATCAAGGTGTGTGATCGGTACATCAAGGTGTGTGATCGGTACATCAAGGTTTGTGGTCGGCACATCATGGTTTTTGAAGGGAACAACGTTTGTGCGAGCCGCATTAGCATTTGTTTGACTTGTGTACCCTGTTCAATGTCATTTTAAACGATGCATAGCCTACACAAATACGCATGTACAAGTGTGATTTTACAAACATAAAGTGTGCAAACTCGAACAAACCGTGTATGAAATCACACGGATTGTGTATGTATTCTGCTAAACGCTATTCTATGTGTTAGAGATATCACATAAACATAAGATGTTCAATTTCGATACAGTTTTAACACCATACTCTCAATCCATTAGCTAAGGATATATTGAGCTCTAAACAGGGGACCGAAACGCGTGGAGTATTTTTTTTTAGAAAGCAGGTGGATGTAGTTTTTAGCTCACATGGTGAGCTTTTGCAATCGCTCACTTGTCCGTCTGTCTGTCCGTCCGTCCGTCCGTCTGTCTGTCCGTCTGTCCGTCAACAATAGTGGCACGTTTTAAAACCTCTGTCGATAGGATTCCTGTTTTAAGTTATTTCTGTTCAAAATCAATACAGAAAACTCCCCTATGACTCCTGGTTCAAAAGCTCGCCTATTTTCAAAATTCACTTTTGACTGGTACGTTTTAAAACCTCTGTCGATAGGATTCCTGTTTTAAGTTATTTCTGTTCAACATCAATACAGAAAACTCCCCTATGACTCCTGGTTCAAAAGCTCGCCTATTTTCAAAATGGCCGCCATTTTTGTCTCGCGAAATTCACTTTTGACCCATTTCCTAGCTTTACAAATAATTTCAGGTGTCCTACATTGTAAAAATCTGTGTCAATGTAAAGAGTAGATATATGAAATAATTTTGTTACAAAAACTTAGCGAAAAATTATATCTATTTTTTTTATTTTCAGCCATTTTAGTTAACATTGATTTGTCCATCTGACTTGTGAAATCCACTTTTCCGTCAACAACAGTGGCACGTTCTAAAACCTCTGTCGATAGGATTCCTGTTTTAAGTTATTTCTGTTCAACATCAATACAGAAAACTCCCCTATGACTCCTGGCTCAAAATCTCGCCTATTTTCAAAATGGCCGCCATTTTTGTCTCGCGAAATTCACTTTTGACCTATTTCCTAGCTTTACAAATAATTTCAGCTGTCCTGCATTGTAGAAAGCCATATCACTGTAAAGAGTAGTTGTATGAAATAATTTTGTTATAAAAAATCGGCAAAATATTATATCCGTTTTTTTTTCAGCCATTTTAGTTAACATTGATTTGTCCATCTGTCTCGCGAAATCCTTTTTGGACCATTTGCTTAAAACCTCTGTCGATAGGATTCCAGTTTCAAGTTATTTTTGTTCAACATCAATACAAAAAACTCCCCTATGACTCCTGGTTCAAAAGCTTGCCTAATTTCAAAATGGTCGCCATTTTTGTCTCACGAAATTTCTCGTGAAATAATTTTGTTACTAATAATTAGCAAAAAATTATATCCGTTTTTTCAGCCATTTTACTTAACATCGACTTGTCCATCTGTCTCTCAGTCAGTCCAAAATAGTAGCAAGTGACTTGAAATAATTTTGTTACAAAAAATCAGCAAAAAATTATATCCGTTTTTTTTTATTTTCTGTTATTTTAGCCATCATTCACTTCACTTTTGAGCAACACCATGTGAGCCTAGTACCCACGGTACTAATTTTATTTTAGTAGCATGTGAACGTTTCATAGAGTGTTCTTACTTGGCAATAAGCTCATCACGTTACCAATACATTAGGGAAACATGCCATTGTTGTCATCCATTCAGTTTTTCTGGATTCTGTGGTTTACCCCACTTTGCTGCTAAGTTTTGGGTGTCAATTTGTAACCATTGAATATTCCCCTGACCCCTATGGGGCGTGAAGGGCGTATTGGTAAATTGCCTAGAGTAGTACTAAAAATGTTTATAGTCGAAAAAATAAAACTATGCAAAGCTAATTTTTTGAGATGGCGTTTTTTGTAATGTTTTACTTATGTGCACGTCGAAAATACTCCACGCGCTTCACACCTTGCTAAACAGTTCTCCTGCTAAAGGCCGATTCATTGTTCATATTTCATGGTTACTATTAAAGGCCATAATGGGGCATTTTAAAATATAATCCTTTTGTAAAATGTACGGTATATCTTGGATGAGATCTACTTGTGAAATATGATGTTTTAATACACCGACTCAATCCAATACTAAATCGTAAATCGTAAATCGTATTTTATTGAAGTTTGGATTGATTTAATTTTAGTATAAATGAGAAGACAAAATAAGCTTTCCAATGGTGTGCTGAATGTGTGGCAAACTCTTATCTATCATGAAAAACTGTATACTATGTAATGTCACCATTCAGTGTAAATATTTTGTATTTTGTGATGTTAATATAATCATTTATCACATCTACAATATTGATCTAGCCAATAATTTCCTACATACTGTCTAACTTTTCCTGATACTGACCAGCGTTGCCTGTTTATCCTGTTGAAGATATATTGCTCACCTATCTTGTATTTCTGTTTAGTTACTTTCTGATGAACACCTATACGATCACTATGCTCTTGGTGTATAACACTCTCACAATCTCCTAAGTATGTGCCTATTAATTACATATACAGGATGGGCCAAAAATGTGCATATATTCTTTATTTTTATTTGGCAATTGCTTTTTGATAATGCATATATTTTCGTTGAAGGTACAAGACTGACTCATTTTTGCAATACACTATTTGCTGTTTGCTATATAGACGGATAAATATATGGCAGCACGTGTGTTAGTAAAATGGTCAAGAAAGAATACATGGAGACATATGGTAAGACTCACATAATTTCTTGATCTATCAAGTATTTCAATTTGGATTAACGTAAAACACCATTGGATAACTATATGATTAGCCCGACCTTCTTCAGAAAATAGTTAAAGTTGAATAAAGGTGAATGACTTTGCAAATCAAAGTTGTTTTGATAGAAAATTATACAAAGAATTCAAATATGCCACCAAATAGAAGAAAATCTTTATGGTTTAAACTGTAGATCTCATTAAAACGGGACTTCAACGAGATTTCAAAGCTATTGAACAAACCGTATATTGTTCCTTCCTGAAATGGGATAAATAAATCTTCTGGGGTTTCTGTAGAAAGGGTAACAGAATATACAAATGTCAAGATTAGATAACAAATATTTACTCGAGTCTCTAGCTTACAGCTAGGCGAAACTTCATTAATTTCGTATAGAGAAGGCTTTGGACCGAAGTAAACAAATATATTTTAAGCAAATATTTTACACTAATATTAGTCATGCCTCAAACAACAATACCAGACACATTATTCAGCCTGGCAGAAAGACACATTGATTGGGGTCTTATTTGTATATTAAACAATAAATAAATGAAATTGATGTTTTTCAGCACCACCCTGTATGATAATAAACATAACCGTATGTAAAGACATTCTAGTGTAATATTTCAGTTATTTTTCATGCTTCGTTTGCTTTGACATAGGTAAATAGTAAATAAATCCACACATTTATCAAGTAGATAACATGTATAATTCATATTAAATTGGAGCAACTGAAACCTTGTGAATCAGGATGCCTAGGCAGGCACCAGCATATGGAATTTGAACATAAATCTGTAAACTAGTATTTGAGTTATCAGAGATTACATTTTCATGAAAAATGGTGGGCATTTTTAGTGGCCACTTTAAAAATTCTTAACAGAGCAGAGATTCTACCCCAATAAGGCACCAGCCTACAAAATATGAACCAAAATCGTCGACCGGTATTTGAGTTATTTCCCGAACAAATAGACACAAACTGACGACACACGAATTGACGGATGGACGGATTCCCGGGAACTTACTTGTTGGTAGTATAAAAACTCTCCAAATGAAATAGATACAGAAAATAATTTGGGAGAGCCTATAATGATGCTAGAAAAGTATTTTGGGTGAGAGACATGGCTGAAGTCAAGGCAGGCCTCGAAACTTTGGTACCAAAATAACTATCTGGCTAATTTTTTGTCTCTCATTCCTTTTTCTCTACCCATAAACAGTGGATGCCTTCTTCATACTTACTTGCTCACTTACTAACTTTACTTTACTTTTACTTTGAACGGTCGGATGAACGAACGAACGCACGCACGCACAAACGAACGAACGGTCGGACGAACGAAGGAACGGACGGACGGTCAGACTAACAAACGAGGCAATGAAATATCTACGTCCTCTGGAATGACACAAATAAACAAGACTATGCTCCCGATTTCAGAGGAAACTTGCTCGCGATTTTTAAACCATAGTGGGACATACAGTTCACACAGTTAAATCATTTGAATGTCTCCATAAATGAGACACAAGCATCACATTTAAATGTGTATCCTTCCCCCTGTGCCTGTGAACAGTCCCATTGTGGCGAAGTTGAGTCTCTATCTTTTAAAAAACATGAAAACAAATATAGTTTAAAATATTAATTTATTCAAGAAAAGTTAAAGTCCAAAAATATCATTTCAATCGGCTACTTACAGTTTTTGGTTTGTCCCGAGTTCACGCAACGAGGTTCTGAGGATTTCAGACAAAATTGCCGCTTTTATACCCAATTTTTTTATGTGGGCCCCGCCAAAATAAGGGGTCTTATCCAATGAAATCCCCTAAAAACCCATTAACAAAAATTGGCAGGAAAGAAGTGTGAAAAATTATATGAAGATTAATTATCAACATGCCAGATTTCTGCCCACATTATTTTCTAAAAAGTTGAAAAGTTCCCATTTATTTCAGTTTTTGTTGAAACTTTTGAGACAGGTATGATTAATAACTGAATCCCAGAACCTCGGTTCAGACAATTCTCATGAACTTTTTACCTTACTCATTTAAACCATTAAGTCATTATCTCTTCAAAATACATGTTTTATAATATTTTAAACAATAAAAGTTAGCAAATTCCTTATACAATTACATTACAATGTTTTTCATATATCAAAATGTATATTTCACCTACAAAATACTGGTATTGTTTTACAAAAATGACATCATATACCAATATGTTTATGAATCTATGGAAGCTAGACAAAACATCATTAATTGAATATGATAGCTTCTTGGCTCCATTCAAAGTTATACTGTCACTCAATAGACTAGACTTCCCCCTTTCTTGGAACCACTTCTTGCCACTGTGCCATTGGCTATGTGATTTACCTGTCAAATCTACCACCAGTCCTTACTATAAAACATGTTCAATTGAATGCAAGATATCTTTATCTAAGTTTAACTTTGGCACTCTGCAACATTCATAGAAGTTTAAGATTGTGTCATTGAGTTCAAGGTAATATTGATAAATTACTAAATTAATAACATTTTCCATCTTAGAAGCCTCAGTTAATTTTACAAAAATTAAATGGAAGTGAACAATTTCTTCTTGTTTTACATTATGATGTCTTATTCGAAAGTTGTTTATATCCACATGCCAAGAAATGATGCACCTTCAATGTCTACAGTAAACAAAGCTACCAGTTCCCAAAACATTCTGCTGTTATGATGATATCAGCACAACGGAAGTATTTATCATAAGATTTCTGTATTTGTAAGCAACATGTAGAGTATTCGAGATTATCATGACCTAAGTTTCAAAAATCTATGAACGAAAAATCAAACTTTGTCACACCATCACCTTGCATTTAGCTTATTTCCACCATTTCTATCCAACCTACAACTTCCACAGAAATAGTTACTCCATTCTGAAAAATCTAAATCTAAAGATTAAACTAAGGTTCTGTTGATGCATGGATTAACGGAAATAGACTGTGAACTCAATAGTCTCACCCTCAGGAACATCATTATTTTGTCGGCCCTACCTATCCTAAGCTACATACCTTTGCACAAATGGTATCATTTGAAAGCTTATCTTGTGCATTATTACATGGATATCAGTATCATGGTTGCAAAAGCAATGTGCTGACATCTCAAAAACAAATTTATTCTCTGATAAACTTGGTTATGTTCCTGACCCAAGTGCGATCCTTGATAATTTCAATGAAAATGAACATCTTTTCATCTTACTTTTGGTGCATTCAGATCGTGGCAATTTGTCGTAGTACTCGTCTTTTGGAAAACTTAAATGTTTTGAATCTGGTGTATAAGTCCTACGCTCAGTGCCTGATGTCCCAATCTGAAATGCGAATGACTTGAATGAAGAAGGATATTATGATGAGGAAAAATTCAGAAAAGCAGAGAATATATCTACTATACATTATGTACCAGAACATACACTCCCCTCCACAAGTTTGGCAAACTTAGCTCCCCCATTGAACTACGTGTTAAAGCCTCTTTACTTTTGAATTTTTATTTACTTTACCTGCGATGAAAATACTTATACTATTGATTGAAACGTAATTTGACTTTATTTCCAATACTTCCAAATTTTCTCAATTTTTTCCTCAATTACAATAGGTCGAAAATTGATGATAAATTTGATGAATTTTTGAAAATGGCAATTCCCATGAAATTCTCTTTCTAATTTTTACACTAAATATGTTTTCAATATTATATTGTCTACAAAATGTGATTTTGCCCAAGCTTTAGCATAGTATCTGTGATAGGTTTTCCACAAGGACAGTCTTTGAACCTTCGGCTGCTTTTTGATTTTCTATTCTGGTACTCGGCTGACATATACAAGATATAATTGTTAAAATATAAACGCATATACTGTATACCGTATACAATAATCTGAATTAGGATGCTTATTTATTGATTTATTGTTAAACCTCAGTCACATTTTATTTGCTACGGCCATGGTATGGTCTATAATTTCTACGGCAAGTAGCAATTCCACTGTTGCTGTGGAAATTCTACGGTCGGAAAGCCGCATTTGCTACGATAATCGTACTGCGAATAGTTGAATTTGTGGACATAAAAAATTAGGGTTGCTGTACGACCCTTTAAATCATAACGCATTTTCACTGTTGGGCGTTCCTACGACGAGTGTCGTAGTTTTTGACAATTACCAAGACAGACGCAAAGCGGCCGCAGATCGCCCCCAGGCCATCCTACGGTAGCCTCAATTGTAATTGCGGTTCGAAAAGGTAAATTGAAACCCATAAATCATAGGGTAGTCGCAAGACCACCGTCAACCGACGTACGGTCACTGTGGAACATTTCCACGGTTTGGCTACGGTGACCTTAAAAATGAAAAAAAATGTATATCTGAGTCACAACTTATTTCAGTACGGCGACTCTACGGCCTGTAAAAAATTGGATAAGCCGTACGGAGACCTTAAGACGATCGTAGATTTTCTATGTTTGTCGTAGAACTTACCGATTTCAGGAGACTACGGTTGATGTACGGTTTACGTAGAGCAAATGCGAGTGGTTTAACCCATAAAATGGACCATATCCCGACGTACGACCATTGTGGAACCTTTCTATACCGATTTGGCTACATGTGTTCAATTCTACGGTGATCGTAGAAGTGAAAAAGTGAAGGCCCCGAGGCCTCCTACTCCCGTACGGGGACAATGCCCAGTAATGGTAATGGAACAGAGCAGAGCATGAACTTTTCACATTTCAGAACAATTCCTTGGTCAATCATTGCCGAACATGATATATGATATGTGGAAAGGCTTACACGCTTCGTCCCATGAATATTTGAACTAATATTTCACAATGATCAATCCCGCTAATATTAACCAAATGATTGTTTTAAATGTGCGTTGGATGAGGGCCGCACCCCTTTTTGTGCCAATCGCCCCTTGAGTCCAAACTAATGCCCATAGATTCAGACTTTCTAATTGCTTGTAATTCCTAAATGGTTTTTCAGGTTTCTAAGAAAATAAAAATAACTTGAAAAAAGTGACCTCATCGCATCCTACGACCCCCACTACGTTTGTGGAATCTAAAGTGGTAGAATTCGATAAACAGTGACAGTGACCTACTTTTTAAAAGTACAAAATTGTAGGTCAATGAATTTTCTCCTTTTATATATGTGTATGGACCCGTGCCGTGCCCCCATGGGAATGCCTAACTAACGATAGGCTATCAAACAATGCCTCTGGTAGGGGGATCGAACCCACGACCTTCCGCTCCAGAGTCTGATGCTACAGCTGAGCCATGAAGGCACTTGCTGTCGAGGGTCGTTACAGGGTCGAGGGTCGTGTAAAATCTAGCTATATACGCACTTTTTGTGTAAAACTGAAAGACTACATGTATATATATATATATCATGAGATTAAAATGTCCTTAAGATACAGGCTGAGATATAATTAGTTCTGGGGCCCTTTCGTAGATTGTGCAAAATCATAGGTTCTGGGCCGATATAAAGATGGCAGCACCAACAGAATCCAATTTTATCTTTTTCTCCACAGATCGATTACCATGCCATCTTTATATAAACATTATTTCAATCGACCTTAGCCTACGTTCAAACATTACAACTGAACAACTAACTTACTACAATAGTTCAGGATACATGTTTTTGATTTTCAAATATCACTATTGCAAAATAAGAAGGCAAACTTCCGTTGCAGTGTTAGATTTGAACATACCAAGACACTACAATGAATGATGGTTTGAAAAAACTGGTGATTTTTGGCATTCATGAAGGGGTCTCCGGAAGTAATCATGGTGTCCAAAGAAGAATTCGAAAAAAATGTGGATGGTAACTATTCTCATTTTATCTCAGAAACTTCTATTTTAAAATAGTTTAATGCTTGTATATAGTTTTTCTATGTTTCAATGCATCACTTGTAGTAGTTTGATGAGTTTCGTCACTATACTTTCAGAGATATTGGAGGATGCAGATTGGTCATCCCTCACTTCCAAAAAAGTGAGAAAAATGTTGGAAGCAAAGTACAAAGAAGACTTCACCAGTCGGTAAGAATTGAAACCTAGAAGATGATCACTTTTCATCTAGGGCTGTAAATGCTACGTCTTGGTTGCCGACCTGGGTTTCTTCATCTGGTAACTTAGTCTATTGAAAACCAAATGCTATCGATAAGCATCGTACACTAGGCCTATAGGTGGCGCGTTTCGGCTCGAAATAAAACTTGGTCAGAAAACCCATATTTACATAACACTGACTGTTTATCCTGTACCATGACTATTATCCAGCTTTTGCCAAGGGTGGTTCATTTTCCCAAAAATCCAGGGGGTTCACAATTGACTACATTGTTTTGGGCATGGGCTTTCAACTCTAATTGAAAGCCCATGGTTTGGGAGGTGGGGTACCCGAGTCCCATGGTTACAGGCCTGCATTGTCTATGCGATTATAGTATGGGAGAATTTGGCAGGTATAACTGACAAAAATAACATTCCTCTCAATAAATTCCTGAGTATTCTAGGAATTTTTTTATTATCAATTGAACTCCCAATCATTGCAGGCCCGTAATCAAGGGGGCCAACTTATTTTTCGTTAAAGACAGGAAAGAATCCTCAATAATATTTGCTCACAGTAAAAGCCTTTCGCTTTGTTGTGTAGTTGGATATAGTTCAAGTACATGTACAATGTACATGTATTTTACAGGAAGAAAGAGATAGATGGCATTGTTATGAAGTGTATCACAAGGAAACAAGAGCAAGAGAAACAGGAGCAAGAAAATGGAGGGGAGTCAGAATCTGAGTCAGAGGAAGAGGTTAGAAGTTTTTTTTCTCACAATATCATCATTTACACCAATATGGCTACTTGAAGTAAAATAATTGTGAAACTAATTAATCCTGTTGTCTGCATGAAAGGCTATCATTATAGGATTTCCTCCTAAGAGAAAAAGTTTGATATTCATTTTTAATTTTGTGAGTATTTTACCACTCTTGCTGGCAGGTGGGTGGGTTGGTGCCATGAACGTTTTCCAGGTACATTTTTTTAAACCAAATGTGTTTCACTTATTAAAGGTTTCAGTTTTGTATCTTGTAATCAATACCGATTTTGTATTATTCTCACTAAAGTTTTTGTATTGTTAGGAATTTGAAGCTCCGCCACCAAAGAAAAAGAAGCCAGCCCCAACCACTAAAGTGCCAGCTAAATCACCTGAACCCAGAACTTTAAAGAATAAAAAGGCACTAAGTGCAGAGGTTGCAAGGGACAGTTCAGATAGTGAACCAGAGGCTGCACAACAGATGGAGGTATGTTACAAGTATTCAGGGAGATTCTTCACTATTCATTCTATTACACTTTGAAAAAATGTTATATGTTGTTGTCTCTGCTGATGAGTGTTTATGACTATAATGTGTCCGTGTGGGCAGCAGGTCCCGACTTATCCGTTCAACCTTATATTGTTACGTTTTGGACATGCTGGGTAAGTTATATTGCATGGGCATAGTGCCTGAAGGGCTCTCACCAGGAAATATTTAGGGTGTGGTGCTAACATCTTCAGAATAACCGTTCAATCGTGATAAATCCTATTTATGTTATATTTTATCCTTTTTACATGCTATTATTGTATATTCAGTCAAGTTTAGACTGTGGAAACAGTCATGATTTGCCAATAGAGTGTGGAGGGAGCTAAATAGAGTGTGGTGCTGCGCCACAGTCTAAAAGCCTGGCGAGAGCCCTGGCCTGGTACTTGCAAGTGTACCATGATGGTTGCGTCATATCGCTCCAAATACCTTCAGACTCCCCTGAATACTTATTTTGGCTTCATCCATGCTTGGTTGTCATTTTGCTCCGACACATTCATACATTTTAAGAATCATTATAGCAGTGCTTAACATTAAGTTAATAGTGTTGATTAATCATAACAATAGATCAAGATACATAGCAAACTCATTACATAATATTATTATGTATATTTCCAATATATATGTATATTTCCAGGGTGATGAGGCACTAGCACAAAGGCTTCAAGAAGAGGAGGGTGGCCGGCCACGTAGAGCAGGCAGGAGGCCTCCAAAGGGGGTAAGTTCTCAAACCACTTATTGAATCATTAATCTGGATTGTTCTCATTATACTACAGGGTGTCAAATAAGTTCCGTCCCCCCCCCCCTCTACAGCCAAAACAGGAAAAGATGGTACATTTTATAGTGTGATATACCATTGATTCCTAATGTATGTTTTCACTGTTGGAATAATTCAAGATTTTGATAAACCACTGAAAATATGTTCCTTCGCAATGTATGTATAGAACTTTAGCATATTGAATAGGTTTTTTTGTTTATGAGGCTGGTCAGTTGGTACATAATACCACAAATTAAGAATTTCATATAAACAATATTTCAAAGAAGAATCGTTCAAAGCTACACAAAAATAAAATAAAATCATCAAGTTAGACAAAGAGAGCCTTTAATCAGTCTTTAATATTGGTTTGATATTGTACTAAATATTCTTACCTGCAGGTCCAACCAAAGAAGGAAAGAAAGAAAAGAGCAGGTATGTAAATTACTTGTCCTATTGATTTGACTTTAAATGTATTTGTCTGTCAGTGCGTCCATCTGTCAATTTATAATTATTTTTAGACATATGAAAACTGCCATTTGTGTTGACCAAATCTTTTATCTATTTATGGGTTACATGCTGATAATTTCCACCATGGTCCTTGCACCTCTTTTTGCCTCATTTTGAATCTTTTTGCCTCATTTTGAAGAAATTACCACATGAGCCAACTTAATGGTGTCTTCCGTGGTTTTTTTGGTCAACTCACAATTTTAGTAATTCTATCCATGAAATACATGAGGCAATTATTTAATACTTCCTTCGCATCCATTATAAATACAATTTGACAATGTATTTGAATTTTTTTGTTATAATAATAGATCAACTATTGAAATTTATATTTCCCTTAGCAATGCACCAAATGCCTAATGAAGGTACCTACATTTGATTTAGGCTCATCTGGGTACAGCAAACCTTGCCAACTGTCTGATGAGCTTGCAGAAGTCATGGGTACAGATAGTGTAAGTGAACCATCTTAATAACAGACTTAGCCATGCCGAGCTCAGCAAGGATTTAAATAAATCAGTTAGAATCACATGTTTGGGTTCAACAAATGAAAACAAATATGATGCTACTTTTGCATTAGGATTTTTGTGTCTTTGATATTGAAATGTTGTAATTACAAGGTTTAGATCATAGTGATGGTGACCTTCTGAATCTTCTTAAAGAAGTATAAAATTCTGTACATTTAAAAACTGCACATTGATTTCAAACATATAATCAACAAGTAGAAAACAAAAATGATGTAGCTTTTGCATTAGAGTTATTTGTGCCTTTTATATTGTTATGTATTCTTTTGTCTCCAGTTGCCAAGGTCAGATGTTGTAAAAAGAATGTGGGAGATAGTGAAAGAAAGAGATATTTATGTAAGTATGTGTATTTTTCAAGGAGGACCATACAAAAAATTGAGTGAAAATATTGATAGAAAGCAATTTATATTATCAGAGACATATACATGTAATATATTGTATTCCAAATCTGATTTGAAATAACCTACATATAATACAGTTTGAATGATCAATCACTTTGTAAATAAATAAATTTCCTTTTAAACATTATAAAGTTGAATGCTCCTATTTATTGCACTTGTCATGCCACTTAATTTTAAGCAAATTAACCAATTAATTCATCATTTCCTGTTTTCTAGCTTTATTCCTGATTTTTATTGCACCCTTCGGGTGCTATATGATCAGATTTTCCATACTAAAATCTTGTCTGGCGAGGCTTGTCTACATGTATCCAGCAAAACTTTCAGGGATTCAACTGAAACGTTCATTGATGTGTCTATGTATGAAAATTTAGAACTGGTTAGTTTTTGGGCATTCTGGGTAAATCTTAAATGTCTCGGTAAAGGTTTTTGATTTCCTGTCCTAAAATGTTGTCTACAGGTTTCCAGCCAAACAGTTTCATGGATTCATCTGTAAGTTTTAGGGATTTTTCTACAATTGATTGGGGCATTCTGGATAAATATTAAAGTGGCCATTTTGGACTTTCCATTCCGACAATTCTGTATATTCTATTCAAGGGTGCGATATTGTTCACTCAGTCTTGTTAAAGTAATGATATATACATATTTTTCAGGACCCCAAAAATAAGCAGTTTATGGTGTGTGACGAACAACTGTTTAAAATATTTAGTGAGTAATATTTCTTGGTGTATAGGCCCTATTGAAAATGATGATCCAATTTGCAACATTGAAAATTCTTATTATATTGCCATTGATTTATACATTATTTTTATATGTTGATTTTTGTGTATTTTGAGCTGAGCAGTGAACTTATATTTTGTCATTAACTTAAGATTAAAAGAAATCACAATAGTAGATAGATCACATTATAAATTCAATCAAATATTTTTGCAGAGAAAAAGCGAGTGAGGATATTTGGTATGATGAAGTATCTTACACATCATATTCACCAGACGGGCAGCATGGAAGACGATGACAGATAAAGTCAGTATGCCCAAGATATGGAATGACTTGGTAAATCTCAAACTTTTTTGAAAATGTGAAAGTCAAATCAACATTTGTTTTGTTGTATGTTAGAAAGGGGATTAAACCATCGTAAATTTTTTTTCAACAGAATTTCGGACATTTTATGTACAGCAGGGGCAATACTTAAGATGGCTTATAACGATTACATTTACGTTTGAAAAGTATGTTCAAAGAAAGAAGTAAAATTAAAACTATAAAGTAAAACTACAGTAGGCCAAAAAGCTATTCAAAGCTCATAAAAGATGGCCCCAGTGACCAAAAAATCATATTAGTTTTTGGGCATTCTGGGTAAATTTTAAGGTGGCCATTTTGGATTTTCCATCCTAAAATCTTCACTTTCAAGACTTGTCTACAGGTTTTCAGCCAAACCATTTGAGGGATTCATCTGAAATTTTCAGGGATGTTTCTACATATCAACGTCAAGAACTGATTAGTTTTTGGGCATTCTGGGTAAATTTTAAGGTGGCCATTTTGGATTTTCCGTCCTAAAATCTTTACTTTCAAGACTTGTCAACAGGTTTCCAGCCAAACCTTTTGAGGGATTCATCTGAAATTTTCAGGGATGTTTCTACATATCAACGTCAAGAACTGATTAGTTTTTGGGCATTCTGGGTAAATGTTAAGGCTGCCATTTTAGATTTTCTGTCCTAAAATCTTGTCTATCGAGGCTTGTCTACAGGTTTCCAGCCAAACCGTTCAAATTTTTACATATGTTACACAGTGATAAGTTCTAGAGCTGATTAACTTTTCTGCGGCCATCTTGCTTTCTTGGTCAACAAGACCACAATGCTGTGTTTTAGGTACGATATTGTTCACGTCTGTGCCTTGTTAATGATACTATTTGCTACATCCAAAATCTGTATGGATTTGGTGGTTACACATTTGAACCATGAAACATGAAAATTTCAAGTCTGGCCACTTTTTGTTTTTCATTTCTCAATAAGTATAAACAAACCAGCCTTTTTAAAATTAATAAAAATGATGTTGCCCTTCGTATTTAATTTACATTTATATATTTTATTTACAGTTATATATGTTTTCCTTTCTGTTTACTCCAGGTTCACTCTACAAAAGAAACAATTCCATTATAACACCCATGATTAGTCTGATGGGAAGAAGCCCATATTATTTTAAGTGAATATTAAACTATAAGTAAAGGGTCAGTAAAAGTATCTACAAGTATGATAAGTGAACTTCAATATCCTCAAAAATGAAGGTGGATAGAGAAGCAGAATGGACATAGTGCTATCATATAGTGGAACGGCCCTGATAGAGGTACAGTTGTGGAAATAGGACAGGAGGATGGCTACAATAGCCACTACATATAAGACTAAATAGGATACGACACTTATTCTGTCATATTAATCCTTTGTAGAAAACTAAAACCATGTAATGCTAGAAATAGGGAGAATGAATGCAATTTTGAAGAATCAAATTTGAATGCATCAATCTGCACTTTGGTCTCTCACTTGATCTGTGCAAATATAGATTGTATCACAGTTCTAGATGTTCTTGATAAATGAATCTGCCTTTTAGTAAATAGTACAAATGATAGCATATCAGAAAAAAAAAAGTATGAACATTTTGAAAAAATAGAAAAATTATTTTTTTGATCAATGCATTTTTAAATTCCCTGCCAATTTTATTCCCAAATTGGTAGGCAATGTTTGATTTGTCTGCATTTGCATGCCAGTAATGATTTTCAAAATATTAATTGTTAATTCCAAAGAATATCTTGAACTGTATACATGCTGATCAATTAAGATTAATTGATAAAATATGTGTCATTTTTGCTTAATTATTTAGTATTAAGGGCAGTAGGGGGAATTACTATTTTGACCTCTGCCCCTAAAATGTTTCCAGCATGTTTCCCACACAGACTATAAATAACCATAATATGACACTTATTTGTAATCCAGTAATGCTTTTCATTTTTTTAGTCGAGTTTGAATATTGCTGTAATTGGATGTAACTTTTTCATATTATTGTACTTGGATTTGAAATATATTAATATTTTGTATTTGATGTGCAATAATGCATCATAATGTCTGTGTAAAACTAGATGGTGCTATATTTTGTATAAAGTATTTTATTAAACACTGGTGATTAGTGGTTGTGCTAGCAGCTTAATTGAAAAATATACTAGAGATTTTGCATCTGCTTTAAATATTTGGCAAAAATAGCCAGAATATAACTAGATTTAAAACACTGTATCAGTGTCTTCATATTCAAATACATGTACATGTATGTAGTTTGTTCAAATATCAAATTTTATTAAGATAGTTTAAAGAATGGAGGTTTGAAAAATGTGTTACTATTTCACAATAATCTTTGCTCTCATTATTTCATGTCTTGCCCATTTTCCAAAAGATCCTATAGTTCTGACTATTTCAGGAGAATCCTTCAATTTTTAGAATTCTTGTGAAATTTGGACATTTCTGCATTTTAAATCTTCTCAAACTTCTATATTTCAAAAGATATTTTCATTGTTTTTTTCTGAAAATATAATTAGGATTGTAAGGAAAACGTTGGTATGATTTTTGAATAAAAAAATGTTGTTACACTCCTCCTTCTAATTCTAAAGAGTATGCTTCAATATGCAGGCATGCTTTTTTGGAGTAAAAGTTATATTAACTCCTTTTAAACCTCAGAGCATAAACCTACAGCCTAGTTCATGCATTCTCACCATTTTATAATTTTGAAATGTTTAATTACTATGCCAAAATATGAAATATATGGAACTTTTTATGTTAAACATTTGTATTCACTATTCAAACATAAAAATGGTGTGAGGTAAAACTACTTTAATTAGAACCTTTTTGAAGAGATTCATATGTACACCTTTATTCATATTGCACTTAAGTAATACAGTGACCTTATAAGTATATACTCCTCTGCGTATGTAAGCATGCATGCAAATTAGAACATTGAAAACAATAGTGATTAGTGAAGCATTTTTAATGTTCTACATGTAGTGAGAAAAAGTGCATTATTGAATGCTGGTGGAGCAGACTGGTACATATGGAGTCAATTTATTTTTATAGGCAGAGGACCTCTACTCTAATATTCTAATATGTTGTCATATCAATTGAGTCCGGGAGTCGCTTTTTTTCTAGTTGTAGAAACTTTGTATAAAACAGTTATGTTACTGACAATATATGTAAGAAATACAGAAATACATTTACATGTACATTAAGGAAAGAATATTTTGTCTTCAAATCTTTGATAGGCCTCATATGCAAGCTCATATGACTGAATAATATGTCAAAATTGTATATTTCTTTGTTAGAAGACAATTTCATATATACAACTAGATAATGGCAACTCCGCGGAGTAGCAAATCCCAACGAACAAAATATCAATTACCGAATTCCAATCAATTATACGCATTACTATGGTTAAAATTGAAAAATTTAGAATTGCGAATTCCTGCAAAGCAGCCATTTTGAATTTTCTGAGGTACAAATCTGAAAAATAATACCATAATTGTGATCTACTCCAAAACTCCTTCAATTTGAGTATAATATAGCCATACTTTGAAGGGATCGAAAAATTATTGCGAAATCGTACATTAGACGGCCATTTTGAATTTTACGAGGCTCGAATCAGAAAAAAGATACAATATTTGCAATCTACTCTTAATTGCCTTTCATTTGAGTATAATAAAGCTATACTTCAGAAAGATCTAAAAATTAGCGAAAGTTTCTGTTTTCCTGACCCCCCATACACGGCCCCTGGGGGTCAGGATGAAAAACACGGAATATATGTGAAATAGATAGATGTTGCGAATATACTACCAAAATTTCAAACAATAATATTAATTACTTTGGTTTAGAATGAAAAATTTATGATTTTTGCGAAAAAGTCCCGTCATTTTTAAAGCGGCGGCCATCTTGAAAAATTTTTTTTTGCGTAAAACCATTCATCAATATTCATCTTTCCACCAAATATGAAGAAAATCCGTCGACTAATATTTGAGTTATCTTCCGGACAGACGGACGGACTGACTGACTGACGGATGGACGGACGGATGGACAGACAGACAGACGGAGGGCTTCACTATATCCCTACTGAACTTCTTTCGTTGGGATAATTAAGCCCACTTCCTAAATACCATCAAACTTCCACATGAAAACCAAATGGACTATGGATTTTTGCAAAATCATTAGTGATTATTACCACGGACTTTAAGATCTTCAGGTCCGTGTTATTACTAAATGTTGCATTGATGATCAATACCATTTGAAAAAGTTGATTTGTGGCAATAATGGTGATTAAAAGTCAAAGTTTAGGTCATCTGAAGGGTTAATGTGATTAAAAAGAGATAGACGTCCATGGAAAGCCAACTATTAGTCTAACCTAGTACAGTATAATGAACATCTCTCGTCCCGGGATTTATACGTTGATTAATTTCGTTTAGTGTAAAAAAGTCTTATAAGCAAGGAGGATTGGCTCCCAGGATCGAAACTCGATATTTTCCAACAATGAAAACGTCGAAATGTCGTTATTTTCTGAAATTAAAACCGACTATAAATTCAAAATAAACAGTTCAAAAGATTCGAACCAATATCTCGATCATTTCTTGTGAGTTTTGGAATTTTTCGTTTGGAAATAAGACCAAAATTCACGATTTAAATGTTGAAGTGAACAAAATGGCGGCTGTTTGAATTCGAATTTTGTATTACGACATACCCATATATGGGACAGAATATCGGTGGTGCACTCTGGGAGCCAATCCTCCTTGTCTTATAAGTAAACCGATATAGCGAAATCATCAACGTCACCGGAAGTACACTTCAGAACTGGAATTTTAAAAAGTTATTTGTTTTGCTGTAAGTATATGCTACTATTTGGACAACTATATTACGTTAGAGTGTGTAACGTTAAGTAGGTATATCTTCTTTATCCAAATGAATTTAAAACGATTGCTGATCTGTTCACTGGGCTCTAAAACTGACATTTGATAATTATTTTTGCTCTTAAAAAATCAATTGAAAAAGTTAAAACAAACATCAACGTGGAAAACCTCTTATAAGTATTCTCTCCTGTAGTCAGTGAATACATATATGAACAGTCTAAATCTTTTTGTGAGTCAACCAAACCTAAAGAGTCATAGGAACGTTTTATCAGCAAATAACAGCTTCGTCCTAAATAGTAAGTTAGACCTGTGGGGTATCTTTTTATTTTAACATTTGGTATGGCTTTGTATGTTTTGGGAGCATATTGAAATTTGACAGTTCTGTATTGGAAAATACTGATATCTGAGGGTTCAAGACTGACAAAGTTTGTTTGGGCCTGAAGTTGAGTTGTGCATATGTTTTGTTGAGCCCCACATTAGTTTTCAAAATTTTGCAGTTTTTTATTCAAAATGTCCACCAGTGATGTTGAAGTTCAGAGATCGAAGCATTAATACAATCATGATTTATTATTCAATATTGGTTGAAAATATGATAGAAATGCTTAAAAGATGCTAACTTTGAAGTTTTCTTGTTGAAAACACAAAGTAGCTTACCCTTCTCTTGAAAGTCCACAGCCTAAATGACTCGCTTAATGATTGGAACTACATTCACTTTCATAATGCCATTCGTAAACGACATGTATTTCCTAAGTTGATTTTTTAAAATGGACACCTTAAGGCAAGATTAGAAAAAATAGCAGATGAATGTTAGAGTTGACTGAGGTAAGAAGAAGGTGTAAAGCTAGTGCCTACAGTATAGAAATATTGACTTTTGAAATATAAATCAGCTCATGACTGCACTTCACGGTAGGCATGGCACTCGATAAGGCCACTCTACATGCACTGTTACATACATGTCAGGTGTTGAATAAAGTTCCTGTATAAAAAGTACATAGACGATAATGCACTCTTCAATCTGGAATCTGTCTACCAGTATATAACGTTATAAAATTTAGTACAATGAGGTCAAGGGTTTTAGGTTTTTCTATAAATCAATACAGAATTGTTTTCCATATTTTTGAACATAATGTTACTACTTTTTATGTCCAGAAGTGGTGACATATTGTTAGTCTTCAACCTTTTGTGGCCACTGTTCGGCTAGCAGTGTTCAGTGGTTGAGTTTGGTGGTTGGTGTCTCTGTATCAGTGTTCTACAGTCAGCGTTTGTAACAAATGGCAATCAATCAAACAATCTATTATAGGAATTTAGGATGTCAGTCACTGAAAAACCTTACAGAATTTAACATACCATGCACCTATTCTTTAGTCATAAGCTTTCTCATGAAAAAATAAATCTTGCAGTTTCATTAAATTTTCTAGCAGAAACCGGCAACTAATCGCCCCCCCCCCCTCTCCATTCATTTTTCTGATTTCCAGGCATGAGATCTAGTTTCACAGACTGTACACTATGATGCTAAGGTCCACAGTATTTAATTCTAATACTGAAGAAATGGACTCCAGATCAGAGTGTACACAATGAGGACAATAAAGGAGTTTCTAAATGGCTGAATAAGCTCATATAATAGATGTCACCCATGTTTATTTTTTGTTCCAGTGGCAGTGTAATGGTAAATCTGAATTAGTTTGAACTCAAGTCAAATCTGAAAATAACTCATTCATTAAACATTCATACAAAAGGGGGAAACTAGTTGAATATACATGTACAGCATTTACCTACCAGTATTAAACAAGATTTAACCCTTCCATTGAAATCCCAGTTTTGTTTTCTTAAACATAACATAAAATAACTTACAGCTGTAATCTTACAGCTTATATATACATGTACCTCCTTATGTAATTCTGTGACCTTACTTAGGAAACAGCTTTTTCATGTTTCTTCATTATCACTGACTCTTAATTTAAATAAATATTGATAAAGTACAGCCATTTGAAAATTTTTTTTTAAATTTGATCAGTTACTGCTAGGAATAATGCAAAATTATTCCATTCCCGTATTTCATTTTCTACGAATCTTACAAAGAGACAACAATAACAGCCAGAACGGCTACAAATAGTCAATAATAACAAAATGTTTGAATGTAACATCATTGAACAACATCATTATATTATTGTACATTAATAATCCAATTTTATCACATTCCTGTATACTGTAAATTAGGATGATAAAATTCATGCCCGCATTGAGTTCATTTCTATCTGCCTCCATTCTTGATCACCAAATTGATTCATCAATATTGCATTTCAACTAAAAGCCACGTAGCATCCATAAAACTAATTAAACAGAAGTATCATGGATTTAGTCAACCGTTGTAAAATACATAGAATATAGAGTTAGAGTGCTTTGCTTCAGTGCTTGGGATTACTCTGAATTGATAAGTCATGTAGCATTGTATCTTAAATGAACAATTGTTACTTTTTATTATTTCCAGGCAAATCATCGATCAGTGGTGCTGGCATGGACTCTGGCCAAGACTAGAGAGACCCACTCTGTAAAAGAATGGACACAAAGCTAAACTTAAGAAAGCAGTAATTATGGAAACTATCAGGCATCATTTGATAACAATATAAATGTAGATGTTAGGAATTAACAACTAGTCTGTTATTATGGGGAGACGCTGGCGACTCAGCACTATAAGACTCAGCATCATATGTTTGACAATAATCTTCCTCTCAACATTGTATTTATCATTCTCATCTCTCCCGGAACCTTGTAACTGTCCAAGTACAAGTTCCACACACCTTGAAGATGACAACGCACCAAAGCAACGCACAATCACAGAAACTGCTCAAAATAAATCCATTGTTGTTGATGAAACTGAGCACTGGGGGCCTCATAAGCTGGGAATTATTGTGCCATTTAGAGACAGATTTGAAGAACTTACAGAATTTGTGCCATATATGCATCAATATTTAAATAGGCAAAAGATAAGACATAAAATCTATGTGATGAACCAAGCTGATCACTTTAGGTGAGTATTCTAAACAAATAAGAATGTACAACATGATGTATCACATATAATATAATGAAACTGCCTTTTTACCAATATTTCACTTAACAAATTAATTCAATGTTTCATCATGGTGTTTTTTTATTTATTGAAATTATATCAATATATCATTATAATTTGGTGCAAAAATAAGAGATATTGAATTATATTATATTGGTCCATGTACCTGCATGAGCCATGCATAATATTCATTATTTATACTTGATAAGATGACTAATGATACACATGTACCAGTATAATTAAATGAATTGTTTGAATTGTAAAATTCACCTTTTTGTCCATTTAATCAACCCGCACTCAATGATACTTTTGACTCATGTTTGCTAATTATTAAAAACTCAAAATTAGAACATGAATCTTACCTTTTGTGTTAATGGATTTTTGGGGATTTTTCAGGTTTAACAGAGCATCTTTAATTAACAGTGGCTTCCTTATCAGCCAGAAAGAATCTGTTGACTATATAGCCATGCATGACGTAGATCTGTTACCTATTAACCAAGAACTACGTTATGAATACCCTGAGAAGGGACCCTACCACATAGCTAGTCCAAAACTCCATCCAAAGTATCATTATGATAAGTTTGTGGGAGGAATACTATTGCTCAACAAATTTGATTTTATAAAAGTAAGTAACGTTTTTGGATAATTCAATTTAAGATTCACAACATGTTATAAATTGGTGAAGTTATTAATGATTCAAAGTGCAAAAATGAGTGAAAAATGTTTAAATTCTCCCAAATAATAAGAATGGTAACCATTCTTATAGAAAAATAATACATTATTGTAAAATTCTTTAGGTTTCCTGGAATAAAGTATGCACTTTTGTGATTTTTAGAAAATAGACATGAAAAGGAATGAAATAAGCCAAAAATATTCTAAAATTGAAACAATTTTTGTTTAGCCTGCTGTCTCTATATCTGATTCTCTCTTTAAAGTCTGCGATATTAAAACAGCATGCAATTTGTGTCATCATATAGACTTCAAAGACAAAGACATATAACCTTTTTTCCATATAAGCTAAGGCTAATAATTTTTTCCTACAAGGTTATAAGTTGCATGGGGAGTGCAAATTAATAGAGGTGCAGTGGTGCATTTAATTGTATTACTTTTAATTTTTCTCTGGACCATTGGCAAAAAGTAAATTGTTGGATAGGGTCTAGTCATCCAAGAATGATTAATCTATCACATTACTGTGAGTATTTCATTAATTTTACTAATACATGTTAATATTCTTTACATTATTTCACTCCAGATAAATGGCCTATCTAACCGCTACTGGGGTTGGGGCATGGAGGATGATGAATTCTATGTGCGTATGATGGAAGCAGGACTTCAGGTTAGTTCAGCATGCCTGAACCTATCAAAAACTATTTTATCATTTTTCATGTTACCATCAAAAAGGGGTGACATATTGTTATGGTCTCCATTTTTTTGACGGCGGTTGGTGGTAAGCGTTGGGTGGTTGGCAATCGGCATCTGTAACAAATTCTTACAGCTTCCAATAACTTAACAAATACTGTTTAGACCGACTTCAATTTTTTCAAAATCATGTACAAGTTTTCAGAAGTTCAAATCTGACTTTATATTTAAGATTAGACCTTCAATGACCTTTTCAAGGTAAAAAAGGTTAAACGGTCAAAAGGGTATTTTTTCAACTTGCTTCAAATTGACCAATTTCTTTTCAAAATCATCTACAAGTTCTCAGAAATTCATATCTTACTTAAGATTGAACTCATAATATTGTGAGCAACTAGGTGGTGACATTTTGTCATATTTATGCCTTGTTAATGTTTTGGACCAGTAACCCTTCAATATCTGTTAAATATAAGGTGATTCTAGAGTATTTGGTCTTGAACTAAGTTTTCTTGAAAGCCCATAATAGTTGATGAACTCTTCTGTAATTCAGAAAGTTTGATTTAAAAGTTCTCTGAAATAATATATTCTAATGATAAAATAACGTAAATAAATCATATTATATGTACATCCTCCATGGCTGAAGATTAATTGATTTTTTGTTCTGATTTAGATCTCCAGGCCAGAGAACATCACTACAGGGACTGAAAATACATTCAAGCACATTCATGACAAGAGGAAAAGACAGAGGGATTATAACAGATATTACAATCAAAAACAGGTATCAGCTGATTTATGTCTTATTAATAATATGTGTAGGGTGAACAATTGGTTAGTTATGGTCACATACTTTGTGGCATATACGTGAATTTCCATCCAAAGTTTTGCTTTTAAAGTTTTGAAAATAAATCCATTTCATTTTATAAGATTGAATGCCCATGGTTATATGTACATGTTCAACTGCAGGAGATGAAGCGTAGAGACAGACTAACAGGTGTTGATACAGTGCAGTATACAATAGACAATCAACATGACATCACAATCAGTGGAGCCCCAGTGACTGTATATAACATTCTCCTTGAATGTGACTTACTGGCCACTCCCTGGTGTATTCATCCAGATGTTCTAGCTGCTTCCAAGAGAAAAGAAAGGATTGTTGAGAAATATGATCGACCAATCAAACATTAGTGTTGGAGCGAAGAATTAACCGCAGTAAAACCTGCATATCGAAACACCTCTCTAATGCGAACACCTCAATGCAATGTGGTGTGTTTCTCTAAGATAACCTTGAAATGTGAACACATACCAATATATATAAACACTTTTGGCTGGTTCCAGTGGCATTCGGATTAGATGGGTTTTACCATGTATTTTGCACCAGGATGAACACTGTGTTCCAACTCTCATATAACATAGATCTGAGAGATATACATATGATCCTAAAGTTTACATACTGATGTGTAGAAGTGCTTTTGAATGTAAATCTCATACATTTGGTATTTAGTACCAATTAAAAGTTCAATAATGTGTCTTGAGTGCAAATCCAAACATTGTTATTTAGTTCCATTTATTAGTGTTCATTGTCACAGACTGTATTACATTTTTTTATTTTAGACGTTTCGAATGCAAGCTGCATCCATGATCAATAAGTTTAAGTCTCAACAGTTAAAAAATACAGCTAAATCTACTATTACGTCATTGAACCTTAACAATGTCAAAAAATAATTAATTGCAATGGCGATATAACTTCTAAATTGAAGTTGCCCATGTCTCTATTGAAGTTTTTATGTTTTCTTATGTGAATGGCTTCTCTTATCAACCCATTGTTTCTTTTCCTTTTTGTGCTAACTATTTCATTAAGGTTCAATGACGTAATAGTAGATTTAGCTGTATTTTTTATCTGTTTCAATTTAAATTTATTGATCATGGATGCAGCTTGCATCCGAAACGTCTAAAATAAAAAAAAATGTAATACAGTCTGTGACAATAAACAAAATGGAATTTATATTTCCAGACTATGAACTTACTTAATATAATTGTTATTTAGTGCAGATGGAAAATTGGTCTTCAGTGCAAATTGAATGCACTTGAAAGTCCTTACATTGATATTCAGTGCCAACTAAAGAACACTTAGGGATTCACAGATGATCTCTTTGAATATTTGGAATGTACATGTAGCACTAACAAATAAAACATTTTTTGGTGGGATATGATAATTGCAATTGAAAGTAAAAAGTGAAAGTAGATTTAATTTTTTTAACCTAATGCACTTAGGCCCCCAACCTGGGATTTTTATGATAAATGAAATTTGGCTGTTCTAAACCGTGCATTAAGGGAAGATAACATAAAAATGATATGATTATCTCGTACACAACTGTGTAGGTTTTGATCTTCTGGATGAATTACTCCCCCTGGGGGGAACAGCCACTGATTCCACGTGGAAGTGTGTCCAAGTGTAAAGGGACTCTGGGGTGCATATTTCAGACCCCAAAATATCCAGCAATTATTTTCTAACTTAAATATTGATGGAAAACATTTTATTGATAGTAAGTGCAAATTGAAGGCTGTTTCTTATGGTACATTGTAAGTAAATACAAGTAAATTGTATTTGCATTATTTAAAGTAAGTAATAGATACTGCCACTTTAATTTCTAGTGCATTCTATCATATTTTGTCCATGTGTATAAGCACGACCTGGTGTCAAATACACTAATTTAACAGTATCAAGAACAGTGTAATCCCATACCAATTTGGAAAACTGAATGTGTCTCATTATAATGTACAATGTTATATTTTATGTTGTCATGTCATTGTGTCTTTTTGTGATTGGTCAGAATCAGATCACATGAATAATTTTAAAGTGGTTACAAAGACAGAGACGATTTGAGACTATTTTGCTTTGATTTTTAAGGCAGCTATTCGTGTACTTTTCCCTTTTCCAGTGTATTTGACCATTTCTGTATCTTGTATCTTCAAAAGTTTTCATATTTGATCAAAGCATACAATTAGGGTTATAAGGGGAATATTTAAATGTTTTTGGGATGATTTGTTCTAATATTTTCTCTATACTATTCTTTGTTGCCACTTTAAGCTTTGAAGATAGTGCAATTTTATTGTTATGTCAGTCTTAAACAAAATAAAACTGCTAAAACAGTTCATTGTAATGTAAACAGCATTTTTAATACATATAATGTTTGTTGAAATATTTTTTGTGATGCGCCTTTTACTATGAATTGAAAATAAATTACTGTGCGTTTGTTCAGTATATTCTACAGCATGATGTGATTGCCATTACTTTGTTGAATGTTGTCTTGTTGTCATGGTGAGCCTATAGAATCGCCTAGTTGTCCACATGTCCTTCCGTTCATTAACAATTCTTAAACAATTGAAAACTGCCATTCGTCCAATAATACTCGTATTTAACTTTTTGCTTTTCTAGAGAAATCAGCTTTTGTCATTGAAATATTTCAAAAATTAGTATTATACAAAAATTGTTTCAAAAAAGTATGATTCTGTGATTCCTCTGTATATTTTTGGCTTATAGTCTTTTTAATTATGTAGCTATTACTACCCACTTGTACTTGGTATAATTCCTCGATTCCTCGAGATTTTCATTACCAGTAAAAATAGCAATAAAGTAAAGAAAATAGGATAACATTATTCAAATGACATGTAAAATGTTACTTTGATATAAGAATCCTGTCTCTGCCAATCATTAGATAATTTATCATGGCAGCAGATTCTTTTAATATGTTCCCCTCACTCGTTAATAGAAAATTGTCTTTTAATGGTCATAGTTCATGTTTTTAAAGTTTCAAGTTTTTCAATATGAGATTTTCTGATATACTTCAATTGTTTACATTTGAATAAAAAGTGTGTTTCATCTTCGATAAACGAGTCCTTACATATTTTACAAAATCGTCTATTTAGATCAGTAATGGATGGGTCTTGTAAATCGGCCTCTCTATCTGTAGATTATGGGCCCTTATAATCTAGTGAGATGTTTAGCATTTGAAAATGTCGTTTCTGAAAGGTATTGTTCAAAGTGCGTTTTAAGTTTGAGTTCACAACCTTATGAATCTGAATTGGAATTAAAAATACACGCATTATATAAACCCAAAGACTAATCAAAATGTTGCAAACTTTTAGAATTGTATTGTTATCATCTTTGTTATCCCAACGAACGGCAGAGATATTAAATCCGCCGTCCGTCCGTCAGTAAAAAATATGTCAGATATATCTAGATTCATGAATATCTTGTTCGGTCGAGTTTATACTACTCCGTTGAGTTGCTAGGAATGCCACAATTGATTTATATCAATTGTACAATTCCCCAATTTATATGACAAACCATACGGCATACGTTTTATGGTATCTAACATAACATTTATTCAAACTTCATTTACGTAATGTACAGAAACAAAAGAATCAAGTCGCATTTCTGCATTGTGCGTTATTGAGTCTTCGCAATGAGGCATCTTGTAGAACTAGTCGCAGATGTTGTCAAAACGAGGGTGGGCGGTAAGATATATATGCAAGGTGGACAACCTGTGGGGCATGTCTAACAAACACTGTGGAACAGTCGCCATAAATAGCTGGAAATAAAAATTCTTTCTAGAAACGTCATCGTTGACTAAAAATACGGTATATTTTAGATCAATTTTTCGAAAATTTTCAGTCCTGTAACACTATTTCGCTCAATTTTACTTGCTAAAGCTGTGTTTTTACGCAAGTGTCCACGCATATTTCCAATGAATTGATTTTGTGGGGCATGATTCTGTTATGTTACCCTTGTTAAAAAGCCACACAGTTTAAAATAGGTCTTACTTTAAACCATGGGCGTAACTTATAAAAGGTAAATAGAGTATGACCTTCGCGCCATTAAACAAGACGGGCTTTGAGAACTTTTGACGGGGCTTAAGAACTCAAATAGCTTACACCAAAAGACTCTGGCGGAGGATGTTCAAAAATTTCTGATGACAAATCTGCATTGAATGCCCATCCAAAGCCATTGAGTCTCCCTGTATTGTTGTACAGCAAGAAAACTGGTTTGAAGTCATCACAATCCATATCCTGACTTATACCAGGCCAGTAGTGCTTACCTACGGTGAAGAATAATAAACATTATTAGATGTTACATCAGGGTTATGGCGAATGATGTTTATCCCAAAAAAGATATAATTTCTAATGAGTTGATGTTGATGCAGAAATGTGTAAAGTTTTCAAAATAATGAATGTGGATGTCACCTTTGGAGAAATGAACATATACTCGCTACAATAAATGATTTATCTTGCATATGGTATGGACCTTAGGGATCTTTACAAATCAAACCGAAACACCCTGACAACGGTAAAATCAGATACCGTTGTTACATCTGAATTTACCCTTGTCAGGATGTTCCGTTTTTTGTATTTGCAACGTATTTTTAAAGAAGACAAATTGCTAGTGATATTAAATGAATCCATTCAACTTCGCCTTACCCATTTCTGAAAAACAGAGCCCGTCTGACCTTACCCATTCCTGAAAAACAGAGCCCTTTCGTCCTTACCCATTCCTGAAAAACAGAGCCCTTTTGTCCTTACCCATTCCTGAAAAACAGAGCCCTTCTGTCCAGCCAGTCCCTGCAATATCGTTCTCTTGAAATGGGGCTTCCAGTACATCAGTTGGGCTTGGTCCATTCTGTATGTAGAGACCAGTTCCTGTTCCTTCTGTTTCAAACTGTTCCTCACTTCTTCCTTCACCACAGGGAGGAGCTGAAAAAGACGATCGGGTGTACTTTGTATTGCGTTTATTAGACCTCGCATTGAAAGTTTATCTTTAATGTTTTAACTTTATTTTATTTCGTTTGGTTTGCTTTCCTCAGCATGTAACTGGTGACATCTGGGTCTTAAAGTATGGGTACTGGTAAATAAGTTATCAGTTTATGCACCATAGTTAAGGTATAAGGTCAATTTTCTTATCAATGACATTGTGCAAAAGTTAAAAATCTCGGTCATATACATTTTTACGAGTCGGGGATTGCACTGGCTTCATTATTTCTGACTTATGAATTATGGTTAGAAAGTGCCACATGGTTGGTGGGAACAATTAGCTCAATTATATTGAAAGGTCTAAGATGAAATGTTTTTGCACTTCTTTCACCATCTCTTACTTATTTCATTTGCTTATATATTTCATTTTACTTATTTCAAGTTTTATTAAGTGTTAAAATGACATATGGTTATGTAAGTTTAGCATGATGTTGTCTGTGAAGTATATTATGAATACTTAGAAATGAAAACTCATCTTAACACCAAATAATATAGATGTTACCCACTAGGATTATTAAAGTAGGCAGTCACTACATATTCAGGCCCTCTACCATTGAAATAGTCTTGTATGTTGGTGGATGGATAACCATTTTCCAAACCCTTGGGTACCTATATTATGAAATATGCAGTTATCTGTCGATGAAAAGTTTTCAAATAAAAGCAATGGTGTTATTTCAAAATATTCAAATACGTTTCAATTGTTTCTAGTGTCCATGTATTAAATAATGCAAATACGAAAATCATTGTGTTTGATTTAGTCAAAAGCCAAAAAGATTTGGAAATTCATTTTTTGAAAATGTTGAAATACGTACCCCAGCCTGTATACCGGAGATGTAGCCATTGCCATCAAACAGTAATAGCACGGCACTGTCATTATTCTTGATGTAACGGTTACCATAGAAACCATTTGATTCTATAAATTAATCTAAGCATACATTGTCAAAGATATAATATTATATAAACAATTTTATACAATTTGACGCATATCGACGTATACCATAGTTTACATCAATTTCTCACCAGCCTTGGTGAAATACATATTTTAGTGGTTGATCAAAGTGCACCAAATCTAATTGATTAATTACCAGCACAACGTGTCTGCAACACATAACCCTCAGCCTCTGCATCTTGCACTGTTCTCGGCTGTTCCAGGAATGAATCCAATAATCCAAACCTCACTAGAAAACAAATTAAGAATTCTTAAACGTTTTTTACAGGCTGATTTCTTACCATTTAGTTTCCGGGCCGGGTCCGTAACATATCACATCGATCAAGTGTCAATGACACGCGATGAAAATTGTTTAAAGTTGTTCGTCAAAACAAAAGCAAAAATTGTTGGCGTTAACTAGCCTCACCCATAAACCACGGTCCAGTTATATAGGCTTACAGAAACTGATTATAGCAATTAAAAATAATATGCATTTGTCATTTTATTTGAAAAACTCACCATGCAGTCCATCCCATGCTGGAAATATGATATAAACAATTATAGCACTCTTTGTATTTTACAGGTAAACGTAAAGTATGATATGTTCTTAGTACTATCTAAGACTATCAGGTACTATGAGACTGAACTATAAACTATATAAAAATCTGTAAAAATCATTTTAATTACTTTAAAATATATTTACTTTGTTACAGTATTACCTTGTCCAAAAGCACCGCCAACCAGACACACAAATAGTAAAATGTTGCTTAGTGCCATTTTATTTTAATTGATTGAAGATTGTATTTGAAATCGCCGTTTAAATAGTGCTACTTGCACATGATGTTAAATTAGTATAAGTTACTAAATGTGTTCTACATTTTGTGAAGTAGTTCTAGGGCTGTAGGCATGACCATATGTTTTAATACATATCCTTACATTACTAAAAGTTTGAGCTCTGAAGTGTTGAACCATTTTTATCTAACTTTCTCAAATCAGTATGATACTTGAAGAGTTGCGATGCAAGCATGCAAATATTATCAAAACACCTATTGTGTCATTAAAAGGTTAAATTTAGATAATGATATTCAAGCACAATTTTCACCTTTTAACTCTAAGCGTGACGTCTTTGGACTTCAAACAAAAAAAGGTGAAAAAACATGCAAATGACATACCCATTAAACGGAGTGAAATATATGGGTAAAAATATTTCCTATATGTTTTCTGATCTGAGCATATTTAAGAAAAATAGCTGGCCTCGTGTTTTTGTCATATTATGGCAAAATCCTATAAAAATGTAAATTACTAACACCAGTATACAGAAAAGGTCAAATGCTCTCTTTTAAACAAATCTTACAATTGAATGTCTTGACATTAAACCTTTTTTGTAGAATGGCCCATATTACCCTGATAATGTCCCGTTGGACTTCTACATTAATGAATATCTTAAAGCAATATTAGTTAGAAGTTCAACATGAAAATGAGACTCTGCTTGAAGCCAATTTAGAGATTCAGTAATCTGAGAGATGGACGGCAGTGGTCTCTGAATCTCTGGATGCACCACAAATGTTTAGATAATGTTGGGAAATACATAATCAGTAGTAATGTCAAATGACCAAATAATGTTACAGTACTACTTCTTTTGCTGTTGTGGTACATAATTTGATGTATATTAGCAACAGATGATGGAGTGTCAATTTTGATGAGTAGGAGAAAAGAATTATAAAACATAATTGTGACGCTGCTCCACATACCCGGGACTTCCGTAACCATAACAACCATAACTTTTTCATTTTGAAACAATTTGTCATCACAGTTGCAGGATAAATTGTTAAAATGTCATTCTACAATCTGTAGCAATTTCATCTCACAACAGGTAAATCGATTGAAATTACAGCATTTATATCTTTACTTTCCGGACACCCTGTATAGATGCAGAAAGATGAGTAGTGTAATTCAAGAACCATAATACAAATAATGTCAACAAAATTCTCTTTTTGAATGAATGCAGAGTTAACATTTGAACCCTGTTCAAATATCTATTGAATTTAAAACATTTATACATCCTTGTTTCGAAATATACAAAAGGATTTGTTGAATTTTCTTTCATGCAAACCAAACCAAGAAAATATCTTCCTTGTAGTGTTCAGCTAGGTAACTTCCTTGTAATATTCACAAGATAAGTTTAGTGGATGAGAGAACACACTTCATCTAAAAGTACCTTATTAAAACATGAAATATTTGTTTTATTATGTTATAAATAATTAAAAAATACTAGGACTTTCCTGAGGTCAGAATTCACGAGCGACAAATAGTCAGGACAGTGCATTCTTTAAATTCGAATATTGAGGAACGTGTGAAAATGATGTAATATTTTTGATCATATGGTGCATCATTGACTAATCTGAATAGAGGGAGTCTAGCTATGATATAATAATAGTAAATTGTAATTTGGGAATAGGAATTCAATCGCAATGGAAAACTTGATTCTGATGCTCACTTTCATGGCAGTAGCCTTCCTGGATGAGTATGGAAAGGCTAACGTATTAGAAAGTGAAGGATTAAATAATGCGAAATATGATGGAATAACTGAAGTTGCTACGAATAATGACCACAAGTGTTCAAAGTGTCATTGTACGAAGTTAATTGCGGATTGTAGCAACAGGAGCATAAAAACGCTATAGAATGGCCGCTACCACTGGGACTTGAAGAATTGAATCTTGGTTCGATCTCAATTGATCATAGATCAGCATCCTTTCCTTGTGCGATTACGTTTCAAAAAGACAACAGGTTGAAAATTGTTAATGCTGCTAAAACCCGTGCAGTGACCTACTTTGGAGGTCCTGTGAAAGGATTAGTAAATCTACAGGATCTGATTTACAACAATAATGATTGTGAAATTGTACCTGAATTCTTCACATGCGCAAATGGCTATTTCGAAAGTTTACAAGTTCTGGATCTAGCCCACAACAAAATCTTACTTTCTAGATCAAGCTCGAATTTCACGGTGTTTGAGAACTGTTCGAGGCTGATTCATTTGGACATATCGTACAATAACTTGACTGACGTTCCGTTTGATATCTTAAAGGAAACAAGTTCCTTAGAGATTCTGAACTTAAGTGGTAATAAGTTAGTTAACTTTAATGTAGATTTGAACAATCAAGTATCGTTGAAAGTGCTGAACTTGTCCCACAACATTCTCCAAGGTCTTGATGAGTCTGCCAGGAATAACATTAATTCAGCTTCTGAGAGATCCGATGGTAAGCTCACTTTGGACCTCAGCGGCAACCCTTTAATTTGTAACTGTAATGCCTTTCCTCTATTAAACTGGATAAAGGATCACATTAGTATGATACATCGGGGGTCTGACCTAAAATGTCTTTACATAAATGGGTCACAAGTGAAATTCACCCATTTGGGTGTGTCTAACATGAAACTAGAATGTTGGCGGAGTACCATTATGGCATCTGGAATATCTGCATCGCTTGTTCTCTTGATTGTTGGAGTGGTGGCATATGGATATAAGCGTAGGTACAAGATCATTTACATATCTCTACATCTGAGGGCATTGTTGAGGCGTAACAACTTACATGGCATAGACTATGACTTTGATGGTTTCATAAGCTATAGCTCTTTGGACAAAACTTGGGCTATCGATAACATCTATGGCCAGTTAGTCGCTCAGTTTAACTATAACATTTGCGTGGATGACCGTAACTTCAGACCTGGATCATATCTATCTGACATTATTGTTGAGAGTATAAGCAAGAGCAACAAAATCATTTTAATTATCAGCCAGAATTTCCTAAGAAGTGGCTGGTGTAAAGGACGATTCTCGGTTTGGAGAACGAAGTTCAGCAATCTAAATGAGCATTATCCCTGCTTCGGACAAATTTGATTTTTTTACATAATATAGATTTGAATGTCCTCTTTTGAATAGTTATAATTTAATTTGGGTAATATTTCTAGATTTTTCTCAAAAAAATATTAGCGCAGTACACTGATGAACTTCTTTCCCCAAATCGAGACTTGTATTTTATTAAAATCGGTCTAATTGAGCGTTATCCCTGCTCCAGACCAATTTGATATTTTTACATCTTGTACATTTAAATGTCCTCTTTTGAATATTCATAGTTTAATTTGGGTAATATTTCTATATTTTTCATGAAAAAAATATTAGCCCAGGAGACTGTTCTCCAAACCGAGAATCGTCCTTTGAAATGAATCTGGCGAGGGGTGAGCTGGCTACAAGGGGACGCGACTGTCTAATTTTGATTCTCAAAGAGCCAATAGAATTACTCCCTTCGGAGCTGATAACACCTACTCTGCGCTCCCTACTCGACACAAGGGTCTACCTGCAATGGAGTGAAGAAGAGGACAGAAAATTGTTGTTCTGGAGGAAGTTGCAAGATGCCCTTGGGAATCCCAGGTTCAGAGGAGAAGAAGATACTCCATTTCTGTATCAGAACAATGAGGGAGATGATGAGATGCTTCAGACACTTATATAAATGAACATTTAAACTTGACTTGTTTTAATTTAGATGTGTTTTATTTCTGAAGAGGGGGACTTTCGAAACGTCATCAAATCGCCATTATCGATGAAATGTCTTTATCAACTTATCACTGTCAAAATGCGCAACAGATTTTCTCTAGATTTTACAAATAACAAAAAACAATCAACAAACGTGGTTGAATTCGTTATCTTTGAGAAAAAGATTTCATATGAAAAAAATCGTTTAACCTGTGGCCACCATGCGTGTTAAAACATTTCAAAAAATGAGTTGGTTTTGAAATATTTATTGATAGACAATCTGTTGCTCATTTTGATATTTTACCTGTCAATAAAGAATTGACAAATAAATATAGTGTCGCTGTGTAAAATAAGATCATCTGGCGATTTGGTAAAGTTTTAAAAACCGTTTGCGAAATCGAAAGTCGCCCTTGCCTATTTATCCATATGTCAGTGGCGTAGCAAGCTTTCAGTCAGGGGGGTTACAAAAATTGATGCAACAACCTTCAAAAATTGAGCTAGAAGCTTCAAATAAAAAACATTCATAGTCACTTTCTTATTCTATCTAATGCTCTTTTATGGGGGATGCGTTCGCATCAATTGCACACCCCACCCCCATCCCCCGGCTACGCCAAAGTATGTTTAAGGCAAACTTAAGAGACAAGACACATAGTGATAAATATAGCCTTTACCCCCTATCACACCAAACTCGTTCTTACCCGTTCTTGCCAGTCCTACGAAAACGTCGTAAAACGGGCTCAATCTGGCTGTGGTCGGGAAATATGTCTGAAAGAATTAGCTTCTTCGTTCTTAAACAGTCTTCAATACGTCCTTCTCGTTCGCAGTTCGTTCAGGTCGCACCACGTCGGTGTGCAACGTAGTGGAACGCGTCCCTTAGTCTAGAAGGTCAACATGACCTTATTACAGAACGTTATGGTCGCCATCGAATTTTGAATCGATTCAAAATTCTAAAATCACATTCCCGTCTGAGAACGATCATAAAGTTCGTAAATAGACCTTAGAAAGTTGCAGCTACGTCCATTCCGTTCGCACACAGTTTTGAAGAACGCAGTGGCAACTTGTTTGGTGTGATAGCTATATTTTTGCTAACTCGTTCATAAGCAGTGTTAAATACGTTCTCAATCAGTTTAAACCCGTTTGCAATTAGTTCTACCTCGTTCTCAACACGTCCTCAGACAATTCAACTCGTTGTTAAAACGTCCCTAGTAGGATTGAAGTACGACGGTTCCGTTCGTAGTACGTCCAGCTCGTCGTTAGTACGTTGTCACTCGTTCTAATTGTAGAACGTGACGACCACGAGAACATTTTGAGCATTGTCTAAGTTCTAGAGGACCTACCCGTTCGAGTACGTTCGATGAAGTTTGTTAATATATCCCAAACGGTTCTTAGTAGGTCCAGTCCGTTCGTACACAGTTGAAGCCCGTTTTTGAGAACGTAGTGAGAACTAGTTTGGTGTGATAGTAGGGTTAAGGAGCAAAATAGCTGTCATGTAATTTACCAAGCATGCCCTAATCAGGTGTTGGCAGTGCACTGGCGATATTAAATGACATTTGCTACACCATGGCAGCATTTTCTGTAATTTCATCCCGAATGTCAAATACGTTTGTGTGTAAGGCGGACTGTTATCTGAGTAATGATTTTCCTCATAGAATGGGACAATGCATATTCGTAATACAAAAATACAACTTAAGAAACAGAAATTGTATATATTTGCATGATTTATTTATTTATGCTTTAAAAATTTTCAATAACAGTATAAAATTAAAATACATAATATTTCTCAAAACCCTCTTCGGTTCAATTAATTCCAAGGGTTCGAAACCCTGAATATGCTAAACATTCAAACATTTATTCCAGATTGTTCTCATTTTATACCATTCACACCATTGTCGTTAATCTCCTAGCAGAAGTTGGAGTATGGGTTGGACATGTACACATGGAGGGTGGAGAGCCTGGTGGTGGTGCTGACGAGACATCTAGGAACAGGATCAATGAATAACCCTAACTGCAAAGTAAATCAAAGTTATATATATGATGTTAATGGAAAAAATGGTATATTTCCAGAACAAAAAGACAAAAGTTATGTGCATCAATTATGATAAATAAATGAATTGAAAAGGTCATAAAAATGAGTCAAATGTTTCATCTTATTGTATAGGGTCATCAAGTTCGTTTATAGCCTTATCACATTCATCAATGCTATTGGTATAACTTATCTTAGGTTATCTGGTAAAGATAAAGATATGTGTTTAGTGCAAAATGACTGGGCATAAAAACGGATTGGTTTCAAGGTCTATCACGAGTTCACCGAGCCCAACGATTACGGCCTTTGTAAAAGACTTATAAACGGATATGGGATCGAACCTGATCAGTTAATATGTACCTTAACTGTAATTGTGACAAAACTTGGGATTATAGTTTATAGTTATAGTTGTAATAGTTTATAACTTAATTATGAATGAGTACACTTATTTGAGTGACACACCGTGGCACGCAGCGACAAAAAGGTGAACTTTTTGCACCATTTTGAAAAAAACTGGACGTGACAGTCCAACAGTGATAAGATTCAGTCTTTGGGATTGTAGTGCATCCTCATATTATGTCAATATTCTGTAATTTATCTCAATAATCCAAATTCAGAGTCAGCGTTTTCAGTGTTTCATATAAGGGATATGTGTAAATACACTTATATACACATCTGTTGAGTATGTGATGAGTACATAGAGTGTACATACATTTATTGAGTAATACTGTTTAGACTGACTTAATTATTGAGTACATAGTGTGTAAATATACTTTAATTATTGACTCCATAGTGTGTTATCGAGAACGTAGTGTACATACACACATTGAGTACATATTGTGTATACTGTATATGCACGTATTGAGCACAAACCGTGAGTACAAATTGTGCACAGGCACTAAGTGGTATTTGAGTTCGTATTGTATACATATATACTCACGTTGAAGGTAGATGCCGATGGATGCTCCCATACTTCCTCACTAAGATCAGCACCAAAGGCCCAGCCAAAGCCATCTAGTTTGCCACTGTTGTAGAGCAGAAACATTGGGAAGAAGTCTTTGCAATCCATGTTCGATGTAACATCGTACCAGTAATGACGACCTGTAAAATGTAAAAGCAAGATGAAAATGTAGCATTTAATTCATATTGTTACACCATCCAAACCGATGCTTAATCCCATTATTCACATATATCTGGGCAAACATTGTTACTTCCTTCCCAATCAGAACACAGAATAGGCCATCATATCAGAGAACTAAGCATATTATAGTCACAACTAGAAAATTGTAACAAGGTATAAGGGAAACCATGATCTCATGTGAAATATGTAATGATATGATCACATGGATGATGAGAGAAGTAGGTCCTTATTATCATGTCTACGTCTTGTTGGATTTTCAATTATGTGTTTGTTGCATATGTCAATCATTAATTACTTAGATCCTTAATAATTAATATGTTCCCTTCAATACACTCACCCATCCAATAGAAACATTTCCCTTTGGTCCATTTGGTTCTAGCTATCGCTGATTCTGTCATAGGAATTGTGATGAAATCTCTGACTGGGTTAGCACCACTTTGGATAAATAGTCCATTTCCTGTACCTTCGGTGTCAAACTGATTGCTTGACCTTCCTTCGCTGCAGATTTTCTCTGAAAATAGTGAAAATATGTTGAATGTGTATGGTTTATAGGGATTATATCTGATTTGGTGGACTTATGACCAAAGCCATGCATTCCCGAACATAATTGAATAGTTCACAATTGCATATGTGAATCTCAAAAAGCAACTGTTATATTCTTTTCAAAAATGCAAACGTCAGTAGTACCTGGATTTGTAAAGTAAGCGGTTATCACATATTTAGATCCTTCGCTGATGAACAGGTCGCGGTGGCTACTTCTGTCTGGATATCCGTTAGGAAGGTTCTTTGGTAGCTTAAAAGGAGAACGAGACCCTGAAATATTTTTAATTGTCCCAACAAAAGGATTTTGACATAATTACCATTAAGTACCATGTGCAGGGTAGGAAACGAAGGCTACATATCAATTCATCAAACAAGGCCAATATCAGATATCGAGACAATATCAAGCAAAACCAATTTGGTTAATTTCAAGGCAATACCAAGAAAGATCTTTTATAATTTACAATTTTAAGAAAGGTCAATGGTTCATTTCAAGGCATGCGCAATGTTTATAAATGCAGATAGAAATCAATGGTTCATTTCAAGGCAATGTCAAGATAGGCCAAAGGTTCATTTCAAGGCAATGTCAAGAGAGGTCAATGGTTCATTTCAAGGCAATGTCAAGATAGGCCAAAGGTTCATTTCAAGGCAATGTCAAGAGAGGTCAATGGTTCATTTCAAGGCAATGCCAAGAAAGGTCAATGGTTCATTTCAAGGCAAAGTCAAGATAGGTCAATGGTTCAATTCAAAGTAATGTCAAGAAAGGTCAATGATTAAGAGAGGTCAATGGTTCATTTCAAGGTAATGTTAAGAGAGATCGATGGTTCATGTCAATGGTTCGTTTTTGATGTACTTGTATCAGTCTTATACTCACCCCAGCTTGTATACCAGCAATGAAGCCATTCTTGTCAAACAACAGCATGACAGCAGTGTTGCCATTCTTCACATATCGTGTGCCCATGTACCCATTGCTGGCTGTAACGTTTCATGAAGGAGCAAATGTTATTCTTTATATGCTGTTTTCATAATGGAGATTCTTGTAATAGAGAGATGATCGAGTGCAGACATTAGAATATCAGTGCGAAACAAAATATACAAAGTGAATGAAAATCTATTGTATGTGTTTCATCATTTGACGCATACTAAATTATATTACTTGTCTAATTACTACACTGGACTGCTATCCGAATGACACTATTTTAAAGGTGAACTACATAAATAAATAAATAACAATTAAGTAAATAAATAAATTAATAAAATATCAAAGTTCATTGTACTGTGTACTTTGCACGGAGTATTGCTTAAAGGTTTAAGATAAGACCACAAAGAACTTAGAATTGTAGTGCAAGATTCATTAATCATAACTTTTGCAATAACAACATTTTGGACTACAATTATGGTCAATCTGACATCATAAACAAGTTATGAAACTTGATTCATCTACGAAGAAAGTTACAAAAAGTTAGTAAGTACATTTCAGAAAAACAAAAACAGATAAGAGTCATAATCTGAGAATAACACAGTATGATGGTACACAGTATGACCCCCTCAGAGAATTACAACATATAATAATGATATAAATGACAGTGAGACAATTTGATTATCTTACATCTGAATATAATGTACTTTATTTCAGATCTCTACAAACCCTTTAAAACACGAATAACGAGAAATGTGCAACAAAATGAGTTATGTAACCACAGTATTTTGACATCTCCATGGTTAATTCACTGCTGTGCAGCCAAACCTAGTACACCATATCCACAGTGATTCGGCTTTTCGGCATTAACCTAAAATAGGAGATTATTTACCTGAACAACCTCCCACGGGTGTAAACCCCTGGGCCCTAGCTTCTTGTACAGTTCTTGGTTGAGTCCGGAAATCACTAATTGGTGTGCCAAACCTTACTGGAAAAAAGTTTAAGTATAATTTGGAATGACGAAATGGTTTCTTAAGACTAGCCTATGTAAAGTCAATTCAATTCAAACCAGAATATTTAGCCCGAATTGAGGTTACCTACATATCGTGTCTTATAACTGGTGCAAGTAGATTTCCAAAACTTCAAAAATCAAAAGACTTATATGTTAATACAAATTAATGAATTTTCCAAATTGTGAAGAAAAAATGAAAAATTGATTTTATATGCAACAATCGATTTGAAGGAAGGAGTTTCCTAAATTTGCTGAAACTCTCCTATTTTCTATCCTACTCTCCTATTCATGTTACGATTATATATCTTAAGTTATTTTATATTACATTTTGTTATACTACAATATACAAACCTCTTAAATCTCCCCAGTCGGGACCTGCAAGAAAAAGTAAAATAATTTAGTTGTGGGAATATATAGTTATATTACTTACTTTATACTTCCATCTATAATTCTAAATTTGGCATTTATACAGGGTGTCCATGTCTCTTTACAATTACAATACAAGTCTGAGTAAAGTGTAAAGAGCCTTTATTGACACCTTGTATATCATCCAAGGCATTTGCCGTTGAAAGCTGTGTGACGTTTTGTGACACCTATTTTAGTTTAGCAGATTTTGACATAATACCATACAGATACATAATATAAGAAACATTACCACTCGGAACTGTACTATACAAGAACTCCAAAACAATATAGGAACTGGATTCAGTATTATTGAGATTTTGAATGGAATATTTCAAATTAAAATAGGTGCTAAAAGTATTGACCTTTCTCATTACGTTTTAAACGGTGACCCAAAAAGCAATACGCGACTTTTGAATCCAAAACATTTAATTCCCAAAACTATAAGATAAATGATCATAATATTAAAGATACTGTATCAATGGGTTTGACTTCAAATTGATGCTGTTGTTTGCTTATATTCCTGTACTTACGTTTTCCAAAAAAGAACCCCTCAGAAAGTCCTACCACAGCCAAAATCAGTAGAATCTTCATATTTATTTGACTTTATTATCTAGTTTAAATTTCTTAGTATATGTTATCCTCAGTAGTTATAAGGTGTATGCATGAAATATGAAAATAAATGTGTTTATATACAACCTGAGATTAGTGACATCCGAATGGACTATCACCCATGAATCCAAAAGTTCACAACTACTTGAAAATAAACCAGCAGTATCTCTTTATTAACATTCCAATGGCTCAAAGGGTCACACAATGTATGCTGACATTATACTACAACAGCACGAAGTGTACGATCTTGCAGCGAATGTGAGAGCACATTTATGGAATAAGATGTAGTATCACATGTGAGACTCATGTACACACATATATAGACTACACAAACCACATATGTTATTGATAAACCAAGAGTACTGGGTTTTAGGGGGAATAATAGCAGAGAGGCTTGGCCCGATTTTTTTGCCATTATCTAATAAGTGAATAATTTCTGGATTACCTCCAGATACAGAATCCCTTTGCCCTTATCTAATAAGTGAGTCATTTCTGGATCACCTCCATATGCAGAATCGCTTTGCCATTATCTAATAAGTGAATCATTTCTGGATTACCTCCATATGCAGAATCGCTTTGCCCTTATCTAATAAGTGAATAATTTCTGGATTACCTCCAGATACAGAATCCCTTTGCCCTTATCTAATTAGTGAGTCATTTCTGGATCACCTCCATATACAGAATCCCTTTGCCATTATCAAGTAAGTGAGTCATTTCTGGATTACCTCCATATGCAGACTCCCTTTGCCATTATCTAATAAGTGAATCATTTCTGAATTACCTCCATATGCATAATCCCTTTGCCATTATCAAGTAAGTGAGTCATTTCTGGATTACCTCCATATGCAGAATCCCTTTGCCATTATCAAGTAAGTGAGTCATTTCTGGATTACCTCCATATACACTATCCCTTTGCCATTATCAAGTAAGTGAGTCATTTCTGGATTACCTCCATATACAGAATCCCTTTGCCATTATCTAATAAGTGAATCATTTCTGGATTACCTCCATATGCAGAATCCCTTTGCCATTATCAAGTAAGTGAGTCATTTCTAGATTACCTCCATATGCAGAATCCTTTTGACATTATAAGTGAGTTATTTCTGGATTACCTCCATATGCAGAATCCCTTTGCCATTATCAAGTAAGTGAGTTATTTCTGGATTACCTCCATATACAGAATCCCTTTGCCATTATCTAATAAGTGAGTTATTTCTGGATTACCTCCATATGCAGAATCCCTTTGCCATTATCAAGTAAGTGAGTCATTTCTGGATTACCTCCATATACAGAATCCCTTTGCCATTATCAAGTAAGTGAGTCATTTCTGGATTACCTCCATATACAGAATCCCTTTGCCATTATCTAATAAGTGAATCATTTCTGGATTACCTCCATATGCAGAATCCCTTTGCCATTATCTAATAAGTGAGTCATTTCTGGATTACCTCCATGCAGGATCCTTTTGCCATTATCTCAATAAGGGAATCATTTCTGGATTACCTCCATATGCAGAATCCCTTTGCCATTATCTAATAAGTGAGAAATTTATGGATTACCTCCATATGCAGAATCCCTTTGCCATTATCTAATAAGTGAGTCAATTCTGGATTACCTCCATGCAGAATCCTTTTGCCATTATCTCAGTTAGTGAGTCATTTCTAGATTACCTCCATATATGTAGTATGTATCCAACAGACTGACTAGAAGTCAGTCTGTTATGATGTACTACTTTCCTGTGGAAATTGCAGTGAAATTTTTTGCACAAAATTCTTAATTAGAGGAACCATTTTTTTAATAAAATAAACATTACAAAATTTCAATTAAATTAAATGCAATAAAAAGTAACATAGCATATTGTCAAGTGGAAATAAAGCTAGTTGAAGTAACAAATTGCAAATTAATTTTACCCAATCGGCCATTTTGAATAGCACTTCCTATGTAAACAAAAATATACGAAATTACCAAACTTTAACATAGGTGCCTTATAGTCTGAATATAATTCAGACTAAATAGAATATAGTCTATCCATATATGCAGAATCCTTTTGACATAATAGAGAGATTTCGCACATAAGTGAAAGTACAACTTATACGTATACGTATAGTTTAAAGGGTCGTGTCGAACTATTATATTTACTAAAATCAATTTTAAATTGTACCAAATGGAACATAACTAATTCCGTTATAGAAAAGCTCCATCAACTAGAGACTATGAATGCACTGTCATTTGCACGTGTAGATTATGCACATTATAATTAAATGCTTGCTTCCGTGTCCTTGTAGTTGTAGTGTATTATAAAGTGAGTCATTACATAAACAAGTTGATTATCAATGTTTTCATGATCAGTATAAGTTCAATGAACTTACGAAACGGTATATCTACGTAGATGATAACGTATACAGTTGGATCTCCGTATAAAGATTTGCCTACATGTGTGTGGAACAATTGACCGCAAGCATTTTTTAAAATTAATCGGCTGAGTGGGAACAGTATCCAATCAAATACTTTAACCATCAAGTTGAAACACCAATCAAACCAGTAGGTTCTAGCAAATCCTGGAAACGACCCATTCAGTAGCTCAACATATGACATACAGGGTGTTTCATAACGAGCATCTCCAAAAAGTCAATTTGAGAAGAGATTGGTCTATAACATATGTACTATATATGAGCCTATTTTATTCTAGACAAACACATTTGGATCAACTAAACATGCTACAATTCAAAAAAGTACAAATGTCATCCCTTTGACCTGTATTTATTACAGTCCGAGAAGATCTTTCCTGACGAAAAGCTCACATTATGAAACACCTTACGTTTACCTATAAGTATAAGTATACGTTGTAAGTTGTACTTTCACGAGGTGCGAAATCTCTCTAATAAGTGAGTTATTTCTGGATTACCTCCATATACAGAATCCCTTTGCCATTATCAAGTAAGTGAGTTATTTCTGGATTACCTCAATATACAGAATCTCTTTGGCATTATCTAATAAGTGAGTTATTTCTGGATTACCTCCATATACACAATCACTTTGCCATTATCAAGTAAGTGAGTCATTTCTGGATCACCTCCATATACAGAATCCCTTTGCTATTATCAAGTAAGTGAGTCATTTCATTGAGTGATCTCATTCAGTGAATCATTTCTGGATTACTTCCTTATGCAGAATCCTTTTGCCATTATCTCAATATGTGAATCATTTCTGGATTACTTCCATATGCACAATCCCTTTGCCATTATCTCAATAAGTGAATCATTTCTGGATTACCTCCACATGCAGAATCCTTTTGCTATTGTCTCAATAAGTGAATCATTTCTGGATTACTTCCATATGCAGAATCCTTTTGCCATTATCTCAATATGTGAATCATTTCTGGATTCCTTCCATATACAGAATCCCTTTGCCATTATCTAATAAGTGAATCATTTCTGAATTACTTCCATATGCAGAATCCTTTTGCCATTGTCTCAATAAGTGAATCATTTCTGGATTCCTTCCATATACAGAATCCCTTTGCCATTATCTCAATAAGTGAATCATTTCTGGATTACTTCCATATGCAGAATCCTTTTGCCATTGTCTCAATTAGTGAATCATTTCTGGATTACTTCCATATGCAGAATCCTTTTGCCATTATCTCAATATGTGAATCATTTCTGGATTCCTTCCATATACAGAATCCCTTTGCCATTATCTCAATAAGTGAATCATTTATGGATTACTTCCACATGCAGAATCCTTTTGCCATTGTCTCAATAAGTGAATCATTTCTGGATTACTTCCATATACAGAATCCCTTTGCCATTATCTAATAAGTGAATCATTTCTGGATTACCTCCATGCAGAATCCTTTTGCCATTGTCTCAATAAGTGAATCATTTCTGGATTACTTCCATATGCAGAATCCTTTTGCCATTATCTCAATAAATGAATGATTTCTGGATTACTTCCATCACGCAGAAATGTGAAGTATTCCCTAATATAGTTGAGTAAATTAACCTTAAGGAATGATGCTTAATGCCTTGGTTTGCATATTCGAATATACCATTAGAAAGGGAAAGTGTCAGATATAAGGATATAACAACATTGAGGAGTTCTGCCCGTAACAAGGTTGGTCAAAAGGTACTCTCTGAAAATTTACTATGGGGCAATTTTTGAAATTTCTTTGTCCTGTTTCAATGAAGAAAAATTGAAGACATCTTTTTCGTGATAACAATTTCCAAAATAGTTTTCAATTTTGACCTTCTTGAACTGTTATGCCAAAGTTGGAGAGGAAACAATTAACAAACGGATAACCAATCATCCAAGCAAGGCCAATTAATAGGGGAATTACAGCGGCACACACGTAAATGCCAAGCTAAATAAAAAATGACGTTTTTATTGTTTATTTCTAGAATAATATGACTAAAATAATTCAAAATCTCATATTCCATTCCATTTATCGAAGATGTGTCTGTTATGTTGGTTCATTCCTAACAGAGGTTGGCATATGGGTTGGAGAAATATACGTGCAGGGTAGAGAGCCTGTTTGGCCTGTTCTCCAGACATTTTGGTACAGGGTAGTGGTGTCAATTAACCGCTTGAGCATTAACCGGTTAACCGGGGGTTTTTACCGGTTAAAGTCGGTTAACCGGCGGGAAATTTGAACTTATTATTTCAAATGAAATCTTCATCTTCGATCTTGAAAGTTGAAAAAAATTGGAAAAATGATATATCGGCGTTTATTTTTTACGTTCGTCAAGCTTTACGCTATTCTATGTAAGTAAGCGCGGGAAAGCAATGTGGCAGGGATTAAAGTTGCTGATTGGATGTTTGTAAGGAATTATCGGACCTATCACATGTATGAGTAGCTCACATGAAACTGACGCTTGAAAAACAAACAGATTAAAATGCAAAGTAAGCGCGGGAAAGCAATGTGGCAGGGATTAAAGTTGCTGATTGGATGTTTGTAAGGAGTTATGGGACTTATGACATGTATGAGTAGCTTACGTGAACCAAACGGATTAGCATGCAAAATAAGCGCGGGAAATAACAGAATTATACACGGTCAACTAACCGTCGATAAAAACTCAGACCGGTCAAGGCATTATCGGCGGTTAACCGGTTAACCGGTTAATACTTGACACCTCTAGTACAGGGTCCATGAAGAGCTGCAATGGGGCGATCATAAGATTAATATTAACTGAGACAAAATACATGTCATATTTGGTGACTTCAATTAAGAACAATGATCAAGAAATGACAGCCGGTCACAATTTATTTTATCTTACAATCTTCTTATATACTCTCAGTAATCCGGCCCAAGAAATAGCATACCCAATCATGACCCTGTACTTACTGAGAAGAGTGCAGGTGGTGGATGTTCCCATGTTTCTGAAGTGAGATCAGCATCAAGGGCCCAACCAAAGCCTTTCAATTTGCCATCAGTGTAGAGAAGGAACATTGGGAAGAAGTTTTCACAGTTCATATTTTCAGAGGTGTTGTACCAATAGTGCTGGCCTAAAAATAACAAGGTACTTTAAAATCAATAATACATTCAACTTAAAACTTATAAAATTACATTGAGCGGTTCTCTTGAAGTTTTGCAGACGAAGGGATGAGTGATAAATATTGCACTTTTTCATCAAAATATTCAAAATGACTTAAGATTTACGAACCAAAATCAGACAAACGTGTTTAATGAGTACATTAACTTTTTATTTCTATACTTACCCATTCCAACGAAGCATTTTCCTTTGGTCCACTTTGTCTTCGCAATTCCAGTTTCTGTCATAGGGACTGAGATAAAGTTAGTGAGTGGGTTAGGACCATTCTGGACGAACATTCCAGTACCTGTACCTTCAGTATCAAACTGACTGCTCGACCTTCCTTGGCTGCAGATAGTTGCTGAGTAAGAAATAGATTCGATTCAATAAATGCTTATGGAGAAATGAATTGATATTGTACTCCCCCATCCCTCCTAGAGTCATACAGCACTTATAGTGCATTTCTCAATTTGGTGTTTCACAAAATGGCAATGGGAAACAAAGTTCTTTATTACAATTCAACAAGTGATCACCCCTTTATAAAATGACACTTCTCAGTTCATAATGAAACCACAATGCACTGATCGAGAAATAATTATTTTGCTCTGTTGACCATATATCTTGAGATGATACATTGACACACTCTAAGCTGATTGGCTGACATACGTGCGATATGCATATTAATTGCATTACTTTACAGCTTACTAGTAGATCACTAACAAACATTCTATCTATTCTACTTTTTGAATACCTGGATTTGTGAAGTAAGCAGTGATGACATTCTCGGATCCTTTGGTGTTGAACATGTGGCGGGTTGCAGGGTAGGGGAATCCATTGGTGAGACCTTTTGGTACCTTTAATAGAAGCCACAGTAATTTACATTTCATGACGTATTATCTACATTAATCGGTTTTAATTCATTTTGCCAACAATATATGTTTCCATTTGAAACGTGTGAGTATGATTTTAAGTGCCACTAGCTTGGTGGATCATCGGACCAAAAAGCTGACATGCCCAAAACAATCAGATCAGGATTTTCATGGAATGAAGTTAATCCAAAAATGTTAATAAATCTTCGTCTACCATTGCCTTCGCACTCGTTTGCCTTGGTTTCTCAAAAGATACAAGGCAAGTCAAAAAAGGTAACCCAAGTAAATGTTTATAACTCAATCAGCCATTCGGTATTGGTTAAGTTCTCTCTTGAAGCGAAGTTGTCCACCGTACAAGGTTTTAATTGTGTCAAATATACCCATGCTGAATGACTAAGTTATTGTCAACATTTGTTAAGGTTACCCCTTTGGCTTTTGTGGTGATACTCACCCCAGCTTGTATACCAGCAATGAAGCCATTCTTGTCAAACAACAGCATGACGGCACTGTTGCCATCCTTCACATAACGTCTTCCCATGTATCCATTGCTGGCTGCAAGTTTGAAAAACATAGCCTGAAGTTGTGTCACGCTATATCACTAGTATAAAACACATGGCTTTTACCATAGTTCCAATTTTCTATTTCTCTTGGAGCCCGAAGATCGTGACCATCGTGGACAGATACAAAATATATCCGTCTCGTCCGCTCGCAAGTTATCTCCTTAGAAGGTTTGGGCGCATTTATATCATACACCATATAAGAAAACATACCTGCGCATGTGCCAACAGCCGTCCACCCTTGCTGCTCAGCTTCCTTTACGGTCCTGGGCTGGGAATTGAAATCACTAAATGGAACACCAAACTTCACTGTATGAGAAAGAGGAGAAAATGTTATTGTCGACTATATCTTTGTGTATGCAATCGAACAAAATGATATCATATACACTATGTCCGTATGCTATAGTACTTTACAATTTTTGAAATCAAATGATAAGATATACCTTTCAGCTCATCCCACTCTGGACCTGCAACAAGAAAAACAATTAAACAATTAAAAAATATCTAGTAACCGATAGGTTTTGCTAGCAAGAATAAGTAATACATGTAGTAATGACACTAAATGTGATAAGAAATTAAGGATTTCTGTCTAAGATAAAGATGCAGACTGCCCAAATGAAAATTAAAATTGAAAATAGGTCTATTTTTACATTATAAATAAGCTTAAAATCAAATCAAAACCATAAAACCAACTTTTCAAAAAATCTTAAATACTGCTCTTCAATTTCAAAGTTATTTGTTCTCTATCGTACCGTACAATGCATCCAACGTCAGACTTTGTATTTAAGAATCTTACTAGTACAACTTACTTTTCTTCCATAAGAATGCCTCCGAGAGCCCTACAACAGCTGCTAAAACCAGTAATAACTTCATCTTATTGAATCCACAGAAGTTGAATATCATTGGAATATGAGCTTTATATAAGAATTGTTATCAGATATATATAGATATGGATGTAATAATTAGTGCATATATGGCTTTATCAAAATATGATGAAATAGAGCATCACATGCTAAGGAGCGGATCATTTGACCATTCCAGTTTGTACAAAACCTTTTATGGGATAAAATTATCTTGTGGAATAATAATGGTTTATGGAAGTCTATGTCTAAATACATTAAATAAACTCACAAATACATCTTCATAAATATTGGTTTGACCTCTTGATTGTTAGTGCATGTGTGTCAAGGGTGGAAGGGTGGAATCCATGTGAATTTTCTTCCCACGACCACTAATTCAAATGAGCAATACAATGGCATTGCATGTGAAAGTTGTTCCCACCACTAATTCAAATGAGCAATACTATGGCATTGCATGTGAATGTTGTTCCCACCACTAATCCAAATGAGCAATACTATGGCATTGCATGTGAATGTTGTTCCCACCACTAATTCAAATGAGCAATACTATGGCATTACATGTGAATGTTGTTCCCACCACTAATCCAAATGAGCAATACTATGGCATTGCATGTGAATGTTGTTCCCACCACTAATCCAAATGAGCAATACTATGGCATTGCATGTGAATGTTGTTCCCACCACTAATTCAAATGGGCAATACAATGGCTTTGCATGTGAATGTTGTTCCCACCACTAATTCAAATGGGCAATACAATGGCTTTGCATGTGAATGTTGTTCCCACCACTAATCCAAATGAGCAATACAATGGCATTGCATGTGAATGTTGTTCCAAACCACTAATTCAAATGGGCAATACAATGGCATTGCATGTGAATGTTGTTCCCACCACTAATTCAAATGGGCAATACAATGGCTTTGCATGTGAATGTTGTTCCCACCACTAATCCAAATGAGCAATACTATGGCATTGCATGTGAATGTTGTTCCCACCACTAATCCAAATGAGCAATACAATGGCATTGCATGTGAAAGTTGTTCCCACCACTAATTCAAATGGGCAATACAATGGCATTGCATGTGAATGTTGTTCCCACCACTAATTCAAATGGGCAATACAATGGCTTTGCATGTGAATGTTGTTCCCACCACAAATTCAAATGGGCAATACAATGGCTTTGCATGTGAAAGTTGTTCCCACCACTAATTCAAATGGGCAATACAATGGCTTTGCATGTGAATGTTGTTCCCACCACTAATCCAAATGAGCAATACAATGGCATTGCATGTGAAAGTTGTTCCCACCACTAATCCAAATGAGCAATACAATGGCATTGCATGTGAATGTTGTTCCCACCACTAATTCAAATGGGCAATACAATGGCTTTGCATGTGAAAGTTGTTCCCACCACAAATCCAAATGAGCAATACAATGGCTTTGCATGTGAAAGTTGTTCCCACCACAAATCCAAATGGGCAATACAATGGCTTTGCATGTGAATGTTGTTCCCACCACAAATCCAAATGGGCAATACAATGGCTTTGCATGTGAATGTTGTTCCCACCACAAATCCAAATGAGCAATACAATGGTTTTGCATGTGAATGTTGTTCCCACCACTAATTCAAATGGGCAATACAATGGCTTTGCATGTGAATGTTGTTCCCACCACTAATCCAAATGAGCAATACAATGGCATTGCATGTGAATGTTGTTCCCACCACTAATTCAAATGGGCAATACAATGGCTTTGCATGTGAATGTTGTTCCCACCACAAATCCAAACGAGCAATACAATGGTTTTGCATGTGAATGTTGTTCCCACCACTAATTCAAATGAGCAATACAATGGCTTCGCATGTGAATGTTGTTCTCATCACTAATTCATATGAGCAATACAATGGCTTCGCGTGTGAATGTTGTTCTCACCACTAATTCAAATGAGCAATACAATGGCTTTGCATGTGGATGTTGTTCCCACCACTAATTCAAATGAGCAACACAATGGCTTTGCATGTGAATGTTGTTCCCACCACTAATTCAAATGAGCAACACAATGGCTTCGCATGTGAATGTTGTTCTCACCACTAATTCAAATTATCAATACAATGGCATTGCAGTGGGATCCATACTGTCTGCTATCAAAATGATACGATGGCCTTCTTTTCTTAATAAAAAGATACAAGGCATTAACATGACAAAATGTCACCACCTAAAACAATTTGGTCAATTTAAAGCAAGTTGGAAAATACCTTTTGACCTTAAGAAGGTTTGATTTGAACTTCTTAGAACATGTAGATGATTTTGAAAAAAAATTTCGTCAATTTGAAGCAAGTTGAAAAAATACCTCTTTGACTTTTTTTGACATTGAGAAGGTCATTGAAGGTCAAATGTCAAATGTAAAGTCAGATTTGAACTTCTGAGAACATGTAGATGATTTTTAAAAAAAATTAGTCAATTTGAAGCAAGTTGAAAAAAGACCTTTTTGACCTTGAGAAGGTCATTGAAGGTCAAAGGTCAAATCTTAAGTCAGATTTGAACTTCTGAGAACTTGTAAAAGTCAAATTTGAACTTCTGAAAAGATGTAGATGATTTTGAAAAAAAAATTTGGTCAATTTGAAGCAAGTTGAAAACAGACCTTTTTGACCTTTTTTGACCTTGAGAAGGTCATTAAAGGTCAAATGTCAAATCTAAAGTCAGATTTGAATTTCTGAGAACATGTAGATGATCTTGAAAAAAAATATAGTCAATTTGAAGCAAGTTGAAAAAAGACCTTTTTGACCTTTTTTGACCTTGAGAAGGTCATTGAAGGTCAAATATAAAGTCATATTTGAATTTCTGAGAACATGTAGATGATTTTGAAAATTTTTTTTAGTTAATTTGAAGCAAGATGAAAAAAGACCTTTTTGACCTTTTTTGACATTGAGAAGGTCATTGAAGGTCAAATGTCAAATCTTAAGTCAGATTTGAATTTCTGAGAACATGTAGATGATTTTGAAAAAAAAATTTAGTCAATTTGAAGCAAGTTGAAAAAATACCTTTTTGACCTTTTTTGACTTTGAGAAGGTCAAATGTCAAATCTTAAGTCAAATCTAAAGTCAGATTTGAATTTCTGAGAACACGTAGATGATTTTAAAAAAATTTTATAGTCAATTTGAAGCAAGTTGAAAACAGACCTTTTTGACCTTTTGACCTTTTTTGACCTTGAGAAGGTCATTGAAGGTCAAATGTCAAATCTAAAGTCAGATTTGAATTTCTGAGAACATGTAGATGATTTTGAAAAAAAATTTAGTCAATTTGAAGCAAGTTGAAAAAAGACCTTTTTGACCTTTTTTGACTTTGAGAAGGTCATTGAAGGTCAAATCTTAAGTCAAATCTAAGTCAGATTTGAATTTCTGAGAACAAGTAGATGATTTTGAAAAAAAGATTTAGTCAATTTGAAGCAAGTTGAAAACAGACCTTTTTGACCTTTTTTGACCTTAAGAAGGTCATTGAAGGTCAAATGTCAAATCTAAAGTCAGATTTGAAGGTCAAATGTCAAATCTAAAGTCAAATCTAAAGTCAGATTTGAATTTCTGAGAACATGTAGATGATTTTGAAAAAAATTGAAGCCAGTCTAAACAGTATTTGTTAAGTTATAGGAAGTTGTAAGAAATTGTTACAGACGCCAACCACCAACCGCCGGACGCCAACCACTGTCGCAAAAAAACGGAGACCATAACAATATGTCACCACTTTTGGTGGTGACATAAAAATGGATGGTGGATAATGAAAAATGCTATTACAGTTGTAAAACTTCAGTATTCATGTGACTCCTTTTCAACATTTCAGGAAATTATCAAATCTTGAATAAATAATCACAAAATATAGATTAAATTAGTATAAATAATTTTGTATTAAAATGTTATAATTATAACACTTTACATGGAAGCATTCATTCATTTAAAAACATCATACAGATAATTAAGATCTGGTTTGAGCACTGTAGTATTATAAAACAGAAATGAACTTCTGCAAATGATAAGATATAGTACAACTTGAAGGTTCAGAACTGTATTTTTGAAAATCCTTCCATTACAATCAAACAAGGATGAGTAACTTTAGACAAGTTTAACTATTTCTGTATGTCATGACAGTTTTAACTATTTCTGTCTGTTATGACAGACTTAACTATTTCTGTATGTCATGACAGTTTTAACTATTTCTGTCTGTTATGACAGACTTAACTATTTCTGTATGTCATGACAGATTTAACCATTTCTGTTTGGCATGGCAGGTTTAACAATTTCTGTCTGTGATGACAGGTTTAACCATTTTTGTCTGTCATGACAGATTTAACTGTTCCTCTCTGTCATGACAGGTTTAACTGCAGAGTGGAGTTGATCGGGGGAGGGTGCTATTACCCCCTTCAACATGTAACTCAATCTTCATATCTACTCATAGCTATATGTATATGCAGTTTTTACATCATCAACAAAAAGTATACCATTACGTAACAATAGGTGTCACTTGCGTATATAAAACAATACTGAAATAACTGGAAATTCATAGAATCAATAAAATGTTTCTAAATCTAAACATATCAGGAATTCAGTATGAGCATGAGGCATCTTGACTGAAAGTGCAGCTTCTTAAAATTCTCATGTTTATGCAGTCATTTTAAAATAATCACTAACTCATAACACCCTATTCACTCTTTTTTCACTCTAAAAATGATAATTTTTGATTTGACCAAGAGGCCTATTTTTACCTTTTTTCATTAATGGGAGTGCATATAAAACTAATTTAATGCTTAGGGTAGGCCTGGTTGAGTGATAAATCTGACAGAATTAAGGTCATCAATAAAATTTACAAAATAAATGATACAGTCATAAACTACATGTACATTGGTAAATAACAAATATAATAGGATAACATAATTAAGAAATGGTATCAGGTCAAATCAGTAGACTTTAGATCTAAAAACGAATACAATATTGAGGTGATATACTAAATGTACCCACCAGTAACATCATCTACAGTGTAAAACTTCATATATTTAATAATTTAGATTTTAAGAATTTTAACAACTTGGGTGTCAGATAAAATGTAAATAATCAAACTCTCTGAAGGATTTTACAATATAAATATAAACATAAGCAACATCATCATAAAATTACACATTTTAGTAGAAAACACACATATATAGTAAAATATAATTTACTGACCTGAATATAAGGACTTAACAAGGTTTAATCAACTTATCTTTGTTTGTAGTCATGCAGAGCAGAAATTGGTCCAGAATTTATGAGGTGAATTTAACAAATGTTTTGTTAGAGATCACCATAGCTTTAAGCCCTTTGGAATAGAGTAGGGGTCAATTGCTGCTTTTATTATCACAATCCAAAGAGAAGTGGACACATGTCGTATATCACATTCTTTTATCTCTCTAATGTTCTACAAGTCATAATATTGCTCAATTGCAGTAGGAATTAAGTAGTTAAAAATATAAAATCATGATCAAAATTTTAAACTTTTGATTTTATAACAGCCTAAATTGCATAGGCCCTGGGAACATGTATAAAAACCATTCCATTTTTTATACATGTTCCTAGGGCCTCTGCTAAATTGATTTCACTATTAGACTATATTCTCTTCATTTCACTACAATAATTTCACATTAGAATGTCAATGAACAACATGGCATTTACATAAGAACTGATTGGTCAGCATCACTTGGTTGCATATCGTATTTTCACTTTCAAAATGATTTTTTATGCATGTACTGTATTATATTTTACACAAGTTTTAGTTAAGCTTAACTTTAAAATAATTAAAAACTTCAACATCAACATCCAATTGCCACATCAAAAATATTGCATAAATATATAGAATGTACTGTACATTATTTATCTTATTTACAAATATACACTTTTGTACACCTATGCCATTTAATGGTCATGCTACAAAAATAATTGTTATAAATCAGTAATATTACATCAGACATCAGGATCTAAACTAAATGGTTTGTTTTAACCCTGAGCGATTCAATGTCTCTATACGTACATACTACTAACTGACCAATCAAAACACATACTTAATCTAATGTCCGAGCTTTGTTTTCATTGGAAAAGTCCAAATTGAATGGATGCCCCACTGAAAACAATGGATGCTCCACTGTAAACAATGGATGTCCCACTGTAAACAATGGATCTCCCACTGTAAACAATGGATGCCCCACTGTAAACAATGGATTTCCTGCTGTAAACAATGGATGCCCTCATTGCAAACAATGAATGTCCCATAGTAAACAATGGATGCCCACTGTAAACAATGGATGTCCACCTGTAAACAATGGATGTCCACCTGTAAACAATGGATGTCCTACTGTAAACAATGGGTGTCCCACTGTAAATAATGGATGTCCCATTGAAAACAATGGATGCCCACTGTAAACAATGGATTTCCTGCTGTAAACAATGGATGCCCCAATTGCAAACAATGGATGTCCCGTGGTAAACAATGGATGCCCATCATAAACAATGGATGTCCCAATGTAAACAATGGATGTCTGACTGTAAACAATGGATGTCCCAATGTAAACAATGGATGCCCATTGTAAACAATGGATTCCCAAAGGAAACAATGGATGCCCTGCTGTAAACAATGGATGTCCCAATGTAAACGATGGATGTCCCACTGTAAACAATGGATGCCCCCATTGTAAACAATGGATGTCCCATTGTAAACAATGGATGCCCACTGTAAACAATGGATGTCCCAATATAAACAATGGATGTCCCGCTGTAAACAATGGATGCCCCACTGTAAATAATGGATGTCCCAATGTAAACAATGGATGTCCCGCTGTAAACAATTGATGTCTCAATGTAAACAATGGATGTCCATACATCCATTATATTCCAAAGCAGATATTTCCATGTGTTTATGATACAATGCTGATGTACATTCAAGACGCCATATAATGCTATAATGCTGATGTAGGCATGGTACCATATTGTCCTGTTTCTGGACTAACTCTCTTGGAGACTGGCTGCTGACACAAAGGGCATGTGTTTTTCTGTACAAGCCATGCCAAGAGACACCTGGAAAGAAAAGCTCAAATATACAATAGATCCTTAACATTCAAACTCTTATCTACTACAAACTCCTCTCAATCTAAAAGCTTTTTTCGGACCCATTTTTTCAATTTGCCATAACAGACTTGCCAACCTCCCGTTTTTTTTACGGGAATCTCCCATAAATTGTTTGATTTTTCCATAAAAAATACTAACCTCCCGTACCATTTTCTCCCGTTAAAACTCCCGTAAACTCCAGTAAACTCCCGTAACCCTATTTCTACTAAAATCTCCCGTAATTTAAAAAAAAAATATGGCCGTAAAATCTCCCGTATTTTTGCTGAAATCTCCCGTAAAATCTCCCTATTCTGGTATAACTCCCGTAAAATCTCCCATATTCTTGGTATAACTAACGTAAAATCTCCCGTTTTCTGGTATAACTCCCGTAAAATCTCTCGTATTCTTGGTATAACTCCCATAAAATCTCCGATTTTTGCTGTCGAAATCTACCGTATTTAAAAGGAATTTGACAAATTTGTGACCTTGATTATTGCAGGCACGCTTCACGCTTCTTTCTTTTACTCCAAGAAGAATTGGCTCCCATGGTTCACTATCGATACTTTCATAAATAACTTAAAAGTACTCTATTCCCATGATTCAAATTGCTTTTCTGCGATCAGTTCAGTATAAGTTTGCACACCAAATGTCCACAAATGGGGGCCAGTTCATATTCTGTCATACTTCTGTCAGGAGAATACATTTTGTTTTTATATGGTGCTAGACAAAATATTCCCGCAACATAAGGCGCATTATGGGTAGGGACTGCTGTGAAATAATGAACGTAAGTGACATCTATCTTAGATTATAAGTTTTAATTAATTTATTAACTGCGCATGCGTCATAATAATTTCAACCAATTAAATCGCTGAATTTAATGCTCATGCGCGAAAAACCGAACCTAAAAATGGAACCTCACGCAGATTGTAAAAGTGAAGTAAAAACTCCCGTTTTTTCATAAATCTACCGTAAAAACTCCTGTTTTTTCAAAATCTACCGTAAAAACTCCAGTTTTTCAGAAATCTACCGTAAAAACTCAGGTTTTTTTCGAAATCTACCATAAAAACACCCGTTTTTTTCAGAAACCTACCGGAAGAACTCCAGTTTTTCCGAAATCTACCGTAAGAACTCCCGTTCTTTCAAAATCTACAGTAAAAACTCTCGTTTTTTCAAAATTTACCGTAAAAACTCCCATTTTTTCAAAATCTACCGTAAAAACTCCAGTTTTTCAGAAATCTACCGTAAAAACTCACGTTTTTTTCAAAATATACCGAAAAAACACCAGTTTTTTCAGAAACCTACCGTAAGAACTCCCGTTATTTCCGATATCTACCGTAAAAACTCCCGTTCTTTCAAAATCTACCGTAAAAACTCCAGTTTTTTCAAAATCTACCGTAAAAACTCCCATTTTTTCAAAATCTACCGTAAAAACTCCTGTTTTTTCAGAAATGTACCGTAAAAACTTCCGTTTTCTCAAAATCTACCGTAAAAACTCCCGTTTTTCAGAATCTACCGTAAAAACTCCCGTATTTTCAGAAATCTACCGTAAAAACTCCCATTTTTTTTTAAAATCTACTGCAAAAACTCCTGTTTTTTCAAAACCTACCGTAAAAACTCCCGTTTTTTTTCTAAAATTTACCGCAAAAACTCTCGTTTTTTAAATCTCCCGTAAAAACTACTGTTTTTTTCAAAAATCTCATGTAAAAACTCCCGCTTCTTTTTCAAAAAACTCCCGCAAAAACTACCGGATTTTGAAAAAAACTCCCGTAAAAGTACCGCAATTTTTTTTAAATCTCATGAAAATTTTTCATTTTAGGTTGGCAAGTCTGCATAAACGTCCATGTTAAAAAACCTTGAAATGTGTATACCTGTCATGCCAATTCAAACACTTTTCAGTCCCAATGATGTTAAGATAAGGCAGAATATACTCATTTCTTTCTTTCAAGATTGAGTTCAATTCTCAATTTGCTTACTTTTCATGGAAGCCATGTTTGCAGACTTGAAGTTGACAGACCTTCTCCTTTAACTTAAATTCATCCAGGCATACTGCACATGTTTCATTCATAAGCTTCTTTGACAAGTAGCACACCTGGAAATAAACATGTCCTCATTTAACTTAAATTCTTCCAGATCCTGAACAGGGGCTAGCTTTTCATGTTCATTCACTTTATTTTTCCTATTTAACTGAAATACTCGTATCTTTTGAAAAAACCCTATGCAGTCCTGAGATTAGTATCGGATTTTCTCGCATATAAGCCCTGGGCATATAACTGAAAGAAGGGGTAATTTCGTCTGTTATTTTACCTCTTATTTTTCGCCCATGGGCGTATAAGTGTACTACTTTCGATTTTTGGCCCAGTGGGCGTAAAGGTGAGAAGAGCCACCGCGGGGTGGGCATCAGCCATCTTCCTCAAAGACTTCCATACCTACTGTTGTAGTCCTACCGCATTTGTAAGAATTATAAAGGAAATGTCACCTACAACCTTGGACTTAATGTTGAAACAAAGTAACAACAGAACGATCCACCCCAGCCACTTACGGCACAGCGTTGAACTTAATGTTGAAAAGTAACGACAGAACATCTGCCAGTGACAAATACTCTTGAATTAATTGAAAAAATCAATAAATATAGTCATTTTTATAGGCCCATGGGCGTATAAGCGTACTACATTCGATTTTTGGCCCATGGGCCTAAATTTAGGGGGGCGTATATGCGAGAAAATCCGGTAATGGGAGAAGCTTAGCAATGACAGAACTCTTATAAACACTTACCCTTTTATAGCCCCTTGATTCCAATCTGCCAGCATACTTCAGTCTGAAAGTAGACATTTCATTGTCACTTATTGTAAAATATGAAAATTTTTACTTGCCAATCTGGCTGGGGAAATTACAGTAGGCCATTTTAGGTCTCATTTGTAAGAAAATGTTTTTTAATAGGATCAAGGTACCTTTCTTACACCGACCCAGAACTATTCACTATATAAAGCCCAAGAGATATATTTCCAAGTGATAATAATTATTTTTGCCAGTTGCCTTTTCCAATTCCTCCTCCACCTCCAGCATCCCACCCTTTGGTAACTATCAACGTTATGTTGCACTCACCTCCAGAGGTAGCAGCAGAAACAAATACTAATCAGAATGGTAACTAGACCAACACCAAGGAATGGAAATGACACATTAAGTGGTAGGTCCATGCCATCTATTGGTCAACAATGGCCACTATTCCTGCAACATTAAAGCACATTGATAAGTTCATATAAACAATTCAATTTTTTGATACTCTCATCTTTCTCCCTTCTACTTCCTCCAAATAATGGTGGAAATGTAATGGCATCAAAATCAAATACTGCACCAATATTATTTAACCTTAGTTTACTTTTAGATGTATCCTACAAGTTAAATACTATATGCATATACATATATGCATGTCCCCATCTTACAAAAACATGTACTGTTTCATCTATGCATGGTTTCCCCAGACAGAGTCACCTGACAGTTTTCAAAATGGTTGGTGGCATGGCAGACTTCAAGAAAATGTATGTGAACAAAGCAAATACAATGAAGTTGGGGGGGGGGGCATGGTTCCCCACGAAATAATGACCTTATTTCATATACATGTAACTGATGCCTTTTGGGAGTAAAAATATAAACTGGAAAAGAGGAGGTGAATTCACACCACTTACACATTATACAATTTATTATTTTAGTAATCAGTATATAATTAAACATGTATAATATCTATTTGATTTCATTCCTATAGTGTGGTACTATGGCAATTGTTAGCTGCTGTAACTATCACCACTTGCAGCTGCAATACTATGGCAACTTGCAACTGCAGTACTATGGCAACTTGCAGATGCAGTACTATGGCAACTTGCAGTTGCTATATTATGGTGAATGGTTGTCAAGGTGACAACTGGACTGAAATTCATGCTTTGCCAAGTCTAAAAGCTGTTGTAGCATAGGCTTTCAAGAGAAGTATTTTGAAAGTCCATTGTTGTACTGTATAATGGCTCTCGACAGCAAGTTGTCAATACAGCCGAGTTGTAGTGGCTGGCCCTTATGGCTCAGCAGTAGAGTGTTGGACTTTCGAGCGGAAGGTCCTACATTCAATTCTAGCACAAGGCATTGAATTCAGCTCTCCCTTCCATGTCCAGTATCTGGCTTGTTGTACACAGCTCCACGTCAGAGGTAGCCTTGAAGAAGGCTTTAGCATTTGTTGATTTTTAAAATTTGGATATTTTTTTCCAAATGTAAAGCCTTGTATCATCCCCATTGGAAAACGCTCGATTTCACATCCCATAAATTCGAACGGTAGAAACAGTGGTATTCTTTGAGTTGAGCATGGAAATATGACATAGTGAGTAGTATTTATCTTACGAATTACATGTAATTTATTGGATGTGAAATCGAGCGTTTTCCAATGGGGATGCCACAAGGCTTTACATTTGGAAAAAAATATCCAAATTTTAAAAATCAACAAATGCTAAAGCCTTCTTCAAGGCTACGTCAGAGGCACATAGGGTTGTTAGAATGTACTACCTGTAAAATCTCATGAATTCATTATATATTACGCAAGGTTGGAATACAAACTTGGCCATGGAAGAATTGCTATCACTGAATAGCAGCCTGTAAATCACAATCACATCTGTCCTAAATTCCAATCCAAGGACCAATATTTTGACACTGATGGCTGATTGAGTCTGAGGCTGGGTCTCTCGAGTAGTTTGGTGTCATGTATATATATTATAAACCCGACATAATATACAAACCTTACAAATACCACCAGTCTTTGCAGACCAAGTCTACATACACTTCGTAAATACGTCTAAGAAGTTAGAAAGTGTTTTATAAGTTCTAAGTATGGCCTCCATTGATATCCCACAATCCTTTTCGCAAAACAACTCAACCAAGATAACTTTTACAACGATTTCGTAACCTTTCATGTCGTAGTCTAGCGCATATGCATACTCATTTTATTCCATACCATCCTAATAGTACAAAAGTTATGTTTGTAAATGCATCACGAAGAGGTGATTGAACAAATGAAAGTGCATATCCCACGGGTCCCAAAGTGAAACTAGGTCAAGTCTCAGTTTTACGACATTTAATTAACAAATTCATCATTAAGTTGAAATTGATTACATGGTTGATACAGCATATACAAAATATAATCTAGAATCAGAATCTTGATTTATTTATGTATATTTCAAAGGTAAAACAGGTGATATTACAGTACAGAGTAATGACTACTTCTTGATAGTCACGTGACGAAAACATTTCTTGAAATTTTGCAATAATTTGCAAAAAAAGTTATTAAAACTCGATATACGCAGCGACTGGCTAACAATCAGGACCAAAGTATAGGTAAATTTGACATTTGCTTCAAATATACATTATGAGTAAAGATTTATACATATGTGATACTCTGATATTACATATTTTCATAGTCCAAAACATGGGCTTTCAACTTTCTAATTTAAATCCTATGTCCAAAAGTAGCAAAAATTGAAATGAAATGAATTGAAATATAGTTTGGAACCGCGGACGTCTAATAAAGTTTTTCGAATGAGATAAGATATCAATTACAGGATTGGAAACAAGATCCAAGTGTTTCTCAAGAGCGCCGACTCTCGTTGGGCTATTTATTCCTATTGACTCAGTTGTTAATATAAATAAACGTACCTCAGATACTTTGTAATCGACGTAGATAGAAAATATTATTTCCTAAATTGTTCTGAAATGCGATTATAATATAAGATGTACTTTGAACAGGTCGACTGACTAAAAAGACGGGCTTTTGGCACAAGGTCTCGTTCTCAAACAAAACGTGACAATCTTGAAATTCTCGGGAAGTTTACCCTCCTAAAAAATTCGACCTACTTTAAAAAATGGTCGTTAAAAATGTATTTATTCGTGTTTCCTACCGATTAAATTCGACATATTTTATGAGATGTTAATTTAAATGTAAGAAGAATTTATTTGTAAGATAATTATTACGTGATTCGTAATGAACTGTAGAAATAAGTAATTACTTATAGGATTTTGCAAGGGACTGATCTTTAGCGATCACGACATTGTTTATTCCACGGTTGCTATGCAGCTCGTCGAGAATTCCTTTGAGAGGTGACGTCATTTCAAAACCCCCCGCTTTTGTAATCTTCATCGTCTAGTTTACGAATACCACATGTTGATGTGATGTTTTAATTGATAAAAGCGAATTCCTTACACATTTCTTTATCTTATTGTGAAATCGCCATCTTGGTAATATTGATGACGTGATCTCCATCAGTCAATGCTGAGGTCAAGGGTCATCCATCTTGCCATTTGCTCGACTAAATCGTACCAGTCGACAAAAAACAATGCAATCACGTTAAAAATAAAATATACACTTTAAAATTGAGGATGATTGAATACGATAACACTCCATTGAATACAGCTGTGCAATTTACAGTCACCAAGATGATCTAATTTTGGAGAGATTCGGGAAAGAGAAAAGGTAACTTCATTCTTTTCATTCGTGTTTACCAACTTCAAGAATTTGGAATCCCAATCTCCTTTCGCACGAACATTCTCTAAGACTGTGTTTGGAACTAAATAAATGACCACGGGTGCTCCCTGGGTAATAAGAGTGTCAGGCTTCCCTCTAAGTAAGTAAATCAAAAAGGTGGGCCAAGAATCAATAAGTCAATAGGTGGAGTATAATATAAAAAGAATAGAAAAAAATAAAGTAGTTCTTCAAGCTGGCTAGTCTTTATACATCTGGAAGTCAAAATAGAACTCTGATATCTTGGTTCAAAAAATGTTTGAAATCCAGCATGGTTTTGTCACTTCCTGTTTTGTCATTTCCTGTAACTACCATGGCACCTTAAAGCAGATATTTATATTTACAGTGATAGAGTTTGAACAGAATAGAATAGAAGATAGATCTATGGTTTACAAATTATTTTAAAATTGAAAGGAAACTCCCTGGTTGGCCCATGTAACCCCTATGTTGAAAATTCAATGAAACACTGTCCATGTTTAACATCTAATTTCAGGACCATCCATAAAATGGAGGAAGAGTCGTCCATTTTAGAAAGTTTAATTCAGCAGCACGCAAATCACAAATCCTACAACCGCATGGTGTCATGGGAATTTTCTCAACCAAAAGAAGAGCCAAATTTTAAGAAAGGGAAAACATCGCGTCATGATAGCAAAGATATTGTTTCTGAGATAGAGGAGTTAAATATTAGTGAAGAGAACAGTTGTGAAAGTGGTACTGAAAGCATAGATAGTGAATATTTTTCAGCGGAGGATACATTTGATAGCAGTGGTAGTGATAATGAAGATGTGATAGATCACAATGAGGTTGAACAATGTGCAGCAGAAAATGTTATTGCCAGTGGATCAACTCAGCGTCACACGTCAGAGATGAATAAACGTGAAAGAAAGGGTTCTTCAAAACGGCAGAAAAGGATGAGAAAACTATATAGAATGGAAGATCTCACAATTCCATTTTCAAACTCTGATTCTCTAGATTTAACCCTTCCCACTGACATACTTGAATCTAGTTTAATTTCTATTGAAAAACAAATACCCAGTTTGACAGAATTGTGTCTGAGATCAATCCAAACCAAAAGCAAAGCAGTACCACCTACCAATGATCTCCCACCTCTGCTAAAACGCATGATGCATGTTCAAAGAAATAACAAAAAACTCGAATCAGTCCAAATTTCATGGCTTCACAGAACTTTGGCTTACATTGAATCTGTTCCAAATAATTTTTTTAATGAAAAAGAAGCCAATCCTAAAAAAGATAAACACTATGAAAGCAGGGGTGAATGGCGCAACATAGAAACATTGACATATGATGATGTATGGAATGCACAGAACCAGCAAGTTGCTGGGTTCCAAATGGGGACATTTACTTTGCCAATTTATCATAAATCCAGAAGTAAAGAAGTAAATTACTATAGCAACAACAACAGGAACAACAACTACAACAATATCATTTATGCATTATCTGGTAAGAGTACTGCATATTTTGAGTACATTATTTATTGATTATCTAGATCTGTATAATTCATATTACCAAATTTTTCACTGATGGATGGGGGTTACTGAAAAACAAAACTAGATCCTATGGGCAGAAGTTTGATCTCAGTTGAATTAACATGAGCTGTTCATGAACTCAGTTGACTTAACATGAGTTGTTCATGAACTCAGTTGAATTAACATGAGCTGTTCATGAACTCAATTGAATTAACATAAGATGTTCATGAACTCAGTTGAATTAACATGAGCTGTTCATGAACTCAGTTGAATTAACATGAGCTGTTCATGAACTCAATTGAATTAACATAAGATGTTCATGAACTCAGTTGAATTAACATGAGCTGTTCATTAACTCAGTTGAATTAACATGAGCTGTTCATGAACTCAGTTGAATTAACATGAGCTGTTCATGAACTCATTTGAATTAACATGAGCTGTTCATGAACTCAATTGAATTAACATAAGATGTTCATGAACTCAGTTGAATTAACATGAGCTGTTCATGAACTCAATTGAATTAACATAAGATGTTCATTAACTCAGTTGAATTAACATGAGCTGTTCATTAACTCAGTTGAATTAACATGAGCTGTTCATGAACTCAGTTAAATTAACATGAACTATTCATTAACTCAGTTGAATTAACATGAGCTTATCATAAACTCAGTTGAATTAACATGAGCTGTTCATGAACTCAATTGAATTAACATAAGATGTTCATTAACTCAGTTGAATTAACATGAGCTGTTCATTAACTCAGTTGAATTAACATGAGCTGTTCATGAACTCAGTTGAATTAACATGAACTATTCATTAACTCAGTTGAATTAACATGAGCTTATCATAAACTCAGTTGAATTAACATGAGCTGTTCATGAACTCAGTTGACTTAACATAAGATGTTCATGAACTCAGTTGAATTAACATGAGCTGTTCATGAACTCAGTTGAATTAACATGAGCTGTTCATGAACTCATTTGAATTAACATGAGCTGTTCATGAACTCAGTTGAATAACCATGAGCTGTTCATGAACTCAGTTGAATTAACATAAGATGTTCATAAACTCAGTTGAATTAACATGAGCTGTTCATGAACTCAGTTGAATTAGCATGAGCTGTTCATGAACTCAGTTGAATTAACATGAGCTGTTCATGAACTCATTTGAATTAACATGAGCTGTTCATGAACTCAGTTGAATAACCATGAGCTGTTCATGAACTCAGTTGAATTAACATAAGATGTTCATAAACTCAGTTGAATTAACATGAGCTGTTCATGAACTCAGTTGAATTAAAATGAGCTGTTCCTGAACTCAGTTAAATTAGCATGAGCTGTTCATAAACTCACTTGCATTAACATGAGGTGTTCATGAGCCCTTTTGACTTGACATGAGATGTTCATGAACTCAGTTGAATAAACTAGATGCAAGTAGAAATAATTTTGATTTACTTCATTAAATATTAAAAATATAGTAAACGGGATATCAGATTTGAAGTCTACAATTTACCACTACTACTGTACGTTGAAGTCTACATGTAAAATTATGTCTAGAAATGTGGTTCAAAAAAGTATTTACCAACTTTGAAAATTTAATCTTCTTTGAAAAATCTTTTTCATGTGTTGGGCAGATAATATTTTCTTTTATTTCACAAATTTTAATTTGTATGATTATAAGGATTATATGAAAATTGATTGACTTAAACTGATAATATTCAAGTTTAAGGGAACTTTCTTATATACCTACCATGCTAACTAACCCGAATCAGCCACCTGGTGGTGAAACTGGTTAATACCTACTCGCATCTGGGTAATTAATATGAGTTGTTCATGAAAATCCGAAAAATAAGAGAAAAAATTGTAGAAATTTTTCTATCAATTTGGATCATCAGCAGTTACATATAATAACATATTATATATTACATATAAATATTTCTAATGAGAACAGCAGGCATAAGTATCCATTCAAATTCACAATTTGCTCATGCATTGTAGTGCTGGCTCAAACTATAGATCTCATGTTACCTTGTGTCTTGGGGGACAATGTTGCATCAAAGAATCCCTCACAATCTGAGGAAGAAAGAATGAAGAAAGCAGAGTTGACCATGACAATCAGGGTGAAGATGGCATTGAATGCTAGGTAAGTGCTTAAATCCTTAATGAACATGATTAACAACATTTAATTTATTCATCCTAGCATAAACCAAGACTTTGATGTTGATTGAAATAACATTTGAATGTGTTTATTTACTTGTGTGTTTGTAAAATGGCACATAAAAATATATATACTTTTCTCTATATTGTTTTAGAAAATACATCAGACACTTCTTTTGTTCTTGGTATCATATGTTTTCGGAATGAAATGAAACATTTTTCCGAACCTCATTGGAACAAAACGACACACAAAGTGTTTAGGTCTCTCAATATTGTAATTGTACAAAGGAAAGTTTGGTTCATTTAAAAAAAGTATCTTGTTAATGAAATAAAAGGTTTATTTTAATTTTTATCTATTTTTTTTTTTTTTTTTAAATTTGAATACTTTTTGTTAAATGAACCAAACTTTCCTTTGTATAACTATAATATTGAGAGGTTTAAGAAAATGTTGTATATGCTATTTTGTTCCAACAAGGTTGGGAAAGATATTTTATTTCATTCTCAAGAATTGGTAGAAAGGAACTAAAAACAATAGCAATAAAAACAAAAAATGTTAAAAAACAATATGAATAATTTTTATTTTAAATTATTGTCAATCAGTGACCATTACATGGAAATCACGTTTTTACAGGATGTTTTCATGATTGGTTTAAGAGAAAAACAATGTTGAATTCAGTTTGCCATATTGATACCAATTCTTGAAAATGTGACTTCTATGTCAGGGAGATTCCCCATAGACCCCATGTTATAAAATCACAAAAAGTGAAATATCTTTTCTTGTGTTTTGAACAGAGAATATTTTCATCTGTATAATTATGAGACATAATCGCAAAATGAAAATTGATCCACTGATGAATATTAAAGTTTATGGAACCCCAAGATTTTTTCTCAGATGGGTGCAAAATTCTCATTTTCACAATTCAGACCAAAGATAGTCAAATCATGCCAATTTGTCATGATTTTTCTAATTGGCAGCAAATGGATTTTCATGTGGGTGCAAGCCTATTTCCTAAATCTCAGGTGGCTGCTGCACCAACCTGCTTTAATACTGGGGAGATCACTGTATCTGCCATGGTATCTGACCTGAATTAGCCACCTGTTGGTGAAACTCTTAACTACCTACTGGCATCTGGGTTATTCTACCCATAGGTTTTCATTTATTTATCTGAAATGTATATTTGCAGGTACCCAAGGGTTATAGATTGCTTGTATGATGGGGCCATGGCATATGTATGGTGGGCTAGAGGTGACATTGCCAAAGCTAGTCAGTGTTTTCTCTATTTGGCTGAAAATCATAAACATGGTGAGAATCAATTCTCTATTATTGTGACAATCCACAAAAATGACTTGGGACCCTGAATTAACTATTTAATTCCCACTGTGTTGAACTTTCAAGTGATGCTGACCTTAAAACATTACCCTGACCTACTAGACCTTGATATAGCACTTACACATCATCAAAAACACAAGTTAAAAAGGCACTCCACACTGGTGGGAATCGAACCCTCAACTTCCCGATTACATGTCAGATGCTCTCACTTGAGCTACGGAGGGAACTGACTCTCTCACATCAACATTGCCTTTATGGCATCACAGCCGTGATTTACAGTACATACCAAGTTTTCCGGACCCATTATATATAGTGACCTATACAGTGACCTACATGTATCACCTGTAAGGTGGCCTTTACCTTTGCTTATGACCTGGTCCAAGAAACAGTTATTGAACTAAATTTTAATGGCAAATCATTAAGTTTATCAATGGTACTGTGGTATGTGTCAAATTTAGGAAGTCTCTGACCTTGACCCTCCAAAACGTATATATTGACCTTGACCTTTAGCTTCCAAGCAACCTTGAACTTAAATAACCTTTTTTATGTTGTCACAGACTCATTAATATGCGATTTACTTTTGACCCTTTGGGTAATCTTGACCTAGAAACAATATGACCTTGACCTTCTGTGATTGTATTTTGCAGCACGCACTCGTGCCATGTACTTCAATGAACTGGGACGTCTGTATACTCAGAATGGGGATTGCAACAAGGCATCAAGGTTCTTCTATGCTGCTAAAGATGCTGTACTTAGTAACAGTAAATATGCAAGAAATGCTGGTGATATTCAGGCACAGTGTTTGACATTGGCTGCAAATGCTATGGATACTGGGTAAGGTTTTATTTGTTGGATTTACACTAGATCCCTAAGACGTCTTGGATAATACGTTTTAGCGTTAAAACGTTTTACAAATATAATGTTAATCCAGATTTTCTCAAGAGCTCTCTTCTAAGACCGCTTAGCTAAAACGTTTTAGGGCCCTAGTCATAGCCAAGACGTCTTAGCGTTAAAACGTTTTACAAGTGAGTGTAAATCCATCGGTTTTAGTCAAGAGCTCTTAGCCCATTTTTTTTGCGTTGATGCGCTGAACGAAAAATGTTTACATGTGTCGCATGGTCCTTTCTTTTGTCTTATCCCTTGTTCCCAATATCATCCCAAATCTATCATAATCCTAATATATGCACAAAATCTTCCTGCTCTCTTTCATGCTTTTAACAATGCTTTCTTTAGGACATATTTTTGTGAAACCGATGCATTCTTTAGCACAAAGTATAGAAGCAGGAAACGCATAGCTATATTGACGGAACTGTCCTTCAACCAGTACTGAACTGTTTTTTTCATTTTACATGTATAGCTACATATCTCTAAGACGTTTTAGAAAAACAGGTGTAAACTCAATCATATTTCGTAAGACGTCTTGAAAATGGTGGTGTAAACTCAACATAATTTTTCTAAATGCTTTAGCCAAGACAACTTGGACTGTCGCGTGTAGTGTAAATAGGGCTATTATGTGACCTCCAGAAGTGGTGACATATTGTTATAGTCTTCAACTTTTTGTGGATGATGTTCGGTGTTCAGTGTTTTGCATTTGGCTGTTCGCAGTTAGCATTCTGCGTCTATAACAAATGGCAGGTGGTGACATTTTGCATGTTAATGCCTTGTTGGTTTAACAAATTTGCAAAATCAAATTATCTTATTTCCGATTCCAAGGTGACAGCTATTTTTATGAAAAACACAGAATTCTTTTTGCAATTTCTTTATGACATTTAACATATCACTCAATCAAATCAAACAACCTATATCTGAGTTATCAATTAAACGAAAAATGGTGGCCATTTTGACACAGAAACAAATGGACAGGTGGCTCTTGTATTTCCCTGCTTATATTCTACTTATTTTCTAGGTTGCTTTCAGTAGGCAAAGCTAGGAAAGCTGCTCAGGCATGGGATGTAGCATTGAAGGCTGATGTTGTATATGACGCTACAGTCCAGTATGCCGCAGAGTCTGCCCTTAGATGCTTCTCAGGGTACTCTCTTGGTAAGTATTACTTTGAATGTTTATTAAAGTGAAGGCAGATAATTGTATTTTTACGCCGTTTCAAAATCCTCATACTTTTGGGAGAGAAGCTAAATACATTTTGCCTTACATCACCCCACCTTTGATAGGGGTGTTAAACCTTATTTAGCATTACCAATATGTATTTGGCTAATTGGTACATTCATAGTGCTTGTGCCATATTTTAAATGTATTTTACGCATTACACTTTCAGATCCTTCATTGAATTGGCACAAGGTTGTAAAAGAGCGTCTTAATGACATTGCCACCAAACATGAATGTCCGTTTTACCACTTGGCAATTGTCAATGCAATGTTGGGCTCAGAGAAAGATTCTTCAGATTGCTACAGGTACATATAAGGTTATAAATGTTGATGTACAGGTACATATTAGGTTAGGAATGTTTATGTACAGGTACATATAAGGCTATGAATGTTTATGTACAGGTACATATAAGGTTATAAATGTTGATGTGCAGGTACATATTAGGTTATGAATGTTTATGTACAGGTACATATAAGGTTATGAATGTTGATGTACAGGTACATATAAGGTTATAAATGTACAGGTGCATTTGATCTGGTATTACCATACTTTAGTACATGATATATAATGCATGGCATGGTTGAACATATATCATATGAATCATTTATTCATCTCATAAACTTGGGTATTGGTTTTTTAGCCCACCCTGTATATTCATTCATTCGCTTTGGTTTCATTTTATCTTATACACAGCATTGAGAGTACATATACCCTGGGCTTTCTTGAAAGAACAGTGTATTTTAAAATTTTTAAGAATTGAATTAACAAAAATCATGTGTTAAGGAAAGTACTACAGGAGAAAAATCTGTGATATATTTATGCATCCTCTTTATCTGTTCATTAAGGTATATTGGTGCAAACTATCACATGTTTAATGATGATTCGGAACCTTTGACTAACCCATACGCTGCCATATTGGATGCAGCCAAAGTTCAAGGTCATATTGAGCCAATGAAAATGCTTTGGAGGACAACCATGTGCCATCCAGTCATCAGTCAAAGAAATATCACGTGAGAAAAAGCAGACACATGTTTTATTTCAAAGGACCTCTTTTTATTTAATATAATATCCAATGGATAAGTATTTAAGAGACCTCAGTTTGATGTCCTTAACAAATAACATCCTCTCCTCCCTGAAAAATATAATTGAAAAGCCAATTAAAGTATAATTGTTATTGAGGTTTATGTTGTAATAATGAGGAAGTGCAAGGACTAAAAGCAATGAAACACAAAACCCTATAAATCATGTAAAGTTTCCAAATTAGAAGTTGAAAAGCCAAAATGTCCGCCAGTAACAATTTGTTCTTTATTTGTAGAAATATTGAAGTAGGCCATTTCTGCTCTGATACACTGAACCTGCGTATAAATGATAGTGGCTACCTGACTGGTGACATTCAGATGGTGCTGCCACCTATACAAGCTGTTCAGATTGATCCATATACTGGGTAAGCTTGAAATTAAAGTCTCTGTGTGAATTTTTCTTGTTGATCCTGATTATTGTTAATTTCCATTCTCCATGTTATTTTCCACAAGTAAATCATGGGACTAATTGCTAAGACTAGACCTCAATAATATCATGTGCTTGTACTCCTGAAATCAGAAAAATATTGCAGGCTATACATTTACTTGAGAAAACACAGACAGGACACAGCAAACAATAATATTATTGAAGTTTGATTGGAAATGGTCATTATATGCATATATGTAGGTACAAACATTTTACTGACTTGTAGGTTACCTGTATACCCCCAGACTCCTGCTGCTTCCGAGCCCTGGTATGATCTGCACATCAATGAAGGCTTAGTTAGAGGTAACTTTTCTTTCACATATGTAAACTTAGTACATTATTTTATGGATATGTTAAAGGCCCCATATATAGTGTGCAAAGTGTAGGTACACTTTATGGTAAAACCAGTGGTCACAAATACCTCCCTAATCTGAAAACCTCTCAATTTGAACACTTTTTTCCATTCCCATTCTGTGAATCTGCCGTAGACTTCCATGTTAAACATTAATTGAAATATGAACATTTTCCAACTTATGGCTGGTCCCATAGGTGCTCCCTTTAGACAGGTTTTACTATTCATTGATTTATGATCGTTATCAATATTTTTAGATGCAGATAATGTTGAACTTCCTAAATTACACCTACTTTATTCTGATGATCGCGATGTGAAAGTACACATTTTCATTGCTACTTGCTACAGTCAAGATCACACTGGTGGCAATACACCATCGCTGACTAACCACTGTGCAATGGTGTATTATGATAAGCCTGGAGGAGAAAGGGTTAAACTTGATCTTAGGAAAATAGCAAGACTACAAATGAAACTGGTAAATAAATAGAATATGTAACATTTCATATGATTTAAAAGATATCATTGTCATCATGCCTTAATAGAGAGTCCGCCAGTTTTAAAGTTAAAAGATATTAATATTATCATCTTAAAGCACAACTGAAATAGGTTTTCTCAACTTGCAGCTATAAAAATGCCAACATTAAGTTCTCGTGATAAGCATTATGAAATAAATGATAAATTACTGTTACTAGTCTAATAACAGTATTATAAAATTAACGTATAACTGATCAGTCAGATTGAACCCAACATGATCAGTGACATCGATGTTATAGCAACATCCCGATTCTTGTGAAAACAAATAACAAAACATCTTTAAGACGTCATGATTCAATGGACCAAAATGGGCCATGCGAGGGCCAGTGAAAAATCACATGGGGGCCAATAACAATGTAAAACATTTAAATAATTGGTGAGGTGACATGTCCAAATACATTCAATGTTAAATAAAATAGATTCCTTTAGGTTTAAATTACTATTTCAGTTGTCCTTTAAATGTCTTGCTATTTTTCTCAAAAGTTGTAACTTCTTGTGTCTTATGTTTAGGCTATAGAGGACAAGATAAGGAAGGAATGTGATACGAATGGCTATATGTCTTCAATAAATTGGCAAAAAGACATGTTGGCCATGGTGGAGAAACATTACAAAAATGGCTGGTCACTATCATATGATGTGAGTAATGTAAATATGAGCATCACTTAGAATGAAAAGTCTCATGAATATATAGTATGGGATGATAAAGTCGGATAAGAATGTACAATGTAGGAGCATATAGACCGGAGAATGTATAGTACATGTATGGGGTGTTTCATAATGGCCGTCCCCCATCAACCACCAATCCTAAATAGCAGGCCCATATATGTTACACATCATATGAAAGCTTGTTCCATTCTGGACTTATTGAAACAACTTTGATTAAGCTCTCCAGTTTTTACAACTTGCTACATATTATCAAAGTAATTTTCTACAAAGATTTTTCAAGAATTTCCAAAATTGGCCATGTGTCCTGCAAAAAGCTATGATGAATCATGCCTCAATACACTAAAAATCTATAGTTATGTACACCTTCTAACATTAGATAGATGCTGAGGATATATCTTAATGATATTTGAAAGACAAAAGTATTAAATATTTCAAAGAAATACTGGAGTCAAATATCCCTATTTGTTAGAGCCATAAAACAAAATAGAATATGATGATATTGTGATATTGATAAATAAAAGTGTATTCAAGAATCATACTACACCAATAAAATGTAGCAAGTGTCAAAGAAGATTAAGCAAAATGTTCATTAGCATCTATTATTGGTCAGAATTATATGAATGTTGTCATCATTTCACATTTTTCACATTTCACTTGAAGGAAATGAAATACTGTGTCAAAGATCTGTATGTTGAGAGGGAAACTCTGGCAAAGGAAAGACTGAAGAAAGAAAAAGAAAAGACTGGTCCAAAAAGTAGTAAGAAAAAACAGGGGCCAAAATTCAGAAGATCAAGATATCATTACTACAAGGCAGCTCAGAAAAAGAATAAAGACAAGCCACAGGGTATAGTAAAGTTGAAAGCTTTCTCTAGATTATGGGAACTGTGAGAGGGAGCATGTGGGAGCATATACACGGATATTACCAGATTTTAATGCACTCTTACTAATGCCTTGGTCACATAGGCTCCGATTTTCACTACGGCGCCTGGCCGATGAGTATTTTGTTCAAAATCGGCCGGCGAGCCGGGCATCGTACGGGCGCCGGGCGATGATCGCCACTCATTGGCCGATTTTTAGACATCGTACGGGCGCCGGCAGAGTTATATCGCGGAGATAAAAGTTGCCCATGTCTTGGCGATTTTTTCTCAAACAAACTCATCGGTACCTACCCGGCCGTGTCCCGTCCGGTCATCGACAATCGTACGATTATCTTATGGCGCCCGGTGGCATCGCACGGTCATCTTGGGATTTTGCGTGCTGATTTGTTTGATAAATCTTAATAATGATTACTTATAAAGTGATATAAAGGTTTTAAAAATAATGAGACAAGGAATTATAATTACTACACACTGTCAGAGATTTTTTATAAAACATAAATGGAACGATTAGGCTTACTGTAAAACAATGACACACTTTTGAATGGTTGGGTGGGTGGGTTGATCTAGTCGTTCTTATATTGACATTAATCGTGTATGTCTGTCATACACATTGAATAGAGTGATACATTTTTAAGGTATATTCACTCATGCATATACCATATATATAACAGTCTCAATTACAGTTAATATGTCAAAGGCTAAGGATAGAGGGGATAAGGCTTATGCGATGTCTTTCAGATTCAATTTATTGCGGGCGCCGTACGATGCCTGTACTAATGTGACCATACTCACGATTAGATCAAGACATCGGTGAAAAGTCACCGGAGCCCGGTCGATTTAGAAATCGGCCGATGACTACTCATCGGCCGGCGCCTGGCGGCTATGTGACCTAGGCATTAGTACAATCTTAGCAACAAACAAAGGATTCTGAAAAAACTTTGTTAGATCATGCTATGAATTAGTCATTTTTTTATTTCCTTCAATTTTAGGTTTTTCACTGGTACTGCTAGACTACAGGGTCTATGGACGCACACTGTTATTATTTCTAAGGGCAAGCACGAGGCCTGTAACGTTTGATCGTGTTAGAGGTGGAGAACATACTAACATAGCTGACATGATAATGGTGAGTTTACCAAGATTCCTTTCCTTTAATTCTATCTTTTCATGTTTGCACATTTCTACATAAACTTCCAATGGATTGATTATCCCATCGAACGAAGTTCGGAGGGATATAGGGAATGCCTCCATCCGTCCGTCCGTACGTACATCCATCCGTCCGTACGTCCGTCCATCCGGGCAATAACTCAAATACCATTGGCCCGATTTTGTTCATATTTTGTACACATATACCCTATGGGGTAGAAGTTCTGCTCAAAAGCCGATTTTCAAAATGGCCGCTCATTTCAAAATGGCGGCCATTTTAGTGCCGATTTTACAGTAATTTAGGTACAATATGTAAAACTGTAATAGCAATATGTTTTAAATGTAAAAAAATTATAAAGGACATTAATAAAGCTACAATGTAGATATTAAAAAAGCACGTGGCAGCCATCTTGAAAAATGGCGGCCTTTACTCGTTATTTTACGATTTTTGCTGTAACTCGAAAAGTAGTGGAGCGATTTTGTTCATATTTGGTATGTGAATACTATAAACATTGCACACTGTCTAAAGACACTTTTGGTAGAAGGCGGCCATTTTGAAAAATGGCCGCCATTTTAACGTATTTTACTATAACTCGAAAAGTAGTAGAGCGATTTTGTTCATATTTGGTATGTGAATACCATAAGCATGGCACACTGTCCTATGACACTTTTGGTAGAAGGTGGCCATTTTGAAAAAAATTTTGAAAAATGGCCGCCATTTTAACGTATTTTACTATAACTCGAAAAGTAGTGGAGCGAATTTGTTCATATTTGGTATGTGAATACTATAAGCATGGCACACTGTCCTATGACACTTTTGGTAGAAGGTGGCCATTTTGAAAAGAATTTTGAAAAATGGCCGCCAATTTAACGTATTTTAGTATAACTCGAAAATACGTAGTGGAGCAATTTTGTTCATATTTGATATGTGAATACTCTAAGCATGGCACATTGTCTAATAAAATTTTGGGGAGTAGTCGGCCATTTTAAAAAATGGCCACCATTTTTATGTATGTTATTTTACAAGTACATGTGTGCGATTTTTCCAAAAATTTATAGGTGGCCACTAAAAAGCATATTATTTCTTCTGATGACAACTTGGCTAGTGAGCAACCATTTTGAAAATGGTGGCCTTTCTGGTGTGTTGTTTTATGATATTTGCTATATATTTCGTTTGTAAAAATGCCAGCCATTTCTGTTCGATGGGATTCGCTACGCTTTGGCGTTGTTCTGGTTTAAAATGTTTATTGGTCTGAAAATCAAGTACTGATTAGAGTGTGGGCATATTAGGGGTAAATTCAATTGGCAGCTTTTTCTGATTTTTTTATTCCATTTTGTCATTGCCTGTTTACAGAGCCTTACTAAACCCCCTTAGGCCCTGAAGTGGTAAATAACTTACATTATCTGAACTTATCAAAGCTTTAAATTTGTGTGTGTAGAAAGTAATTCAGTTGCCATTTAGAATTGAAAAGGTGAGGGTAGTGGGCTTTCTAGAAACACCATGATTATAATAGGACTTGAATTCAATTTATACTTGTCATGCTTACTCACGCGGTACAAACTTCGACCGTTAATTTGAATTTTTGACCTACCAGATGCTCGAAAATCAAGGATTGTGAGTCTCATACTACACCGTTTTTCTTCAAACTTGTTCCATTAAAAGCAAAACAAAATTGCCTTTCTGTCGGTGCATTACTTTATTGTAAAGAGTCCCTCGTTCTAGCAGCGTTTTGGTCCCCAGCTGTTAGAAGACCTTCTTACAGCTGGGGACCAAAATGCCGCTGGAAGTAGGGACTCTGTTTAAGAGAATAATGTACCAACAGAAAGGGATTTTTGTTATGCTTTGAATGGAACAAGTTTGAAGAAAAGCGGTGCAGTACGAGACTCGTAATCCTTGATTTTCAAACATCCGGTAGGTCAAAAATTCAAATTCGAAGTTTGTACCGCATGTTACTGGGTGTGCAAATTTTGGAATTTCAAAAGTTGTTTTCTCTGGTTCTTCAGTTCATCAACTGTGACAATGGTGAGAGCTTCAGTGCACCAACCACACACTGTAAGGTCACACCATTCGTGGATGGGTGGTCACTTGACCCTGAACGCATGGTCCCAAGGTCACCAAGGTCAGAAGTCAAGGTCTTTCCTGATGCTGAGACATTTACACTCAAGTGTTTGCAGTGTCTCGAAAATACAAAGAAGAAGAGGTATTTTGTTCATTTTTATTAGCTCACATGGTGAGCTTTTGCAATCGCTCACTTGTCCGTCTGTCTGTCCATCAATGTTAGTGGCACATTTTAAAACCTCTGATAGAATTCTCGTTTTATGTTTTTTGTTCAACTTCAATCGAGAAAACCCCTCAATGACTCCCGGTTCAAAATCTTTGGTCTTACAAAATTCACTTTTAGACCATTTAGAAGAAAGCCTATGTTGATATGATTCTAGGTTACTTTTGTTAATTACCAATACAAGGAAGCCCCCTATAACTATCAGTTTACAAGCTCATCTATTTCCAAATTGGCATCCATTTTTGTCACACAAAATTCACTTTTAGATCATTTGCTATGATTATCAGTAGTGTTAGGTGTCTAGCATTGTAAAAATTCAAGTCACTGTACTATGAAATAATTTAATAAAATGAAATCGGCAAAAATGATATCAACATTTTTATTGTCAGCCATTTTTCCCAACCCTTAATCTTGTCTATGAAGTCTACAGGTTTCAAGCCAAACTTCTATCAATATGATTCCAGTTTTAAGGTAGTTTTGTTTATCAACAATAGAAAGCCACCAAAGACTCCTGGTTCAATAAGCTCGCCTATTTTCAAAATGCCAATCATTCATTTTTGTCTATCTGTTAACAATATTAGTGGCATGTTTTAAAAGCTGTTGATTTGATGAGCTTCCCTTTTTAGTTATTTTTGTTCAACATCAACACAGAAAACCTCAGCTGTTTTTTGATCCTGAAATCTTGTGTATGAAGTCTTGTCTAAAGGTTTCAAGCCAAACTGTTTGATGGATTTATCTAAAATTTGTAGGGAAATTTCTTAGTTTAAATCTTCATAACTGATTAGTTTTGGGGCATTTCAGGTATTTTAAGGTGGTCAGTTTGAATTTGCAGTCCTAAAATCTTCTCTATATGTTTGAGCCAATAACAATTTCACGGATCAATCAGGGTGTTTCATAGTATAAAAGTTTACAAATGCTTTCTTTGGCATTCTGGGTAAATTTTGGAGGTGGTGATTATGGACTTTTGTCAGAAAACTAGTAGCACAACACCATGTGAGCCCAGTACCCACAGCACTATTTTTTCTTGAATTGTGACATTAGTTATATGACTTTATGTGCATATGTGGGCTGTTCTTACAGGATTTATATTGGATTAAAACATATTTGGAAATCCTTTTGGTGCACCATTTTATCATGTTCCGCCATTTGGTGTTCCAGTGTGTCATTTGAAATTGTTTTTCAGTGCTGTTACATTTGACAAAAATGGTGAAATCCTAGAATCAGGAGAGAGAGTTCTTAAAGAGACATTTGATTTCACAGATGTCATAGGGGATACCATGTTTGCAATGATAGACAGAGAACCAAACAGGTAAGGTGATTCATAGCATCCAGAATTAGTATCTTGTATGTTAAAACTCAGAATATTAGCCCATTAGATAGGAGTAAATCACATACAGCATACTCCTTCATGGAATACTTTGCAGTATCTCATGACTTATTGAATTAATGTAAATGGACTTTAGAAAGTGGGACACCTTCCAAGTGGAACACCTTTAGAGGTATCAAAGGTGTTCTACTGACACAGGTTCTACTGTAATATGCAACATAATCATTAGATCTTGTTTCTAGGGTAACTGGTTATTCCATAAAAAGAGGGAGGTACAGCAATGAGACCATAGAGCCAGTTGCTATCAAGTGTGCTCATAAACTGGTATTCACTCTTACAACAGAGGGGCTTGTGATTCTGCTACCTGAATCTTTACAACCTGTTACCATGACAACCAGCAAACTATTGTAAGTAGTATTGCAAATCTGTAATAAGTTTCCATATGTAGTAAGGTTATGCATGATCAGGGCTAGAGAGCTGAATCACCTTGTAACCCACCTAGTGCTAGGCAACTCACGACTTTAATCTTAGTCCTAAACAATTTGAAAAAAAGAAGTAGTCTCACTTAAATCAATTGAAATCAGCCAATGTAGACAAAATCAGATAAAATTTCTTTAGATTGCACTCGATTCTATTAATTTACACCAAATATATGGGTCAAAAATGCATTTAATCACAACTTATCATCTCCAGCAGTATTTGTCCAAAGATCAATACCAAGTAATCATACTTCACATTACTGCCACTTCCCCTGCTCCTCCTCAACGACTGTTAATGCGCTCTTATTTATACTTATTTATTTATTTGCATTATTAGTATATTCAATTTTCTTTAATCAAGCAGTATATTCACCTTTTTTATGGTGTCCACTGTAAATAATTTTTATTCTGATTTATTCTTATATGAAGGAAATAAGAAATAAAAAAAATAAAAAAATGAAGTGTATGAAAGTAAAAGTATGTATTTTATTTCAGTACTGAAGCAGACAAACTATCAGATGACAGAACTTTCTTCCAAGGAACCTACAGAAACATGCATGTTATCAAATCTTCCACAGCCATGCACCCAAATGCGGGAAACGTGGAAGTGGTGCGATGTATTCTGAGTCTAGATTCGCTTGTCATTGTGCTTCAAATTCCCATTGTTAACCAGTAAGTATTGACTGAATGAGTGACCTTGTATCTGAGAATTATCTGGTACATTGGCCTGGTGATCTAGATTACTTTCCAGGCTGGCTGAATCAGGTATAATTATTCCAACAAATTCAAATGAATTAAATGGATTTAGAGAACAATTTGATTCAAACTATTACAATACTATAAGTTATTGAATGATTTGAAGTGCAATACAGGATATATTCTGTTCGAGAAATTCCGTATTGGAACGAGACGAAGTCGAGTGCCAATACAGAATATCGAGACAGAATATATTCTGTATTGCACTTCAAATCATTCAATAACGTTTTTATCGTGTTATCCTCTGTATTGCTACTGAGATTGTCTCCTCCGTACCAATATTTTCTGTATTGCGACGGAGATGATCAACGCGGACAATCTCAGTAGCAATACAGATTGGTACAGCACAAGAACTGACCAATCAGAGGGCTTCATTTTACAGATCATACGATAATATAAGTTATTGAATGATTTGAAGAGCAATACAGGATATATTCTGCTCGAGAAATTTTGTATTGGAACGAGACGAAGTCGAGTGCCAATACAGAATATCGAGACAGAATATTTCCTGTATTCCACTTCAAATCATTCAATAACGTTTTTATCGTGTGATCCTCTGTATTGCTACTGAGATTGTCCCCTCCGTACCAATATTTTCTGTATTGTGACAGAGATGATCAGCGGGGACAATCTCAGTACCAATACAGATTGGTACAGATTGGTACACTTCTATTTAAAGGTGCAGTCCAAGTTGTGTAGAACTGATGCAGAGTGTGAAAGTATCAGGACAACCCATTGATGCAGCATTCATACCAGGTGCGTCGATTTCTTTAAAATAATGGAGTACAATAAAACCTGTTTTAGTGAACACCTCTCTAAGTGAACACCTGTCTCTAGTGTACATCCTTCCTCTGCACATTCTCTACTGACTTCTGTATAAATTACCCTCTCCATAGTGAACACCTACCAACACTGAACATTTTTTGCTTGGTAAACCATACACAGATTTTATTGTACTGTTATAACCAAGATGCTAGGCTGGGCGAAAGTGAATATTTAAATATGCAAATAATATATTAATTAAATCTAAATCAGAGTAAGCTTGTCACAAGCTTAAGTATAAGACATTGTGTCTATTTCTTTGCAATTAAGCTAACAGAGTCCTTCTTGTACTTCAGATGGGTTTCTAATAACAGCTACACTAAATAGGGACAGTGATACCCTTTATCGGGAACATCTCTACAGATTCTCTACCGAGAACAAACTGGTCAGCCTCCTGCCATGCCTGGGCCGAGGACCTCATAGCTTCACCACAACATTCCTCACAGAAGATAATGAGTTGAGACAGAAATATGAGCATTTGAATAATGGACTTGGAGAGGAAGGACATTACACATTCTTCAGCGATGGTCATGGTGCAATCTGCTGTATTAATACATCACGACAATGAAGTGTCATTTTGGGCATGATGGGAATGAATTGTTACTGTGGGCATGATGGGAATTAAGTGTTGTTGACATGCTGGGAATGAATTATTTTTGTTTTCTGTAAGAAATTACATGGTCCATTTCTCTGCAATGATGTTGATATTGAAACTGAATCTCTTCACTTTTAAGATTATATAAGAATGCTATTCTATCACTGTATTTGTAACATTTACAAAAAAGTTTTCTTTACTTTTCTGGCACATCATTTACTGTGAACTTATTGTAAAGATGACTTGGTTTATTATTATTCTCTAATATTATGTAATGTGTTATTATGTTATGTGTTGTTTTATTATATTTACCAATATTGTTTTAGAAGTCTTATACATTCCACATTTTTAAATAGTTAATCAAATTTTTTTTGCTCTTGTACTAATCTGATATATTCCTCATGGTGTCACTGTGTGTATTACAGTATTACATGTAGTTTTTTTTTATCTGAGACTGCCATACCTAAAAGTTTATATTTTATATGTTTTCTAATAACTTATTCTAGAATGTACCTGATCTAGAAGATGTTCATTCCTATTTTATTATAATAACTTATTCTAGAATGTACCTGATCTAGAAGATGTTCATTCCTATTTTATTATAATAACTTATTCTAGAATGTACTTGATCTAGAAGATGTTCATTCCTATTTTATTATAATAACTTATTCTAGAATGTACCTGATCTAGAAGATGTTCATCCCTATTTTATTATAATAACTTATTCTTGATTTTATGCATTAGAAGTCTCGAGTGTATTTTATATAATACATATTATATTTTGTACCTTTGTATATCGTATTAATAAATCATTGAAAAAAAAACAGATTTATCAAATAATTCCTTTATTTTAAATATAATAAGTAATATAATACAGTCTAAAAATCATAAATAATATCCCAAACCCCTTGCAATCTTACATACATAAAATGTACGTACTATAAACACTACACAATGACCGAGCTTATCATCATAATGAACACTTTAGAAAGCTGCAGCTTACATCATGCCTTCTGTCTAACACAGAGATCAACTTTATATTAGAAAGGTGCATTGAATTCCAACAAGTACATGTTGTGATTGTGGCACAAAATGTGATCTTTGAATAGATAAGCAAGAATGGCACAAATTTATTTTTAAATTAAATTCACAACACATACGAGCCCCTTCATATCAGTCATTTATATATAAGAATTACATTTGGTCCCACTGTATCTTACTGCTTGCTACCTAGTACCAACTATCTACTGAATTCACCAGCATAGATGAAACTAAGTTGACATTTATATAACCTCCTGAAGTTGACTGAAATCAATGTTTACAGGGATACAATATTGAGTCGACTGAACAGAAGTGTACACTATTGTTTCTAAGTTTAAATAAAATCATTTCAATTAATGTGTTTGGTTTGTCATGTTTCTGTCTAAACAATTGTAATGTAATTTAAGGGAAATTCCCAAATATTATAACCCTGCAATTTATCTAGAGGTCCCAAAGGTGTTCCATGAACACAGGTTTTACTGTACTATGTACTACATGTATGAGGCAATGTAATGGGCCAAATAAAGTGATTGTATTGCCATTAATCCTTGTAGTACAATACAGTGATATGAGGCAATGTAATGGGCCAAATAAAGTGATTGTATTGCCATTAATCCATGTAGTACAATACAGTGATATGAGGCAATGTAATGGGCCAAATAAAGTGATTGTATTGCCATTAATCCATGTAGTACAATACAGTGATATGAGGCAATGTAATGGGCCAAATAAAGTGATTGTATTGCCATTAATCCATATAATACAGTACAGTGATATTTGGTTATACTCATATATGACATATTGTTTAATATACATAACTTGAAATGAACAATCATTAATCATCTGAATAACATTCAAAGTATCCACTTAATAGAGCTATATGAAATATAAAAGCATTATAACAATGAAAAGTAAATTAAGAATAATGATTGAAGCACATACTGACAGGAAACAATATATTGTTCTTCCTGATATTCTTCATGTGCTGTAATTTCTTTCAAACCCTGTCAAACTGAAATCAAGACTTAATAAGTCCGCCAAAATAAAAGAAATCCTCAAATTATTACAATCCTTCTTGTCATAAATCAAATGAAAATGAAACCCCTGTTCATTTACATGAAGGATGTCTGTATCTAATGTGTAGAGCTCGAAATATTCCAGATGTATTTGAATCAAAATTTGAATAAAATATGACTGGAATTTTCCAATATATATGACCAGTTCATCATATCTCATGTAGTCAACTTGCTATAGCTTGGAGGAGAGAACTTTTTGCGTAGGAATTTGAGAATGTACAATGGAATGCAGCTGACAGAAGTGATGACAAGAACCTTCCAAATAAAGTCCCAACTCTGTAGGAATCTTGCATCTGAAATAAAAAACACATTTATTTTACTATTTATCACATACATTTTACATATACAACCTACTACATCTAATTCGATTGAAAGCAAAGAAATATTTTATTATCCAATCATGATAATGATCCTATATCATATGAAGATATATATAGGCAGATCGAGATATATTTTAGCGAATAGTCCCAATACAATAGATCATTTTTAGATTATTTCATTTTTTGCTAGTAATTCTTCAAATGTAATATTCGGAGTATAATATCAGGTTTACAAAGAAAGAAAAAATACACAATTCATGTACGAGTATAATGAGCTATAGAGCATTAAGCATTGCAATTTCTTTTTTTCACTCTTTTAAAGCTCCCGTGAAAGGCTATCGAGTGTTTAGCTATGAATGAGCATAAGACTTACCAAAATAAATATCCTTGAGTATAAAGAGTGAAGCAATATAAACACCCAGACTGAATACCTCAGCGATGATCATCAGGTAGTGCCAGGTACGTATCGTCAAGGCAACCATGAGCAGTTCAGTGAGAATAAGAGCCGTGAATGTGATTGAAACAACGTGGATAAAGTCTTGGTCAAATAGTAGGAGTGCACCATACATTATTATACCACCTAAAATGGAAAATGATTCAAAGGATCAGTTTTAACCACAATAAACCCTCTTGTCTATCCATGTAATTTTATTTGACCTGGATAGTATATATGACCTATATACTTTTGTCAAGAAAATTCACCTTTTTGAAAAATGGGACTTGGAGTTCAAGAAGGGTCCTAATCTGTAATCGTTTCAAAGTTAGCCCCTTCACTCTTAATGATTCTTACCTTGATATATACTTATGAGAACCCACAGGAGAAAAGTCTTGAAAGATAATGATCTACCCTGAAAAACAAAACGTCATCATGAGTTTGCAGAGTATACAGGTACATATAGGATTATTTTGCCCACCCTGTACATGTTTCTAATTATTTACTGAATGAGGACAGGGTGGAGTGGTTTTAATGTAAAATCATTTGGCAAACACTGAAACGATTATATATTGTCAAAATAATTAAATGTGCTAACACTGATTGTACATGATTGATTTTTTGGATTCTTTTACTTCAAAGTAACGATTTTTGTGAATTTGTGAATTTGACTCTGATACAAAAGCCTAATTGACTGGATCCAAGTGTAACATTTCCAATCTAGATACAGTTCTTAGATATACCTTTGTGAGTTCCTTATATAGTTCTGGGTATGTGAGAGCTATCTGTGCAGATACATCTTTGTCAAGGACTAGGGAGAACACAGGGTACATTGTATATACAGTGGCATACCTGAAACCAAAACATTTTTATAAAATATTGATGTATATGTTGATACATAGATTCTATACTTAGACAACTTCTGCATCATTTCAGATAATGTCATTTTTGTTAATTCAATGCAAATTGTGAGGTCCCAACGGAACTGAGATGCATATTTTCCCTGTTTTTCTGTTTTTACATACTTGTTCAAAGTTATAACTCATCCCCGATTATGGCAAGTAAAAAATGAAATTTAATTTACCAGAAACCTATAAAACAATCATGTGACAGATTTGACCAATCATAAACATTGTATTTGACACTTACCCAACCATAAGGAAGCCTGGGAAAAGTGCAACAGATGCAAAGTAGAAGACAGAGGAGAAGACAGCTTGCATGGTTGAGATGATAAGGCCTCTGTGCATCACAAACTGAGATAAGGAGGCACTTCTCTTATAGCTGAAATACAAATAGACTAGACATGTATTGGAATAAAGCAGATCAGCTATTATGTGTTTTTGATCAGCTTTGCCAAGTTTGAAGGAGGAAAAGATTCAGATCTTTACATGATTTATATAAAATACTTAATGTAAAATAAACTAGAAAAACAGCAACTCCACGGAGTAGCAAATCCCACCGAACAAAACATATTTAGATTATTAGTGGCCATCCTGAAAATTCCTTCTTGAGCAGAGCTTGTTTGTCCCTAAGCATCAACATATAAATGTAAACCATATCCATAAATTAAAATTTGAGTTATCAAAGATTACATTCTTTTTTACTAAAAATGGCAGCCATTTGAAATTCTGCAGTCATTTTGAAAATCTTTCTCGAACAGAGCTATAGTGTCCCTAGGTATCAGCATATAAAATTTGAATTAAGAAAAGATGGCAACTATTTTGAAATTCAGCTGCCATTTTGAAAATTCTTCCTCGAACAGAGCTACTGTGTCCCTAGGCATTATCATATAAAATTTAAAACAAATCCGTTCGCTGGTATTAGAGTTATCAAAATTTTATGTTTTTTTTTTACGAAAAATGGCCACCATTTTGAAATTCAGTGGCCATCTTGAAAATTCATTTTTGAACAAAGCAACTGTGTCCCTAGGCATCATCTTATAAAATTTGAACCAAATCCATTCACTGGTATTTGAGTTATCAAAGATTACATATTATTAATAAAAAATGGCCGCCATTTTGAAATTAAGCAGCCATCTTGAAAATCTCTTTTTGAGCGAATCTCCTTTGTCCCTAGGCATCAGCATATAAAATTTAAAAATCTGTCAACTTGTATTTGAGTTATCAACGATTACATTTTTTACGAAAAATGGCGATAATTTTGAATTGAGCGGCCATATTGAAAATTCCTTCTCGAGCAGAGGTCATACACTCATAAGGCATAAGCCTATAAAATTTGAACCAAATCCGTCAACCAGTATTGGAGTTATCGCCCGGACATACGGACAAACGAACGGACGGACGGCTTCTCTATATCCCCCTCGGACTTCGTTCGGTGGGATAAAAATGGCACCAGCAATGGTAACCATCAAAAAGTACCAAATATAACAATACAAAGAGCACAAAAGCGTGACAAATAGCATACCTGTTACGACCATGGACCAAAATAAGTCTACCAATATGACTAAACTGTGTGATGGAGAAATCTGCTGCCAGTGACGCTTGCTTTCCCTCTTTACCCACAATTCCTATTCCGGCATCAGCAGCCTGAATCATGCTGACATCATTACCTCCATCACCTAGGAAACAGACAACAGTCAAATCTTAATACACTTATTATTTGAGAAAGAATGTTTATTATATAATTCTACCTGAAAAGCTGTGGATTCAATATTCATGTCTGTAATATATTATGAAATACATGGATGAGAGAGTCATATTTTCCCTGATTGCACACATTACAACAGACAGTGTGGCTCACCTATTGCACATGTCCTTTTCTTGGTATGGTTCTTTAAAAGTTTGACGATTTCAGCTTTTTGTGTTGGTGAACACCTGCACACAACAACAGCTGGACACTGGCAAGCCAACTCGACAAACTCATGTTCATAATACTTCAAACACACCTAAAATACACAAAATATATAAATATACAATATATATGTTCTCAAATATACAAAAACTAAATCAAACAGTGCAGAACTTTTCGGTCAACCCTCATACAAAGTATAGTCAGTGTTTCAAATGTGCATCAAATAAACAAACACGGGGAGATATGCCAAGTATTAAAATAGTACTCATGGCCTTTTTGTGCTAACTGAGTACTCATTTCAGTAAATATTAGTACTAAATGAACACTTATGACATAAGTACTGATTTATTGCATGTTTTAGGACTAAAGAGAACTCATATGATGAGTGATAAAATAGCAGTAATTTCATTGATTTTTTAGTGCTAAATGAGTACTCATATCATGAGTGATAAAACAGTACTAATAAAATTGATTTTTCAGCACTAAATGAGTATCATAGATCATAGCATGAATTAGTACTAAATTAGCACTTGTGGCATGAGTGCACTTTTGCCAGAGTGCTAATTTAGTACTAATTTTGTACTAATTAAGTAATCGGCATATCTCCCTGTGAACATGTACAACCAGAACAACAGCAAAGCCAAAGCGTAGCGAATCCCATCGAACAGCCATGGATGGCATTTTTACAAACAAAGTTTATAGCAAAAATGGCTGCCTTCTACCAAAAGTGTCATTAGACCATTTGCCATACTTATAGTATTCACATACCAAATATGAACAAAATCACTCCACTACTTTTCGAGTTATAGTAAAATACGTTAAAATGGCGGCCATTTTTCAAAATGGCCACCTTCTACCAAAAGTGTCATTAGACAGTGTGCCATGCTTACAGTATTCACATACCAAATATGAACAAAATCGCTGAACTACTTTTCGAATATTATAAAATACATTAAAAAGGCGGCCATTTTTCAAATTTTTTTTCAAAATGGCCGCCTTCTACCAAAAGTGTCATGGGATAGTGTGTCATGCTTTTAGTATTCACATACCAAATATGAACAAAATCGCTCCACTACTTTTCGAGTTATAGTAAAATACGTTAAAATGGCGGCCATTTTTCAAAATGGCGGCAATTTTTTAAAATGGCCACCTTCTACCAAAAGTGTATTTAGACAGTGTGCAATGTTTATAGTATTCACATACCAAATATGAACAAAATCACTCCACTACTTTTAGAGTTACAGCAAAAATCGTAAAATAACGAGTAAAGGCTGCCATTTTTCAAGATGGCTGCCATGTGCTCCTTTAATATCTACATTTCTAGCTTTATTTATGTCCTATATAATTTTTTTACATCTAAAACATATTCCTATTACAGTTTTACATATTGCACCTAAATAACTGTAAATTCGGCACTAAAATGGCCGCCATTTTGAAATGAGCGGCCATTTTGAAAATCAGCTTTCGATTAGAACTTCTACCCCCATAGGGTATATTTGTACAAAATATGAACAAAATCGGGCCAACGGTATTTGAGTTATTGCCCGGACGGACGGACGTACGTACGGACGTACGTACGGACGGACGGACGGACGGACGGAGGCGTTCCCTATATCCCTCCGAACTTCGTTCGATGGGATAAATATGTAAGACTAAATGAAACACTAATTTTAAAATTCTCATAGATATTCCTTTTTAGTGTTCTTTTGAAACTGATTTGAACATTTCAAATTAAGCAGTTTGTCTTGAAATGTGCAGACAAAAAAAAGAGATGTAGCTGATTTTAGCTGAGGACATTTATCAAATGCATGCTAAAAAGTAAAAGCCATGCACTGTAAACCTGAGCTGGCAGTTCGCTTGTCAAGCTGGTTTTGATTAATTAGCCTTGTATCCAGTTCTTAGCTTTGTTTACTAGTAGGTCAAACAGTCTTCCACTGTAGAAAGTTAATGCTATAGCCACTTTTGGTTAATTAAACCGCATTCACTTTTCATGTTATTACTCGTTTAAACTTACTTAGAAACTATAACTTTTGCAATAACTAAAAAGAATGATCAATTAGTAATTTATAGATGTAAAAAAAGTTCACAAATTCTAATCATAATCAACCGAATTCTAACACATTCCATTGTATCTATCTTTTGTAAATGAAACCCTAGTACATAAATAAAATTTTAATTTTAGTACACATTTGCATGAAAAGTCACTTTTCTTATTGATTCTACTTTTTGAATCCTATAATTTTTTGATGGTTTTGTACTTAAAAGTCTCCTCTTTCTGCTCATCTAAATCAATTGTCTACATTATTTTTTTCCTTTGATTTATCACTTGTTTTCTGCGAGCAACAGCTCAAAGTTGCCTATTCAAACCAATGTTAAAAATATCAATTTTGGCCAACACCTACTCAATTAAAATGCCAATATCTTCTTTAAACAAAATAATGTACACTTTTCTTGAAGTGATATTGTTTCATAAGACCCCATTGTTTCTCACTGTGAAAAAATTTCTGAAGTAAAAAAGTAGGAAAATATAGAAAATATGATGGAAAAGTACACTCAAAAATGCAAAAAATATCTATTTCATATTAACTGATACCTTTAAAATAGTGACATAATGACCAAATAAATATGATTCAGCAAATCTTTAATATCATAAGATAATAAGGTTATAAGTTTAGACAGAGAAATGTCGGTAGAAATCATAGATTTTAAGCTTACCAGACAACATGACATAGCCTTCAAACACCACAGCCATATTTTCTAAGACAGATTTTATTACCACTACGCATGTGCAAGAACACCAGATGTGTGATTAATGACTTTCTACCAGTGACCTACCAGCGAACTGCCGCATTTATACTATGCAGGTTTACAGTGCATGAACAATACGTGCACACTGACAGAATATACCATAAAAGTCCATTGGCCTTACCCAATCATATAAAACTAACCTACCTCTAAACAATTGCCACTGATAATTAGAGCACAATCGTTTCTCCGCCTAAAGGAATTCAACTCTAAATGTGCATCACTTCTCGTGGTAACAGTGCGAAATATGTGGATGGTTTGTGTCTTAGATACTAAACGTGAACTTTTTGCGATGCACGTCGCAGTCTCTAATTTGTCACCTGTTAACATCCATACCTTAATAAAAACAGATACATGTACTGTCAATTCTAAACAAAACAGTACTCTATGAAATCAGCTCAAGGCTCCACAAATTATTGGGAAATATTTATTGATTAAACACTTTTGCTATGGGTCAAAGTCCATTATTTTCAACATTGTCCAGGGAATATCCTATTATGAGCATCAGCATAGGAATAAATATTCAACTTAAGTGAAAGGAATATATAAGATCAACATGTACCTTTATTCCAGCATTTCTCATCATTTCCAAAGTTGGTCTAACATCCTCTTGAAGTTTGTCTTCCACCCCAGTAAGGCACAACAGTTCCATGTCTCTCTCCAAGCTCTCTATCACTGCAGTCACTCTCAATGCCCTGTCCTGGACAGACATCTTAGCCTGGTGGAGACGAGACTAAAAATAACAAAATTTAGTTATCTTCAGAAATACTTAGTAGAGTGCATTAAAATCATGAAGTCATCATTCCACTGGGATGTGTATTTCTTATTCTTCCTTCTGTCTCTGTAAGATCCTAATGTATTATAGGAGATATGCAACAACATTAATTTGGGTGATTTTTTGAAATGTTTTGAGAAAAGCTGAAACGCAATTACACTTTTGAGTCCTTATTTAGAATGTAGGTTGTTTTTTGGAAATAATTGCTCCCAAACTTCCCCTCTGTGTCAGATTCTAAGTACATATACTGATTCTCAATTTTGGTGGAATCTCATTAAATTTTCTTGTACAAAAAGAGTTCAATGGAGCAAACAGTGAAAAATTTAAAAAATGTTGTAGATGCACCAGAGGTACATCACGAGTTTACCTATATATTTACCTATATTGTTTGCTATATCTACCCAAGACAATTATTTCAAATCTACACAAAACAATTTCAACCTTATCCAAAAAGTTTTTCCCAAATAAAAAAAGTTGCATTTTTGTATTAAACAACAATGGTTATGTTGATCTCATTATGTATTATCTCACCTCAAAGTCCAGATATTGGTCCTCGGTCAAAGACTTCTTAGCAACAACTAAAGTTCTGAGTCCCTCTCTGGCCATATTTCCACACTGAAATAAACATGGGTTATTGCGTATGAATAAATCTAAATTGAAAAGAAAATGAGAGCAACATCCAAAAATCAATTGAAGCTTTCTTTGCAAACAAAAAGGATTCCATTAATGGTGAACTGCTATTAGGGTTATATATAATATCAGTAGGAAGTGTACCCTAAGGGAAGCATTCTTGGAGTTTACATTACACCTCTTCAAATTATCCCTAAAAATTTCAATTCAATTTATTTTATAATTTCTTATATAATATACAATATAAAACATGCTGCTAGATACCCAATGGGCATATGTTGTGATGCTGTGGTGTAACAGAGAGTAAATTTTGAACTGATAACTAGGTGAATTATGAATCTTACCTCCTCTTCCAACCAATCATTATATTGCACAATGGTTACCATGACAACATCAGCACCCTTCATATAGAATGTAATCTCACCAGTTTGCTCATCCTGAAGTAACAACAAAAGATTTTATATTTTAATATAACATAATTTGCGGGCCAGTGCCAGCTTTTGCCAGGGGGTTCACTTTTGACAACTTGGCCCAAAATCACTTGAAAATGCTCAAAATGGTGAAAAATTGCATAGATTGAAAAGAATTGGAAAGGGGGAAGTATGCGCAAAAGTGTACATTCTCCCTACAAATCTACTAAAATAGTACTGTGTGGATAGATATGCTAGCAAGGGAGTGAACTGTCAACTAGAAATTAAGAAATTGATGAGGGTAATCAATATCACTGAATAATAATTACATTAATACTGTGTTCCGATTGGCTGGAATGTGGTATATCATTTCAAGCTATATGTGAATCTATAACTGAGAATGCTGCTTTATATTCTTATAATTCTGATTCATGACTCATTAATATGATGACAAATTAAACTTAATATGACAAATACCATAATCAATCAAGTAATTAGTCCAGTTATTATAATTTTCAAATGAGAAATTGTTCCATAATGATCTATTAGCCAACACTGCAGACCAACCATGAGATAATGTCATTTCTGTGTAGTTTTGTCAAAACTGGGTGTAGTAAAACATACTAATTTCACAAATTCTTACAAAGAAACGTCTGAACTACAGGGTGGTCAAAAAATGGAAACCCTGCATTTTCCTAATATCTTTATCATTTTAAAGAATTACTCCCTGATATTTCACACATTTGTACATCATTTAATTTCCTACCACCCTACCACATGTCATGACCATCAGACTGATAGTCACAATTTTACAGCACTTTGAATTTTACAGCACATGCTTCAAGTTTGGCTATCATCGCGCTGTAGGCAAACCTGCACAGTTGTCAATGGGCCGAATGCATTCCTCAGCAGGTATGGCCTGAATGATAAAGATGATTTCACTTTTGAGGTTTGTGATTGTCCTGAGGACATTCTCATACACTTTTTCCTTGCCATATCCCCACAGGAAGGGACATTTTGGACGACGAGTGCAGGTGGCCCAACAGCCCAATGTTCTGTAAAGTGCTGTAACATTGTGACTATCAATCTGATGGTCATGAAATAAAGTGAGCTGGTAGGAATTTGAATGATGTACAAATGTGCAAAATATCAGGGAGTTATTTCTTAAAATTACAAATATATGAGGAAAATGGTGTCAGGGTTTCCATTTTTTTTTACCACCCTGTACTTAAGTTTCCAAATGTAGCACAGTAGCTTTTAAAATGTCACCTACATATATACCCACACACCCATTGAACAAGATGACTTGATGACACAAGAGTGATACAAAGTGTGCATCTTCCCCCAAAATGGTTGAAAGCCCATGATCAGACTATGTACAGCAGACCATGTCAATAGGTGCAGTTATACTATAAATAGATATACTTACTAGTAACTAAACTTGGAACGGACAAGCAAGTTCAAAACTTGTAATTAAGGCAAATATCCTGGTAGCATTTAGCAAGTGATTTAGATTATAATGTGATTGTGATTAATTATGTAATTGTGATGATTAATTATGAAACGGTCTTCTTAATTTACAATTATCACTTTAATAGTAGCAAATAGCTATCCATAAATGTCACTGTGTTAAAACCAATTTATATCAAAATCCAAGTGAATATCAGGAAATGAATACCAGGATCTTAAAAGACACGGATCATTAGCTCTAGGGTCATTCAGTAAGGAAACGTTGATGCAGGAATTCATACTATATGAGAACGAAGTGTAAAAGATCAACTAGACAAGATTCAAAATGCTCAAACAGACATTAGGGAGTGCAATTTTTCTGTTTTGCCTTGCGTTCAACCTCAGTAATGCTCTCACATGTGCACCATGCGAGAATGAAGATCTGGAAGAATGTGAACCTCTGGAAGAGTTGAAGAGCCACTGTGAGCCTAAGATGGGAGTCTGGTGTGACTGTTGTGATCGCTGTGCTTTAAAAGAAGGACGTGCCTGCAACACTTATGAAGTTGGGTAAGTACAGTAAAGCAGATACCATCGAGTGAATTTGAAAATTAAATATCAAATGGCTGAGCTCCACTAAGAATTCTTGCTAATGAATAAAATAATGGGAATGCAGAAAATATAATTTAGTCAAATTTAGTATTTGCGTCGGCTGCTTAATCTAGAGCCAAGCAACATGTCAAATGTCAATATCACTTTATCAATTCTCCTGGTCATATAGGAACAGTAACTGTTGAAAACAGTGTGCATTCGTGACTTTCAAAGGTAATTAATTTTATTGAACAATCAATATCAGACATTGGGAGCAACTTTTATTAAATCATTTATTTTCAGTATCTGTCTCATTTCATATTTATTCATTCCCGCGCGTACTATACTATTCAAAGAAATATTTGCATCTAAATGTTAAATATATTTTCAGATGTGAAAGTCATTTGGACTGTGTAGATATAAAGGGAACTGGAATGATAAAGAATGAGATAAAATGGCATGACTTTCGTTTCAAAGGAAAATGTACAGACCTGCAGAAAGAAGGACTGAGAAAATTTACTGACAGATATGGTCGTCAATGGATTGAAGGAAGTCAGCTTTATAGGAAACCACCTAACCCCTGGTTAAACTAATAAATAAGAGTACATTTGGAGTATTGCATCTAACCTCATCAACTATTCAGGGATCTAAATTGAACTGATAAACTATATGTGGTATGTCATGGCTAGATGAGCTAATCAGACTGTAATAAAAATGTCACTTCCTAAACCCACATGGCTCTAGTTTGTGCAATTAATATAATGGCATTCGTTTTTAATACACTGCCATCTGATTATTGAATACTGAAGTATCTTAGAGAAAAGCATGAAAATTTAAAGATGAAATGAAGTTGAGCAAAACTTTGAGAATCCATTAACATTGCAAATCTGAACCTACAGGTACAGTACTTACAGACCTGGGGTCTATTTCTCCAAACTCCGTAAAGTTACAGGTGGGTAAGTCTATTGTTCTTTCTCAAACTACCAGAGATTGTGCATTTCTCAAAAAAATCGTAGATTTACGGGATTTTGTGGGATTTCCAAAGTTTACAATATTCATAACGTCATAGCCTTCTTTTTCCGTAACTTTATAGGCACCTTTATAGGAATTTGTTTCAATTTAATTACACTAGAACTCTTACCTTGATTATAATTCCCATTCTCTTGGTCTCTGAAGTGAAGGGAAAGATCTGTAGTATGGTGTATGATACAAGTCGACCAAGAGGAGACATGAGAGTTATTGAGTTGAGATCTCTCTTAGTTAAACCCAAACCAACACTTTCTGTCCACTTTACTAGAGCCACCTGGATAACAATAAAGAGCATTCATTACTTACTAACTTGGAAGTTTTAGAGTTGGTTCGTGTCAATTTTTAACATTTTTAAATTCACATCAACACTAATGGAATACAAACAATACACGGTGAATCTATGCTATATAAGGTACAAAAGATGTATATTGAATATTTATCAGCAAATGAAAAATTTAACTGATTCCAGTGTATTTTCACTCCACAATTACTGCATTTTGTACAGTAAAATAAAGCTCTTGTAATTTCAATAGTGATTATTGATGTAATACTGAAAAGTATTTTAAAATCTTATGATAATGTTCACCTCATCAGGGCTGCTGGCTTGATAAACAACTTTTTGTTGCGTATGTTGGTCAGCTTCAATGTCAATATTTTCTTCCTCGTCCTCATCCCCTTCCTCTTCCTCATACACTGGGGTAACATTATGACATAACGCAAGAGCTTTAACAGCCTCATACACACGGGTCACTACTGTGCGTCTAACCTTTGTCACCTTGAAATCAATATAGGTGATATATTTTGAGGCGAAAATGATTTAACAGATCCGTACATACTAATTTTCATAAAGAAAAATTATGGCATAATTAAAGCATCTTGTTGTATGTTCTACATGAAGAAATATGGTTTTGTAAACTTGTACTTGAAACTGTACAGAGCCAATGCTATTTTGAATCACTATCTCAATATTGCATGTTTACATGTACAATTCTTGTTTTACCTTGAGGGGTGTGTTGAGGCCAGCAGCCTCTTGTTGTTGTTGGAGTGATGTAAAAGAAGTCTTCAAATGAGCAACAACTTCATCCATTGACTCATTTGTGAATGACACTGTGCCCAAATGTAAACGTTTGAATACCTAGAGGAAAAACAAACAAAAAGTAGTAAGAAATATCACCCTGTCTTTGAAGATGTTATCTAAGATCTATGGTACCAAAAGCACCTGAATTGACCCTCAAATGATTTTCCCATTCTTATGTTATGGAACATGTTATAAAGTGATAATCTAAACACACCTTTGGTGTCTTTATCATAGGTAATGTTGATTACATATAATTTTAAGAAAATCAAAAAGCATACCATTTCATTCTGTGTTAGAGTACCAGTTTTATCTGAGAGTAGGTAAGTAACTCTACCCAGCTCTTCTGGAATTGTAGTACTTCTCACAACCGTCCCTGGGATTTCTTTGTCCTTCTGGATCATGTATGAGTATGCTGCCTTACCCATGTCAAGATTTACACGCAAACTGAAAAATAACAAAATAGTAAGTCTGAATAATTAGCTCAGCTCAGTGATCAATACTTTTCTTTGAATATTTACAAATTGAAAAAATGGTATACCAAATGGTTCATCTTAACTGTGCTTCCAAAGTCAGCAAATACAATCCAATATAATTTTTTCCAGTTAAACACTGTATAATAAAATTTGATTATTGCCCAGTCAGTATGATTCAAAATGATTTTTATTTCTTTATCATTCCAATGGGAATACAAATATGTCATTTTATGGATCTTACCTTATTGGAATGATGTAAGAGAATAGAAGAATAAATCTGAACAGATAGCGGTACCACGGGCCAGCAAATCCCTGAAATGAAGCGGTTTATGTATGGGTACAATGGGTAAATAGTAGATGTCCGTTCATGGGTTATCAATTATAGTTTATATAGTGCAACTTAGCCTAGTTTTTATCTTTTTCTAAAATTGATAATCTTTTTAGATGATCATTCTCACAGCATCATTTAATGATCATCAAGAAAACGTCATCCAATAACATACCTTTATAATCATCATGACGATGGAGAGACATATCACAGCAAAAAACAGAATCTTTGTCAGAGTGTTGATTTCCAAATCAAGCTGCCCCACCTAGTACAAAACAATAAAAATTCTTCAAATATATTTCCTCTTATAAAAGAGTTACCTCTTATTTTCAGTTGTACAGCATTTTCAATTTATTCAACCATTTAAAATCTTAAGTTATAGTGTCTGAATTAAGCTGAATCAACAATTTGATTTCTAAAAACTCATGTGGAAATAGTTGTTATTAGGGGCCAACTTCCTCATTTCTCCTTTCCACTATTGTGACTGTAACATTATAAATCTGTGCACAGATGCAGTGATCACTTCAACATAAGAGCAACTGGGGGTTGCACCATCTTGAAAATTAGATGATAATACACCACCCTGCTGAAAATATCTTTGTACCCTATCAAAGGGTTTAACTATTAAGATCAGATAAAACTTGGATTTTGCACCTTGTTTAGAAAAACTCCTTGGGAGATCACTGATATGCCTTTTAAACTCTTCAATGGATCTTTACCTTACTTCCTGGTTGAGATGTATTCATAACACTCCTTGTTTCTGTGCCAGTGTATATCACTAGACCTAAGCACGGTGTATAACCCAAACGCTCCTACATGCACGACGGAGCGTTTCATTTACGCGGAAACGCTCCGGAGCGAAATAAAATGGCGGCTAATGAAGATTCCACTATGACCGTAAGTATTGTTTCTCTCGTTTCTCTTACATATCATATGTTATGGTGAAATATTATGTACCATTCGATGAACAATACCGTGAGGAAAGATCTTATTTATTCAACTTCTGGTGGTAAACTGTTATTTGCTTGATCAAAGCTCCGTAGTGTAGATCGAACGAATCTGAAGATGACGATTTGACCACAAATTACGAATCAAACTAGTATTTCTATGAAAACGTTAATCTTTCTGTTAAAGTAGTAGATCACAAACTCGTATATTCTCATTTCCTAAAAACCCAGTCCAAATCCATTACTTGTTCTCGAGAAATCGCTTGTTTTCCTCAAAACGCTCCGTCGATTTAGAACACAATTTTAGAAACGCTCTTACCATTTTGTTTTGATATCATTTTCAGATTATTAGAGAAGAGTTCTGAATCGAATCTATCTCTCAAAAACGTGTTTTACTTGTTAGGCAAATTGAAACATCTGAACCTGGTGGTGCTAAACTTGCAACTAGCTGATTTAAGCCTACATTAGATGATGTCATGCCTACATGTGTGCTAAATCATAAAACTATAGAAAAAAACTAAAATTTATATGTGAATTAATCTTTCTTCTTTTGATGCCAAGGGGTATAATAGATCTTTTTTTCGCTTCCTGAAAGGGAAAGGCAAGCTATATATTTCCTAAATTGATCTAGACTACCGGAGCGTTTCCAGTTCACTGTGTTAACCAGATCGGAGCGTTTCTTGAATATGAGAATGTCATCATTTTTAAGACTGGATTTTCGGTCATCAAATCACTATTACGATAATGTATGGTGCGTTGAAGCATTGGAATTTGACTAAAATATACGTTGGTGCTCTAATCTTGGCTCAACTAATCACATGTATCGACAAAAGGGGTTTTGACCGGTAGAATGACAAATACGTTTTCGAATTTTGATAACTATACTGCTTCGTACAGCTCTTCCTAATTGCTTCAACCGTCAACAGCCAGCCAAGTACAACATGAATATCACACCCATCGAATGGTATACTCGAAATATGGAACTCATGCCTCTTATTCCCATTATTGGGGAAATCGTCAGATGGCTCATCATTCCCGCCAGCCAGTTTTCCTAATCCGGAGCGTTTCTTTGTTTACTTTCAGTAATGAAACGCTCCGTCGTGCATGTAGGAGCGTTTGGGTTATACACCGTGCTAAGGCAGTGCCAGATGCAACTACAGTGTTGGCCCATAGTGTATTATATTTACCTTACTTCCTGGTTGAGATGTATTCATAACACTCCTTGTTTCTGTGCCAGTGTATATCACTAGACCTAAGGCAGTGCCAGATGCAACTACAGTGTTGGCCCATAGTGTATTATATTTACCTTACTTCCTGGTTGAGATGTATTCATAACACTCCTTGTTTCTGTGCCAGTGTATATCACTAGACCCAAGGCAGTACCAGATGCAACTACAGTGTTGGCCCATAGTGTATTCTCAATACTAAGTGGATCTTCTGCTCCAATGTCATTCTGGAAATATAAGAAGGAAGGATATGTCTCAAGTTGAGATACTAGTCATCTTTATTTAATTGCCATTGTTTTTCTGTGACTGTACAATTAATTAATCCATTGCGTAATTCATTTTGTTATCAGATATCAATTTCATATCCTTCACATTCTGATACTTGTTGCATCTCCTTTCTTACATTGGTATCAAGATGAAGAGATTGCCATGGTGAATTTTGTTATGTTTATCAGTTTGCCAAAATGAGTATACGATTACTCTATCAGTAAGTGTCTTAAAACTTTGTTTAAAACTTAATATGGAGGATATTTCACCAGAATTACTGTTTTTTCAAATCCATGCCATTCAAACTCATCACTGTAAAGACTTGCAAGGTCAGAGTATTTTACCCATACATTAAATAGTTAGATAAACTGCATTTTTTCCATTGTCTCAGTGCCAATGGAAATCACTTTCAACATTTTGAATGATGTGAAAAAACAATTGGAGATGAAAAACTAGCTTCAGATAGTTACTGAGGCAATTCAAACTGAGAGCTAGCCTGGCAAATTACAGCAATCATATTTTCAACCTAAGGGTAGATTGCTGCACTTACAACTCTGCACTTACAACCCTGCACCTACAACCCGGCACCTACAACCCGGCACCTACATCCCTGCACCTACAAGGCTACAATGGTATCTACAATCTAAAGAAACAAGAGTGGGTAGAGACTTGCCATAAGACATACCCTATAAGAAGAATGAGCTAAGATATGTAAGGTCTACTTGGACTAATTGCAGACACTGTGTTATATATGTACATAAAGAGACAGAAATTTCCCTCCACCATGTACCTATAATAAAAGTCCTTCTTTTTACATTACAGGAATGGGATGAAACAGAAGCAGTGATAAGATTCAAAATAATTAAGTAGAGTGCTAACCTAAGCATATCCTTGCAATTATATGTTTCTTTTATTGACTGTGTCAGAACTTTTTGTGAAACAGGGTCATCATACATTAGATAAGTTATATAAATAACTATTCTATTATTACATGAATGTCAATAGAATAGCAGAATCGATACTATCACAAATTTGGTTATTCCCTCCCTTTAATAAGCACATGATTGTACTAGTAATCACTCAAAATCACAGGACATCACATACATTATCCACAATTATTATAGGAGCACTGGAGCAAAGTGTAAAAATGTATGAAGATAAGAATTTAACTAACTTAACTTATACAATAGGCCATTACCCTAGTTTACTTACAAGTTTAGCTCCAGCAGGGACATGTAAATCAGTCTAAAATGGGGAACATTGGGCAAATTACAAAACAAACTATAAAAGGTATGAGAAAATAATATAATAACAATTAAAAGAATGAGTAATTCACTTTCAAACCTTTCCATCTTAATGTTTCATTTCATGCATATCAAATGGTTTACTCAAAATCAGAACAAAAGATAAATTAAACACAAAAGTTTAAATGTGGCAAAATATAATGATGTGGTATGTAAGGTTAAATTACACAAAACAACAATTGCATATTAATGACGCTAAACTAAGACTAAATGGTGCTAATACTTATAATAATTTCAAACAAATAATGTTTTCTTGAAGAACAGAACGATTAGGTAACTAGGTAAAGTGACACAAGTTTGACAGAAATACTGGGTAACCCAAAACACAAACCTCTGATATTGAAATAACCTCTTCAAGTTTTGGGTCACCCTATAGGTGCTAAATATGACAATTGAGGTCTCTGTTTACTTACTCTACTGAAAGTTCCAACAAATTCATGGATTCCTTTCTGAGGTTTCTCAGCATAAACTTGGCCATTGATATGTAGAAGATCCTAAAATCAACACAAAATATAATGTGTTGTGAAAGATAAATCAGTCGAAAAGGTCTGCAACTATTTTGGCATTCACCATGCCAGATTATTGCCAGAATAACATTTTCATCACAGTCACAAATCTTGATTTTACCAACTAGAATTTTATTTTCAAAGTGGTGGAATGCACAACTGCTCTAATGCTGTATTTCTCTTTTTCCTATTCAAAACTACAAAATTCCAATAGAATTCTTGCATAATTGACTTCAATAGAATAAAATGATGTTACCATATCAGATGGGAGGCGTTGAGTTGATGGAACAGCTAGTCGTAATTTCCAATCTGTCTCTCCGTCCATCTGATCTGTGCGTATGAAACATGAACCATTCCGCTCTGTTGTACGTAAGAGGATCATATCAGCAGGGACTCTCTGATCCTACAACAAACATTGGTAGTACACCAGTTGAGATACTTGATTCTGATTAGTCAAGGGGGAGTCAATATCTTTCACATTTAACTCCCCAGTACATTGCATCGAAAGTTATTGGGGACGACATTATAATAATGAATCAGAGGGTGAACGTAACAGAGTTTGAATATGAGTGTTCAATGTAGTTCTTGGATTAAGTTAGCTTGTAGGGTGGCTGACTCTCAATTTAGAATTTCAGCATATAATTTGAAGTTTGGATTCTGTTGGTGCTGCCATCTTTATATCGGCCCGGAACCTATGGTTACGACTATTGACCCCTGTTGTCAGATATTCTGGTGAAACCCTGATTGTATTTCTTATAGGCTTGGTTTAGGATTAAGTAAAATTTCAAGAACTGATATGTGTAAACTCAAATGACATATACAAGATTCTGTAAGAAAGGATGAAAGTTTTAATTCTAATATAATGTAGAAACTGCACTGTTTGAGCAATAGAAACTGACAGTAGTCCATAATAAATAAGGGCAAGTAGTCATCAAACAGTTCTCAGTAGTGAAAGTAACAAACCTTTTCAATGGATATAATGTCTCCAACTTGGATTTCTGCACTTGGGATTTCCTTCTGACCAGCTGGGGTTAGTAGTTTAAACTTCTGTGAATTCACTTCCTTGTCACGGCGATAACGTCGGAAATCATCAAGAGCTTCACGGCACATAGTCACAAATATCACAAAACACTGAAAACACATTAGTTATGATTAAGGTTGTTACACACTTTCACAAAAAGTTGAAAGCAAAAAAGGGAAAATATTATTTAACAATATTTAATCCAAATTTTGGGGTTTTCTTTTCTATTATATTTCTTTGTGTTATTCATATACTTGTTCTTTTATAAATGATTAAACATTACAACTGTATGTATTATGATCAGACTTGGTCAAAATAAAGAAATATAATTACATATCAGGTAAATATTCACATAAATAAAATATAAAAAGTATTATTTTGTTAATTATTATCATGAGCACAATAAGAATCCTCACCATCCAGATGTACCTTAACAGAAAATACAGCTTGAAACTGAAGTTTTCTCAATAAAATCAATGAGATTCGGCTGTTAGCTTAGAGAGGATGGGTTGATAATGATTAATTGAGTAATACTTATGATCATCATATACATGTACATGAATATAATTTAATCCAGACTTAACGTTTCTCCACATGGAAACTTAATGTCCAAACATTAAATGTCACAACCTGGTAAGGTTTTGCAAATGGTTACAAAAATGTGACAATTGTTACCGAGCTGGTTCATGGACATTAACTGCCAACCATCGGTCAAAAGGGAGGTCATAAGAATGTGTCCTCACTTCTTGATGGTGACATAAAAATATTAAAACATTACAATTTCATAATATGTACTCACCAATGGTCCCCAATAGGTATAGAGATAGCCTATACATATGTCTGAGATAAAATATTACAATTTCCCAATAGATGTACTTACCAGTGGACCCCAGTAGGTGTAGAGATAGCCGATACGTATGTCTGGGATAAATTGAGACATTGCCATTACAAGGAAGTAGAGATTCAGGAAGAATTTGAATTGTTCATAAAGCACCTAGAAAACAATCAAGCTTATTTTATAATAAATGCAACAAATCAATCAAGATTATATTATTACTTTGAGTGTGACAAAGTGTATCAGTTCACTGAGACCAAAATGAATAAAGATGTACTGTATGTATCGGTAAAGGTTTGAGTAGCATTAGGCAAATCAGTGAATTTACCGTTCATTAAAGGTTAGGTCCACATGATGAAATCTACTTACAAGTGGTATAAATGATATAACACTGTATTTCTGATTGCGGATAACATTAGCGGGATACTTGGTATGATGTGGGTCTTTGTCTCCCATCCAAACAGTACGTGGCAGGTAGTCCTTCTTACGCCTGCATTTTTCAATCATAGAGTCCCAACAACTGAAAAATGTACAATGTTAGAGCAGTGCCTCAATGTTCATAATGTACACTAATTAAATTCATATGGATGCTTGAGTTTGATTCCCCATAACCAGCTGTGTAAACCAGTTTCTCCTAATTCAGCATAACACTTAACAATAATATTTTGTATTTTCCTTAAAGTAATCATCAAAATTAGTTGTAACTTTGTATGTTATAGCAGCTTAAAAACAGACCTAACAAGTCCAGATTATTGACACTGGAGCTGGAGTCAACATGATTATTCAAGAACTTCAACGCATCAATAATGTGACTCCAGGACTTTTTAATGCACCATTTATTTACAACCTACTTAGAGCATAGTATCTTCCATCCTCCACTAAGGAACCATCCAAGTCCTCTTTTCTTTGCCCCCCTGGACCCCCTGGATCTCATAAGGAAGTCATTCTCATCAGTCTCAAACCCATCATCGCTCATCATAAGAGGAATCTCATCCATTGCAATTGACGAGTCCTCGGATTCTTGTCTGAAACAAATGAACAACATGCTGTCAATATCATCTCTTCCAGTCACAGGGCTCCAAGATCCAGAAGGAGGATGCATCAATATGTAGGTCCTAATTGCATGTATATGGATTCTAGTATGTCCTAAACTATACGTACATATCAGGTATATGGGGACTTTTAACAATCAAGCAATATTTTTGTCAAGTTAAGCAGAGAACTTTCTTTCACAAGATAAAAAATGGAGACCCTATCTGTTGCAAGACTTACGCCTGCCACAACCGTCGCCATGTTATTCAGTGTTTTTAAGTATCTCAAGGATCCTGCCATGACTGTGGTAGTGTTATCGTGAAAGCCTGGTATAACCGGAACAATGCTGTATTATACTGGAATGCCAGCTATGACCGTGGTAGCGCGACCGTAGCCTTTATATGACATTTATGACTTATTTCATCCGTTGCTATTATTAGTCTTTTTATGGATTAACCTGTCTCAGACCTTAGTAATCGATCGTCATAGAAAGTATGTGTTTTCGAATCGAACCTTCTTGAATGAGAGTAGAAATATAGTTTGTTCGCAAGTTAAAAATGAGTGTTTCATTGTGAAATTAATTATGTATCAATGAATATGAGTACCATACACATGTGTAGTAGTCTTGATTTACATATTTAAGGTAGTTAATATTATCATGCTACTTTAAATGTTATTCAATACAACCACGGTCATGAGAGGCCTTGCAACTATTGTCACGGTCATATCAGGCTTTAACCTTACCACGGTCATGACAGGCTTTAACATTCTCACGGTCATGACAGGCCTTGCAATCATTTATTTTCATTATCACGGTCATACCAGGCTTTAACACTTCCACGGTCATGATAATACAGCATTGTCACGGTTATACCAGGCTTACATATTAACACTACCACGGTCATGGCAGGATCCTTGCGATACTTAAAAACACTGATTTACATGGCGACGGTTGTGGCAGGCGTAAATCTTGCAATAGATAGCATGTGAAAAAATGTTTGATGGCGTTTCATTACAGTGAAAAGTGCAGCTCCATTGTCTTAGGAATTGTAAGGAAGACTGTGGTATGTTATATCAGTATCATATGATAATAAACAAAAAAACTAAATATGACTCATTGTCATTTCTCAATGTACATCAAGGCTGGGATGAAATCATCAGGCTAAATTCATTTTTTGATTTAAATTTCAAGCCGGAAGTGATTTAGAAAATGGGTTTTCTAGTTGAATTTCCGAAATGTGTAACAAAGAAAGGGTTCAAATAATTTGGGCAATAATCTTAAAATAAATTGTGTTAGAACCACTACCTTCGACTCTTCATAGCTCTCCCAGGACGGTTTTTTACGTAGGATGCATTTATCGAGACGTCCGATGCCATTTTCAAAATATCGCTTGAACAATGCCAAACAGGCAATAATTTGTTATTGCAGAAGCGGCATTTAGTAAATTGTTTACAAATGGCGGCTTGACAACTTAGTTGCAGTAGAAGTTCACAATGGAAAAGACATCATTTAGGGAGATTAAAAACAGAGATAACGAGGTATGTGTATACAGTGTTCTTAACGAACATATAGAGACCATTCTGACATATTATTGAATGTTTGTTACACCCAGGCAAAAGGCTGTACAAGCACAGACACGGGAACAACTTCAACAAGAGTTCATCCTTACTTCGGTCCAAAGCCTTCTCTATATTCCGGCTTTGAGGAGGAAGATTGAGCTGCCTTAGTATTATAAATATTGTAAATCATTGTGTCACACGCACAGTAAATATGGCATAATAATATGAAATATACCTTTATGTATAGATTTGAAGAACATCAGCTCACATCTCCGTCTGAATCTATTGTTAGCCTATATTTGATTTCTTTAAGCGAGAATAATTTCAAATGTTATTCACGTCCAGAACCGGAAGCCATTTTTAGCTACAGCGAGAAAATTTCACCATGTGTCAAACTCCGAAATGAAATTTTGAAATATCTAAATCCAGACAAGCAACGCTTCATCCTAAATATGATTAATATTCTTAAAAATATTTATAAAATTTATTAAAAATGAGTTCTAGGTGCGTGTAGGTGCGTGTAGCACAGTACATACGAAATCAATGAAGTTTCGTCTAGCTGTAAGCTAGAGACTCGAGTAAGTTCATCCCCTTCCCACTCACTATCTGTATTAGGTTCTTAGGCTACAGTATACAGTGAGTGGGGATTTAAATCTTGTTCCTGGGCCTGTGTTCATAAGACCCCAATCTAAAGGGGTCGTAGGACTGATGCAATAAATCAGGCCTACTTTGAGTCAACAGACCAGTGACTGTTAGTGAGTAGATCTATAGGCCTGGATCTATGTCAGTCTCGTCTATGTGACATGTTATGAATGGTAAAATTACTCGCCTGTATTCACAATGTAAAATTACTTGGTTGGTTGGTTAAGTCCATATATACAGTGTTATCATGTCACCTAATAGTCTCTAGTGCTGTTTTTTCAATGGTGCTTTTCTCGTGTGACTGTCTCTTGTGTTTTTGTAGATTCTTTTTATTTGTATTCACAGCAGCAATCCTAACAGCCTAGCATCTGAGCATGCCAATGTCAATAACCTGCCACCAATAGGCTGATAAGTCCATTTAGAGCAGATATACCATTAACAGTGATAGAATTTGAATAAAATATAATTTAACCCTTAAGGTCTTACTTAAGTAAATGAAGATTACAAAAAATGGCAGCCAAATTTGTTTTGATAAAGTCCCAAGATTTAAAATGTTTATGCTATTTTAGGAAGAGAAGGACCCATTTTTGTGTTCATGTGGGCCATGTAGAAAATATTGGAAAGACACTTTCAAAGATGACAACAACCAAATCACACTCTCCAAAGAAGCAAGAACTGCATATACAGCAACACTGTATGCCCAAAAAGACTTGATTAAAGTTGGTGATAGAGTTAAAGTTCATGGAAAATATAATGGTTAGTTGTAAAACATATGAATCTGTTTTTTAACACTAGTATAACACTTCTAAAAGTGGTGTATTGTCATTATTATATGCACATGGGTCAACAGGGGTGAATGCTGGTGAGGAGGTACCATATGAATCTCATATTACTGGCCATGGACCAGTCACTGGACTGTTAAATTACTTTTGAGGGTTTTCCACAGAATTCTGAGACGCCCTCATAAGTCTATGTCTCTGCAAATTACATGTTGGATAGAATTCTCCTTTTCGCGGTTCGCTCTTTGAATCAGAACGTTCGCAAATATGCACTGAAAAAGCACACAAAAAGGACAAAATTTGATTGGTCAATATTTTTCCACTATGCATTTCGCATAGCTATTTGCGTGACACGAAAGTTCTAAATCAAACTAATTACTCAATTTTGTTTTTACACCCGCACGCTAAATAAAACAATGACACCATCGTAAGTATTTTTCTTTGTCTTTGCTTTAATAGTTAGTATACCGAGTTTAATCGATAAAAGATTGTACAATGAACAACAAAATTCGGAAACGAGTACTATAGATTTGCTTTCGGACCACTGAACAGATTGACCTAGATAATAGCGACGCGTCTTCTTTGGTCTACTGCTCAGTTGTTTGTGAGTTCTCAACGTAACTCTATAATGTAATTTGAAGATGAATACTTTTATTCAGTTGTTGCATCGATGTCGCAGTTTGTAGTGCGGTAAGATTGGCATGAAAGTATTGAAAGTCGAATGGAATTGTTTTTTCCAATATGGCGACTAGTCTACTGATCACGTGACCTTCTCTTCCGTAATATTTTCTCACTTTCCAATCAGCGTTTTCACCACGTACGCTATGAATTAATACAATGAAAAAAATAGCTGTTATATTAAGATTAATGAGAGATCAATCGTTTCTAATACTTTTTTCTGTACTCTCGTACGGGAATATGAACGAATATATCGTTTGAAAAATAGGTGTGAAAATCCCCATGTTAAACCTATGAGGGAAAATAAGGAAGTATAAATTTGTTCCTCCGCGAACTGCATCATGGGAAATATTTTGCCCTTATAAGGAAAGATTTTCGCGTCTTCTCTTTTGAAGAGGGAACAACGATTTCGAGAATTATAGCTTATGTAGTACACCTTATTTGGAAAATAAAACTGAAGTATGTTTAATGTGTTGATCTCGGATGTTATCAGGATGTTATAGACTAAATGTTTCTTTTATTTTGTTTAGGGGTTGTTAAATACATGGGTTTATTGGACGATAATGAAATAGCAGCTGAAACATATGTAGGAGTTCATCTGGATGATAATGGTAAGTAAAGTTTTTAAAAGTTTTTTTAAATGAACAAAGAACAGCAAAGAACAGCATTTTAAGCAATGTTGTATTGTTTTATATTTCATTGTAATATTCATAACACAGTAAAGCCTGTCTTAGTGAACACCTCTCTCTAGTGAACACCACTTCAAGGCACATTTAACAATAACTCCTGTATAAAATCCCCTTACTTGTGGCTCCATAGGTGTTCACTATGTACAGGTTTTACTGTACTGTATTATCATTTCTGATTACCTAATATTATATTGGACTCCAGTTGAAATTGATATTTATTGATTTTTGCAGTGAATTCTCCCCACAATGGGATTTTTGATGGCAAGCGTTATTTTCACTGTCCCAGGGGCCATGGTGCTATGGTAAAGTACACAATGGTCCGAAAGTGTAACCCAGCAGACAGACGACCCCCAGTATCAGGGAATCCCATGTTCCCAAGTTATAATGACATTAAAAAGAGGAGACAACAGAGAACAGAAAAGTATGGATTCCTTTTAAGCACAAAACCTTTCTCATCCAATTAATGAATTTGTCAGGCCTAACATATTTCAAATACTTGAACTTTATAAGGCTGTTTTATTATATGAGAATCATTGAAGAATTGAAGTTAATTACTTTATGCAAAATCAAACTATTCAAAAAGTTGTTATATATGAGAACCTTTCATTTGATTGCAGTTTTCCACAATAAAGGGGCTTATATACCTGTATAGTGTATACATACAGCTGTTCTGTACATCGACTATTTTTCTTTTGTTACATTTCAACATACGACTGTACATGTGTATAGTATTGAAATTTACTTTCAGGCAACCTGATTTAGATTTTACAAAAGAGTATGATAGGTCACTGAGTGGCAGTGCTGATACAAATAAAGCCAGAACTGAGATGATGGCAGCAAAGGACCCAGTTACTTATGTCTTTGATGAACACGACATGGCTTATAAGGTATGATTGACATATGACATGTAAGACTGAGTATCTTGTTAAACTGTAATTGGTATCTTTATTCAGTTATTTAAACACCAGTTTTGTACATGGCAACAATTGTTCTCTTCCTGTGCAACATTTATCACCTTGTCGCTCGTCTCTCAAAATGAATATTAAATCTATGTATAAAACACAGATATTATTGTGCTTACCAAGAACTTTTGAAAAAAGTCCATCTGCCCCTTGCATGAAATCTACATTTTGCAAAGCAATTTTAGATTACTTTTTTTTATCAAGAGATTTTATAACTATTAATCATTATAAGCACATAGCATACACGAGGGACCCAATCGGCAGTGGCATTATAGTTGTCCCTCATTTTAGATTACTCACGACAGTGTATTTATTCATGAATTAAAATGATCAAAATTAAACGATTATATATCATATTGTAAGAATGAACAATTAAATTAACCTACAATACTTCTGGTTTGATCACCTCTTTTGGCAAACATTTTATTATTGAAGAATGGAGATTGTCCAATCAACTGTAAGATATGTTTGCATGCATGTCAATCACTATATCAACATAATATCTTTAATTTTCAGGATTCCCTCAGGAAACAAAAAGAACTGAAGAAGAAAAGAAGCTCAATGCATTGTGAAGCAGAACTTGTAAATAATGCTAAACTGGCTGTTAAAAATCACCATTTCTCCAAATGGAAAAAAGATTTTGGGAATGACAATAGAGCTGAACAAATGGCTCAGACCTTACGTAAGCTACATGTGGCATATGAAAAGGGCAAGGAGTATGAAAATACAGATGGAAATGAGGACTTGAACTCTGGAGATGAGAAAGTTGACAAGGATGATGACAAGGCCAGTACTAGGAAGTCACAGTCTGCTAAATCTATAGCTTCAAGACATTCTAGAGATACTAAAGGGACGGTGTATTAAAATGTGTATTATGATTCAAAATGAAATACTCATAAACATGACTTAACAAATGCTTTTCTAAAATAAGAGAATTGTATTTATTTATTTAAATCAAAATAAAATGAAAAATATTAAAAAATACTATACTAGAGTTATTAGTTGTTCAATGGTTGTTGTAACAGGGTGGGCCAACATGGACATACAGTGAAACCTGCCTTAGTGAACACCTCTCTCTAGTACCCTTCCTCTGTACATATATTGACTACTTCATAAATTACCCTCACTGAAGTGAAAATCTACCAACACTGAACTTTTTGCTGAATGATGGGAGTAGGAGAATTACCTTATTCTAATGCACTAAGCCTATGTTATGACTTATGGGGTAAGAAACTTGAGTATTAAAACAGGGGGTATTCTCACAGTCAGGCTAGTCAGCACCATCTATCTAATATCTAATGTAATAGAATGAGTCCATATGATTGTACTTTTAGATGTTTCCGATTCTGTGTAACACAACTCGAACAACTGTGCAAAGTGTGCATGCATTTTAACTTTTTGAAATCAGCGGGCAAGAAGTAATTATTGCACTGAACGAACTGCTCTCCGAAAAATACCCATAGTACACTGCTCTTCTCACTTCCGGAGCAATAAGTTGCATCTTTTAAAAGTTAAAAAGTTTCTAGGATTGTAAAGTTCCCTGACGAATACGTGCCTACTTGCTCTAAGAGGTAAGTAAATATCATTATTATGTAGGAAAGACGAGCAGAGAATCCCACGTGGACTAATACCGCTAGATAGTCGCTTGATAAAACTTCCTGTAGACTCTATCTTTTTTCAATCATTGAAATTTTTGAATGATTGATTCATTGCAGATTGGATTTTACTTAATTTACAACCCGTCTCTAAAGATGGCTATTTGTGAAGTAAATTGGATTGATCATTCAGTTTTTAGTCAAATCTTACTGGCTCAAGAAATTGGCCAGAGACTCGAGTAAGCTCAAAGATGCTAATATCTTGGATAGTCTTGGTTTTACTTACTGCGAAAGCTATGTGGATTTTGATATAATAGCTTTCCCACAGCGCACTTGGGTAGCTGAATAATAGTGACCCTTGAAACACGAATTGAGTCGATCAGCGTCAATCAGTGGCTTACTTTTGGTCTCTAACTGTGTCTTCCGTCGATATCATCAATCCGTGCAAGTATTGGAGCACTGAAATACTTCTTTTTCGATCAAGACTTGTAAATTGTTCGTCGAGTGGATGTTTTTTTCAACCCATTTCCAATATGGCGGTCTGCTAGGAGCGAGATACGCAACAAACGAAATGAATTTTGAGAATGAGTTAGGTTCGGACAACCTCCGGAGATTTACGAAAATGTCCGAGCAGAAAACGCCATATTGGAATTGGGCAGAAAAAAATTTTCACTCGACTAACAATTACAAGTCTTGGTCGAAAAGGAAGTACTTCAGCGCTCCAATACTTCCACGGAAGGATGAAAATGATGTATGACATAGTTAAAGAACAAAAGTAAGGCGCTGATCGGCGCTGATGGACTCAATTCGTGTTTCAAAGGTCACTATTATTCAGCTGTCCATGTCCCCGTTCGAGAGCCATAAGTTTCAAAATCTAACATGGCTCTCGAAGTGAGTAATCTTGGTTAACAAATGTGTATGATGCTTCTTTGGTCAGCTCCCTAAATTGCAAGGCTGTATATAACTATAAAAATGAATTTTTTGAAGAATGCCATCAATTCAATTTATATCTGCTCTATATGAACTTATTAGCCTTTTGCAGATTATAGACATAGACAATTTTAACAATTATATGCAATAACTACGCTTTAGCTTTCTTATCAAATGTAAAAGTGGTCTAATGACAAAAGTGAAAGAAGTTGCTAGGGATTCCCCAAAACAAATATCACAATGATTGTCTCTATACCACCTAACGCATATTGATGTTGTCATACTCGTAGCCCGCTCTTTGGGATATCTAATGTAATGTGACGTCATTACCCTAACAACGATAGCTTTGGACAAACCCCCAAATTATTTCACATTTATATTCAAAATTAACTCTAACTCGAGTATAATAAGCATTCTGTCATATTGCAATGGATTCCTCATATTATTACAACTATATAGATAATGATTGACAATAATAGCGCATGATGCTTTTAAGAAATATGCCTAAACGGCAATGTTATTGTTATTGAATTGAGGTAGGTCCCTCATTAAATACACAAAACGTTCTGAAAATTGCTTAAAGTGGGGGTCATTGTAACAGCTCCCATTCCATCACTATTTTATCAACTCTTGAAAGATGATCCACTCCAAATACATAAGTAAAAATCAGTGTTATATACAGTAACATGCTGTATTAAAGCTTTGAAAAGGAGTGAAAATCACCTTAATAGTTCTATACAACCTTTAATGTGAACGTGGGTGATACCAAAATGATAGTTTTATTGATCATTCATTATTTCTCTATTTATTGTTAGAGTCAGTAGTTCAAGTCATAGAGACCAAAACATGCTCTGTCACTACCCTTTCCAAGAGGTCGACACAATCTGCATTTGAATTGAGATTATAGTTAGAAAATCATGAAACTCCATTTCGTCTTATTAGAAGCATGTATTCATGTCACATTCAAGTTCCAATAAAAGATCATATAAGCAGTATTTGAGATTATTAAGATCATAGCTTCAAAACTTTAAAATGATTTCATCAGAGGGCAAGTGACTAATTGATAGGGGCCAGGGTACTTTACTTTATACTGTAATAAGTCTAGTTGTCACAACAGGATACTGTTGGTCAAGTTTGTATATTTTCCTTTACTTGCCCCAGCTGGACACTGTATACATACAGCAGAGGTTTTCTCCCAGAATGCATAGTTTATCTTCAAGCATGAAGTGCATCCCCTGTGCATTTGTGCCTTTACAGATTACGCAATGACACCATTACTTAGAGTCACAATTGCATGACAACTTGCTTGTTCCCATGACGACTTGCCATATAAGCTAAAGCTAAGTTTAGGTAGTATAGTATGAGTTCAGGTCTGCAGGAAGTCACTTGAATGGTTTAAACAAGATACAAGATCTTAAATGGAAAAATGAAATGAAAACAAGTAAAAGTTAAATGTGAGAAATGTTTGAGTCTAATGTCACATTATTTGTGGTAAAACTCTTAATAAAATACATAAAACTGGATACACACAAGAATAGGAAGTCAGAAACCTTAAATGGGAAGACAGTCTTATGTAGTATTTTGAAAAGTATACTTATAGGATATCTCTGATCTCACATGGGGGAGGAGTAGTTGGGATACCGTGAAAAATGCGGGGTCTAAAATACTCTGGTAAGTACCCTACACCTAAACATTACCAGGCGATTGCAGTATGGGATCAAAGGACCTGCTTTGGTTACAATTGCTTATTTAGAGGTCAAATTACACTCTCCATCTAATGAAAGTTAGCTGTTTGACCACTCTGCAATCTCACTGTTTTAATTATGCCAACTAGTCTAGAATACTAGAATACAAATCACTCTGACAGGGAGATGACACTTGAACGATCAACCAATCAGGAACCACCATAATGCCATCTCAAATACAATAACACATGTGGTAGTGGAACACCTTTAGTACATCAAAATAGTGTTCTACTTGGGAGGTGTTCCGCTTACATAGGCTCATTTTACATAATGTTAATGAGTAACAGGACTTTAAAATGTGTGCCATTTATTTATGGAGGTGTTCTACTTGCAGAGGTGTTCCACTGTTAATATTTTACTGATTGCTTAATTTATAGAAAACATTGGGCTGTTATTATATTGATATATCAAATTAAGATGTTTATTAAAGATGTAAAGAGTGAGGAAAAGTAGACTTCTCTTGCAAAGGATGATATGAAGGTCATTTACATGGGGTGCATTTTGTTACATCACCACAGTCTCATGAATAGTTTTGCTTTCATTCATTGGCAGTTTTGACATTTGGAAAATGTTTGGCAAATGTTTGTCAATATTAGGGCAATGTTGATTGCACAGTTCAAGTGTGTAAGGAGAAACATTTGAAAGATATCTTAGATAAAATACATGTTCATTACATGATAGATAAGTGATGCACTTTAAAGGAGATCTGTTACTCCAATAACCCAGATGCGAGTAGAAATAATCTTGATTTACGTCATTAAAAATTCAAAATTCAGTCAAAGTAATATCATATTTGAAATCTACATGTAAAATTACATCTAGAAATGTGGTTTTAAAAAGTGTTTATCAACTTTGAAAAATTAATTTTCTTTGAAAATGTGACTTCTAGCTCGGGGAGATTCCCCATAGACCCCATGCTATAAAATCACAAAAAATGAAATATCTTTTCTTTTAGTGGACAGATAATATTTTGCTTTACTGGACATATTTTCATTAGTATAAGTATCAGGCACATAAGGGTTATATGAAAATTGAGCCACTTAAATTGATAATATTCAAGTTTAAGGGAACTTTCTTATATACCTGCCATGTTAATTGACCCGAATCAGCCACCTGGTGGTGAAACTGGTAACTACCTACTCGCATTTGGGTAATTGTTTACCTACCACATGGTACATGACAGTATACCTGTATACATGAATACAGGTAAGTCCAGAACATGTTCAATATTTTTTGTATATTTGTTCAAAGTAGGGTTGGTTTTTATTAAGGTTCTAAAGTAGGTAATCTGATCACACAGGGCTAGCATTCCTCCTCTATCTGACCTATCTGTTTCCTTGGGGGGTTTGTGTTGAAGCCAAGGATTAAAATCGTCATGGTTACCCAGTTTACATCACCCATTTCTTGTATTTGAGAGTTTCAGATTTTCTTGCATCTTTATACAATTTAGAGCTTCATGTTCTTATCCACAACGACAATTCCTTAGTTATTTCATACTTTTGTGCTATATGTGAAGTTTTAAATCATGCCCCTCTGATATTTTGCACAGGGTAGGTTGTGAGATTGTACATTGTGCAGGAAGCTGTAGTCAGAGATAAAGTAAAAGGAAGCCATTTATATTGTGACCACAGGATATGTCATGTTTGTTGTGTAAGATTCTTGGAGTCTGGGGTAAGTCTTCTATTAAGTCTACCTACAAGCCCCTGTGACTTCCCCC